AATAGATTCCAGAAGAAGGGTACACTCTGGTTTTATATTAGTTTTCATGAGTGGAAAAAATGCAGTTGGCTACAAATGTGCCATAATCCAAATCATGTAAACAAATGCAGAGGAGAGTCTTTTTAACAAAACACAAGAGAGAATAAAATTTGGGTACATAATCATTTCTGAAGTGTACCAAAAAGTTCATTCAGAAAATTAAACAATAACTTTATTGTGTGTTTTAATCAAGAACAGAAGAGCAACAAGAAAAGAAACTCCTGACTCTACGAGTAAGTCCATTGCTACCTAGTGACTTAAGCATGGTTGAGGGACCTTCTTTAGTCTTAGGGCAAGTAATTAAGTATTAATATTATTATTGGTATTCTTAGCACAAAACAGATTATAACTGATCCAGCAGAATGCACCTTAGATTGACAGATAGTATGGCACAGGGATGACATGGGAATGGTGTCATGTGTATAGCACCCCTGAAAGGCACACCGAATATGCAGTAACATGCAGTGTGTACACACCCTAGGTCTGAAAAATATTCTTGCACAAGACCTCAGTATTAATTTGAAAAACAAAACAAAACAAATGGAAATATATATTCCGCACCCACCCACCAAAAAAGCACAAGACTCCATTTTGCCTATTTTGAGACATAGTAATTCAGGCAGGGGTGGAGGAAGGGGGTGCAGTGGGGGCGTGCGCCCAGGGTGTCACCACTGAAGGGGGTGACAAAATGCTGGGCGGCACTCACCACGGGGCCTGCAGCGCACCTGAGCAAGGCGTCTCTCCTGGGAGTGACACGGTGGCTTGGGCGCCCTCAGGCTCTGTGCTGCCCCAAATGGCCCGCCCGCCCGCCCGCCCACCACCTCCCCCTCAGCTGTAGGAGGCAGGCAGACTCCTTGGAGGCCCCACAGAGCATCCAGCCCTGGTTGGCCCTGCCTCCGCGGGTGGCTGGCCCCGCCACTGGTCGCAGGGCATTCACGCCCCCCAGGCGCCCAATCGGCTTGCTCCACCACTGAACTCAGGCAGGTAGCATTTGCTCATACACTAATGTAATGGAAGCCTCTGTGCATGTGCACAGGTACAAAAATATCTGCACACATCTTCAGAACAAGAGAAGGCAGTGGAGGTAGAGGGAGTGCTCAAAGTGGTTCACAACACAGCAGTTGTTGTAAAATTCTATGTGTGGTTTGTTTTATTTTTAAAAGTCAATTTAAAAAACAACAACACTATTTTGGGAAATATAGCCTGCATTTTCAAAGCATAGATATGTTGCAGACTGCTATTGACTAGCCTCTCCACAACTCACAGTTCCTATATGGAGCTGCTTGGCACTGCTGTTCATATGTAAGTCTGCACTGAAATCTGTTTATTGTATTTCTTTTGCTGCATAGTACAAACTAAATTATTTTTCAGTTGTTTCTGCTGTTTCTTTGAAGTCCTTAAATTACACCAAACCTAATTTATAAGTATGAAATGTTTTAGGTTTCCTGCTCATTAATATTGATAGATGCAGCTGCCTTTGATATTTTGACAGAGAATAAAAAACACAGCACAACACCACGGCAGTGAGAGTCTAATGAGATCTCTGAAATGTAATCTAGTCAGTGGTGTTGCACATTCAACAAAACAAATGATACTTACCCACTGAGTGTTTTATACAAAAATGTAGGAAATCTTTTTTTTTTAAAAATAATGTTTATTAAAGTTTCAAAGGGAAAAAAAAATCACATTAATAAAAAAAAATTAACAATAAAAAGGAGAAATACAAAGTAGGGGAAAAAAACAGTTAAAAACAATTCCATCTTTTCCTCACTTCTTTCACGTTTACTTGTTTCCCGGACCTCCTCATACCTCCCTCTTTTGTATTCCAATTAAATTTGTTAATCCAACAATTCCTTTCCCTCCTTTTTAATCCTAATCCTTAGTCCTGATATATTGTAACGTTAGATTTTTACATATTAAAAACCAATTTTTCCATATTCTTTTGAACCTATATAGCTAGAAACCACTTAACTTCAATCCAACATCATTCTAACATTCATTAATTTTACAATATTTCTGTAAGTAGTCTTTAAATTTCTTCCAATCTTCTTCCACCGACTCTTCTCCCTGGTCTCGGATTCTGCCAGTCATTTCCGCCAATTCCATGTAGTCCATCATTTTCATCTGCCATTCCTCAAGTGTGGGTAGATCTTGTGTCTTCCAATGCTTTGCAATGAGTATTCTTGCTGCTGTTGTAGCATACATAAAGAAAGTTCTGTCCGTCTTTAACCCCGAGTGGCCGCCTATGCCCAGGAGAAAGGCCTCTGGTTTCTTCAAGAAGGTATATTTAAATACCTTTTTAGTTCATTATATATCATCTCCCAGAAAGCCTTAATCTTTGGGCACGTCCACCAAAGGTGAAAAAATGTACCTTCAGTTTCTTAACATTTCCAACATTTATTATCAGGCACATGATAGATTTTTGCAAGCTTGACTGGGGTTATGTACCACCTGTATATCATTTTCATAATATTTTCTCTTAAGGCATTACATGCCGTAAATTTCATACCTGTGGTCCACAACTGTTCCCAGTCAGCAAACATAATATTATGTCCAACATCTTGTGCCCATTTAATCATAGCAGATTTCACCGTTTCATCCTGAGTATTCCATTTCAACAGCAAGTTATACATCTTTGACAAAATTTTAGTTTTGGGTTCTAACAATTCTGTTTCTAATTTTGATTTTTCCACCTGGAAGCCGATTTTCTTGTCCAAATTGTATGCCTCCATTATCTGATAATAATGAAGCCAGTCTCGCACTTTGTTTTTAGTTTTTCAAAACTCTGCAATTTCAATCTATCTCCATCTTGTTCCAAAATTTCCCAATATTTTGGCCATTTGACCTCCATATTGAGCTTTTTCAAGGCTTTCGCTTCCATCGGTGACAGCCACCTTGGGGTTTTATTTTCCAATAAATCCTTATATCTTATCCAAACATTAAACAATGCTTTCCTGACAATATGGTTTTTAAATGCTTTATGTGCTTTGACCTTATCATACCACAGATATGCATGCCATCCAAATACATTGTTAAAACCTTCCAAATCCAAAATGTCAGTGTTTTCAAGAAGCAGCCATTCTTTCAACCAGCAAAAAGCTGCTGATTCATAATAAAGTTTGAGGTCTGGCAGGGCAAATCCACCTCTTTCCTTTGCATCTGTTAGTATTTTAAATTTTATTCTGGGCTTCTTGCCCTGCCAGACAAATCTAGAAATATCTCTCTGCCACCTCTTGAAACAGTCCATTTTGTCCACAATTTGCAATGTTTGAAACAAAAACAACATTCTAGGCAATACATTCATTTTAACCGCAGCAATACGGCCCAGCAGTGAAAGCTTCAAATTTGACCAAATTTCTAAATCTTTTTCACTTCAGCCCAACATTTTTCATAGTTATCTTTAAATAAGTTCCCATTTTTTGCTGTCAAGTTGATCCCCAAATATTTAACTTTCTTAACCACTGTTAAACCTGTCTCATTCTGAAACCTCCCTCTCTCTATTGGTGTTAAATTTTTCTCTAAAACCTTAGTTTTTACCTTATTCAATTTAAATCCTGCGACTTGACCAAATTCTTGAATCAATTCTAAAACCCTTTTGGTACTAGATTCTGGCTCCTGTAACGTCAATACTAAGTCATCTGCAAATGCTCTCAACTTGTACTGTTTAGCTCCGACTTGTATACCTTTAACCAACTGGTCCCTTCTAATCATATTCAGCAAAACCTCCAGGACCGAAATAAAAAGCAGTGGGGAAATTGGGCAACCTTGTCGTGTCCCTTTTTCTATCTTAAATTCTTCCGTCACCACATTATTTGCAATTAATGTAGGAAATCTTATACAGCATATACATTATTTCTATGAGGAAAGCTGATCACCAGCCTTTTGCTGTTTTATGAAAATGTAAGCTAATAATCATTATGTTGGCATCTCCTTCTGCACCCAGTTGAGTTCTGTTGTTACATTTTTCTGATCTAGGATTTATTTCCTAAGCTAGTAACATTTAATTTAGTGAAAGAAAAGAAGCATGATTGTTGTAACAACAATGAAGCAAAGGGTGTTGTCAGGCTGCTTAGCATGCAACACTTTATTATCAAATCAATGGACACAGCGTATTTGTTTTTTCTATGCAATCCACACACTAACTAGATCTATTGCACACTTTTTGTCCCTGGAAAGAGCTTCTTGAGAAACTGGTTTCATTCCAAAAATAAAAGCTCATTGAGATTGATTCTCCATTACCCTGCAGTATGTCCGTTTGAAAACGAATGTAGGTGGTCCTGGCAATGGGGGGTGTTTTTATACCTGCCCAATGATGTTGTGGCTGGACATATACCAAGACTGCAACCACCACTTCCTTCTTCATTGACCTGGGACACGTGCAGGGAAGAAAAAGTGTGGATAACCTGATGAAGGGGAGGGTTTACAAATGTGCATCAAATAACTACAGTGGTACCCCAGGTTACAGATGCTTCAGGTTACAGACTCCGCTAACCCAGAAATAGTACCTCGGGTTAAGAACTTTGCTTCAGGATGAGAACAGAAATCACACAGCGGTGGCGCGGCAGCAGCAGGAGGCCCCATTAGCTAAAGTGGTACTTCAGGTTAAGAACAGTTTCAGGTTAAGAACGGACCTCCAGAACGAATTAAGTTCTTAACCCAAGGTACCACTGTACACCCACCCTTGTGGATGGCAGGATCTAGAATTAATCTGGATTGAAAGTAGCATGTTGAGGATGAATAATACTGGATTAAGAAAAAGTACAACTTTTTTGCCGCTATCTTCAGTGAATAACCTTGATTAGGGAAAAGGCTTTGGTCAGTTCCAGATGACCTGCAATTTGTGGGATGTTAGAAGCTGTTTGCTATTTGTTGAGCATTCGTTTCTGTTTGTTTGCAAAGAAGTTAGATGATGCATTTAGCAAGTGTTAACCCACACTTTCCAAACTCTTTCCTTATTACAGAAAGTCTGATCTTTTGAATAAGTAAAGGTAATGGGACCCCTGACCATTAAGTCCAGTCACAGACGACTCTGGGGTTGCAGCGCTCATCTCGCTATATAGGCCAAGGGAGCCGGCGTTTGTCTGCAGACAGCTTCCGGGTCATGTGGCCAGCATGACTAAGCCGCTTCTGGTGAACCACAGCAGCGCATGGAAATGCCATTTACCTTCCTGCCAGAGCAGTACCTATTTATCTACTTTCACTTTGACGTGCTTTCGAACTGCTAGGTTGGCAGGAGCAGGGACTGAGCAACAGGAGCTTACCCCGTCATGGGGATTCGAACCACCGACCTTCTGATCAGCAAGCCCTCCAAATCAACTTTAATTTGGCAAGGTGGATTTGCTGCTTTGTGATGGAATCCTACTCCAAAATATGGATAGCTTGGTTGTGCCTTTAGCCAGCACATTACATCAGCTCATGAAAAAGCTATGGCCCTGCCCTCTGCTTGTATATTACAGTTTCAGCTACTATCAGCAACAACAGCAACAACAAACTTTGTGATCTACCAAACACATTTTTTAAATAAAACAATAGTGATCAGAAGTTATTAAAATTCAGTAGATCTGAATGGTTGCTGGACTGGCTGCTTCAGCGAATGAGTGGCAGGAGTTTATTCCCGGCTGAGCCAAGGTGTGGAAGTTACAGCAGTGTAGCCCCTGCTGAGTCCAAGATGTGCCTATTCCAAACTCACTCATACCAACAGATCTTGGCTTTAGATCGCAAGGCTCTTAGCAAGGGTCATCTTTAGGTCAACTTTGCATCCCTTGCCTTTGTTTCCTGCACATAATGCCTCTTACAATTCTAGGTTACTGCTAACAAGCACATGCAGCAGCTGTGGAAGACGCTCCAGTCTCTGTTTTTCATTAACATCATACCCAAGAGAAGTAGTCAGCTTCTTCACAAAGGACCTGAGAACCACCATGGGTTTGATGACGGCTAACAAAGCCTGACAGTTGTTAGTAGATCTGAAATGTGGGGTTGGTCCTCGTGGGAAACAAGTTGTAGCTTGACAAGATAGACTTTTGGTCTAATCTAGTGAGGTGTTACCCCTCTCCATATGTTTTCACTAGTACTAATTCACTAAGCACCAGGAGTGTGTTAGTTTCTGATTTGCACTCCCAACTCTCCCATGCAGCATGGAGTCTCAGGAGAAAGTACTGAGAAATGGTGTTATTTCTGTGATACCTCTTGTTTCCACATGTACAGCAAAGGTAAACAAGTGTGTGTGTGTGTGTGTGTGTGTGTGTGTGTAGGTGCGTGCACACAGAAATGCAAATTCTGAAGGTCAGTTCCAAAAATCCCACATGCTTCTCTTCTTCTAACCAATTGTAACAGTTTGTTTCAGCTCCCATACAGAGAGGTCATATGTGACACAGATTCCAGTTGATTGTTGCCTTTACTGAATTTTCATACCCTATACTAGGTTGCTAATTTTTGCTCCACAGCCTGTTGTGCAAGAGAATGTTCCTGCACTCACTGAAGGCCTCTGGTTTGGCTATCAAATTTGAAAGCTGTTATAGATGGAAAGTATAATATCATGCATAGTACTGCTGGGCTGTGGAATAGAGGGGAAATTAATTCCCCAGGGTGATGTAAACGTTACAGAATGACAAACTATAAATAAGACCACAACAAATAGCAACGAGTGGCCGATTCATTCTAATACCTTAATGCAAAATCACCGGGGCCAGTGTAAAGACTAGTATGAATTATAAATCTGGTTTTAAATGCCAAAAGGAGCCTGAATGAATCTCTGCCAGGTAAGAGTTATGCATAATTCCAAAACCTCCACATTTCTTTCTTGCTAGCAGAAACTTGAAATCTGGAACATAGGAAGCTGCCTTATACTGAGTCAGACCTTTTGTCCATCTAACTCAGCACTGTCTACACTGACTGGTAGCTGCTCTCCAGGATTTCACACAGGAGTCTCCCCCAGTCCTACCTGCAGATGCCAGGAATTGAACCTGGGACCTCAGTGTCCTCCCACTGAGCTATGGTCCTTCCCTGAAGAGATGAAATAGAAAGAACCAGTGGAATCTGTGACAAGCACTCCTGTTCAGGTTGCCAGCCCTCTTGCCTTTCAGCTTCCATTATAGAGATAAATAAAGGTAAAGGTAAAGGTAAAGGACCCCTGACAATTAGGTCCAGTCGTGGCGGACTCTGGGGTTGTGGCACTCATCTCGCTTTATTGGCCGAGGGAGCCGGCGTTCAGCTTCCGGGTCATGTGGCTAGCATGACTAAGCTGCTTCTGGCGAACCAGAGCAGCGCACGGAAATGCCGTTTACCTTCCCGCTGGAGCGGTACCTATTTATCTACTTGCACTTTGACATGCTTTCGAACGGCTAGGTTGGCTGGGACCGAGCAACGGGAGCTCACCCCATCGCAGGGATTCGAACCGCCGACCTTCTGATCAGCAAGTCCTAGGCTCTGTGGTTTAACCCACAGCGCCACCCGCGTCCCGGGATATCGGGATATTATCGGGATATTGTGTTCTAAATTGCAATTGGAAGCTATCTGTGGTTTCTTTACTAAAGAAAGGCAGGACACACACGCAAGCACGCATACACACGCGCACGCACACACACAGAGAGAAATTATCACTGAAAAAGCTTTTTCTGCAGACCAAAGAAAAGGCAGGGGGGAGACATTGGGCTGTATCCAATGCTGCTGCTTTGCTGGGCCAACTGACGTCCATGAGTGCAATGTAGCTTCCTCTTTTTCTCCTCTCCTCTCCACACACACCCAAAATCAGCTCTGGAGGCTTGGGGGACTCTCTAGAGCATTTGGGGGGGGGCATACAGGAGGATGAGAGGAAATGGAAGCTCTGTTGCACCAGCAGAACCCTTGTTGGCAAAGCAATGGATATCAGCCTTTTGGTACAGACACATCTCTACATAAACTTAAAGGACAAACAAGGATATTGTACACTGGTGATTTTACCAGTGGTTTTACTATAGCATAGTCTTTCAATTTAATATACTTAAGGAGCTATATTGGGTTATCATTAATATTTTACCCAATGTAAGTTTTGTTTGCTTTTAATATAAATATTTAGAGCCCAAATATAAAAGTGATATTAAAGGCAAACCTACCAAAGTCACACTTTCCAAAACAATAAGCAAATCCAGACACAGCCATCCTTTAGAATTCTTCCTTCTCCAAACTTTGCAATCCAATTCTGCCACCACGTAAGGTGTACAAAATTACATAAAGTGCATAAAATGCCTATATTAGTGAAAATACCATACAAAATGCATTATATTAGGGGATATTGTTTTGCAAAAATGTATATATTGGGCAAAATTGCATACAAATACGTTTATTAGGAGAAATTTGCACTAACATACTGGTGAATTTTCAGGAGGATTTCTTTTTCAAAATTGCAACTTGCTGTAAAAATGTGGAGAACTGAATTTGAGATTGGAAAACAAACCAAACCAAACAGAGAACCCAAACTGACAGATCCATCTCTATCTAGGACAGAAGTGTATCACAGCTAAAAATATTCAAAGGACGCGGGTGCCGCTGTGGGTAAAACCTCAGCGCCTAGGACTTGCCGATCGCATGGTCGGCGGTTTGAATCCCCGCGGCGGGGTGCGCTCCCGTCGTTCGGTCCCAGCGCCTGCCCACCTAGCAGTTCGAAAGCACCCCCGGGTGCAAGTAGATAAATAGGGACCACTTACCAGCGGGAAGGTAAACGGCGTTCCGTGTGCTGCGCTGGCTCGCCAGATGCAGCTTGTCACACTGGCCACGTGACCCGGAAGTGCCTGCGGACAGCGCTGGCTCCCGGCCTCTTGAGTGAGATGAGCGCACAACCCTAGAGTCTGTCAAGACTGGCCCGTACGGTCAGGGGTACCCTTACCTTTACCTTATAGCAAAAATAATGAGTGGGCTACGCTGTCCTATTTGTTGAATCATACTAGAGGATTTTGGAACTGAAACATATAATTATTACAGAATCATGAAAAATAAAACAGTACACAACAAATGGCATCGCAGAGACAAAAACAAATAAACAAATGATAACTAGCAAAGCAGCAGCTGAAATAAAATTCCAGAAACTGAAGCTTTTCAGGAATGCCATGTTTTCGCCTGACACCTGAAAGTATATGGCAGTGAGGCTAGGCAGACCTCCCTTGTGAAGGCATTCCACAGCATTCGTGGCACCATTCCAAGTGGGCCTGCTGCTGATAAACTCCTTGGTACATTTAGACCAAGGGTGGAGAATTAGATCTGGCTGGTGGACCGGATGGAGACATCCCCCAAACCCTTTGACAGATGGGTATGGGTGATGGGTAACAGCACCCTGACATCAGGTGAGGCATTCTCCTTTGTGCTTGCAGTTTGATTTCAAACCATGCAGGCTAAGGAAGTGTTTCCCCTGAGATTTTCTTTGCCCATGAAGTTTTAAATCATACCATGAATGCAAATGAAGCAGGGATTGCAGATGCCCCGCTTTCAGTAGGAATTGGCTCCATTAAGGAGCATCCAGGTAGAACCAATCCCAGCAGGGTTTGCCTTTGGCCCCAAATTTGCAAGGTGCCACATAGAAGCCCTGGATGCCAAGGAACAACCAGGAGTCTATCTTAAGGCTTCTTCTTGTTTCTTTGCATCCACACCTTTACCTGCTCCACACCTGATGTCATATGTGACATTATATGTGGCATAAGGTCTGGTGCAGGTGGGCATGGCTTGGGGAAAATGTATGGAGAGCAAATTAAGACCCCTGCTGGAGGTTCCCCAACGCAGCCATTTTCTCTGCCCTGCACAGTGCAACCCACTTATCCCATATATGCAGCAGAAGTGATAGTGCTGTCATTAAAAGTTGTACGCTATGCTTTGCTGCATTAATATGATTTTAAATTCATCTGGCACAGCAGTGGTGGAAAGCCTAGGTGGGATAAGCCTAGAAGCTGTTTTACCACCCCGCCAAAAATATAAAATTCACTTCATGACAGAAATACAATTTCTTAGTCAAAGGAAGGAAACCGCTCTTCTGGAGGCTGGTCCACAAAACACAAAGCCCTTATCACAACTGGAACTAATTGGCAGCCTGGCTGGAAGCTGCAGTGGGAGGCCAAGAGCGAAGCTGACAATTGAAGCACCCACTTGTCCCCAGAGGGGGGCCTTCTGCAGGGCGGAACCGACACAATTTGTCACAGCAAGCGGGGGGTGTTTGCAGTGCAGCACAGTGGCTAATTCAAAAATGTCAAGTCTCCAGAATGATTATTCCGAAAACATCTATAAATTCATAAGTCAATTCTGAAAAGAAAAGAAAATGGGAAGAACTATATAATGGTTTTTGAAGTTTAATTAGGGCAGACTAGCATGATCCCAAGGGATTGAAGGTAATTTTTCTAGGCGTGCATCATTTCTTTTACAATTATTTTTGTGTGTTTTTTGTACCCTGAAAAAAATGCCATTAGACATTCCAAAATGGATTCAGGGCCTTGGACATTTTTGAATGAATCAGTGCGCAGAATATGAGCTTAATAATAATAATAATAAGGCTGACTAGGCTGACTCAGCTAAGGTGATGCAGCTGACTCATGCAGCAGATGCTGGACAGCTGGGTGGTCAGGACACTGTGTCATTGTGTTAAGAGGACGGACCTGTATATGCCACATGGCCTACCTCAGGTCCCCTAATCTAGCTGGGTGTTCTCAGTTGTGGTGGAAGGCACTGTCTACGTTTCAGTGTCCAGTCTAACTGACTTTTGTATGTGGGAAGGTGCCATCTTCTCCTTTACCTCAGGCAGCAAAATGGCTTGTGCTAGCCCTCGTTGTTTCTTGAAATGTTCCGTTCCGTTCTGTTAACAAACAAATTCACACACACACACGGACACAAGAAGAGCTCTGCTGGATCAGATCAATGTCTAATCTAGTACAGCATCCTGTTCTCATAACAGCCACCCTGATGTTTGTGAGAATCCTGAATATTGCATAATTTAATTGAAAAGGCAAACAGACCAATGGACAAAATAGACCAGTGAACAAGAGGTATCCTGAAAGCACCACCTATATAAGGGCTAAGAGAAAAAGCAACACAAATCTTCACCTTCCCTACTCCCCCCCCCCCATCCAAGTACTAACCTGACCTTGCTTAGCTTATGAAATCAGATGAGATTGGGCATGTTCAGAGTAGTATGGCTGTAGACCTTCCCTGCTTTTTTGTTGTTGCTGCTTTTTTTTTTACATCTTTTAAATTTGTTGTTGTTGTTGTTTAGTCGTTTAGTCGTGTCCGACTCTTCGTGACCCCATGGACCAGAGCACGCCAGGCACTTCTGTCTTCCACTGCCTCCCGCAGTTTAGTCAAACTCATGCTGGTAGCTTCAAGAACACTGTCCAACCATCTCGTCCTCTGTCGTCCCCTTCTCCTTGTGCCCTCCATCTTTCCCAACATCAGGGTCTTTTCCAGGGAGTCTTCTCTTCTCATGAGGTGGCCAAAGTATTGGAGCCTCAGCTTCAGGATCTGTCCTTCCAGTGAGCACTCAGGGCTGATTTCCTTAAGAATGGATAGGTTTGATCTTCATGCAGTCCACGGGACTCTCAAGAGTCTCCTCCAGCACCATAATTCAAAAGCATCAATTCTTCAGCAATCAGCCTTCTTTATGGTCTAGCTTTCACTTCCATACATCACTAGAATTTTTTTAAAACAACAACAAGAACAACCAGTCTTTACTGATGTTTTGATTTATATGATTGTAATTTAATATTTCTATGTTGTACACCACCTTGCTTTATTTTTATGGGAGTGTGATAAATAGTGATAAATAGTTAAATTAAATTAATAATAAAGGGAGTGGCAAAATATCCATCTGTAAATGCTAATCACTTATTTATAAACGCAACATTACAGTGCCTCCATTCCTCTCATCAGAGTAGAATTATGTGGGGCTTAACTATTTCTCCAGAAGATGCAGTCAACTGCCTCTTCAAATGGACACCAATGCCAAGTGCTAAGTTTTAGAGCAACTACTACACAGATTCCAGAATGTGGACTGTGAATCAGACATGCTAAGAGATCAGAGAAATGGACAAATCTGGCAACAAATTTCCTTCCTCTCCAGCCTCAGTTCCTTTCATGCCTTTGCTTATTTCCTTTGATCAACCCAGGATCTGTTTGGGCAGCAAACAGCAAGCTGTGACTAATGACCATGTGTAGAAAGAGAAAACAAGTAATTTGACAAGTAAGTGTGTTGAAAAACATACCTCATGATGATGGTTTAGAAAAGGACAACCAAAATGAGCAAGGGGGTGGAGCAACTCCTATATGAAGAAAGGTTGCAGCATTTGAGACTTCTTAGTCTAGAGAATAGGTGAATAAGAGGTGACATGAGGCAAGTGTGTAAAACTATGCATGGCTTAGAGAAAGCCAACAGAGTAAAGGTTTTCATCCAACGAAGCTGAATGTTGGAAGATTCAGCACAGAGAAAAGAAAGGACTTCTTCATATAGTGCATAATTAAACTAAGGAACATGCTCCCACAGGAGGCCACGATCACCACCAAGTTGGATGGCTGTAAAAGAGGATTAGATAAATTCATGGAGGACAAGGCTATCAATGGCTGCTAGCCATGATGGTTATGCTCTGCCTCCACTGTCAGAGGCATTATTTATCTGAATAAATTGAATAATTATTGTTGAATAAATTGTTGCTGAGACTTGGGGACAGGCAGAGTGCTATTGTGCTCATGCCCAGTTTTCAGACTTCCCAGAGGCATCTGGTTGGCATGAGAACAGGATGCTAGACTAGATGGGCCACTGGCCTGATCCAGGATGCTCATCTTATGTTCTTATCTGATTTTTTAAAATGTATTTTTATTAAAGATTTTCTTGATTTACAAAAGTATGTGCAATGTCTCTCTCTCGTATTTTTTTAATGTAACATTTTTACAAATCAGTTTCATTTGTTGAGACATTAGGAAGAAAAGGGAAAAGAGGTGGAGGGGTGAAAGATGGGTGGGGGTGGTGTTGGGTGGCAATGTTTCTGTTTTACTTAATATATGTAGGGTTTGGTGTCAGCATAGCTTGTGCATGTTCTCTGCTGTTCACTTGTGTTCCTTTGGTGGTAAGAGAGGTTGGGGTTGCCCTAGGGTGTGGTTGTTCATTTGTGGTTGACTGTGGTCTTTGTTTTGATGTGGGGGTGGGTGGGTGTTTTGGATCAGGTTAGCCATATTGATTTGTATGCTGTTGGTGGCTTTTTGTCGTTGTCTTGTTGGGCTGTGTATGTGATAAAGGGGAGCCATACTGGGGTGAAGGCATCTTCTTCTATTTGTCCCCATGTCAGTTTCAGTTTATTGATTAATTTTTCTAGTAAGGCTGTTTCCCATACTATTTGGTACCGTTCTTATGTGATTTCAAAGGGATTCTGGGAAATGCAGCAGAGACCCAAGCATAGCTTCACGGGAAGATTTAGAAATGAAAAGGGAAATGACAGGAACATGATGTATTAATGCAGCTTTAGCAACAATGTTCGTGGCAGACCTGAGCCTCCTACTAGACTGTCACCCAACAGCTCCTGATTGATGCACAATTTGTCATATTCATACTTTGCTTTTTAGAGATACGTACAATGGAAACAACTATACACATACACCTAAAAATGCAAAGAGTAAGATGGCATTGGATCAATCACCCATTAATACTAGTAACTAGATCTATACAATTCAGTAATAGGGCATTTTGCTGCCCTGTTCTGTTTTGTTTTATTCAAAATACTTACATTGTGTTCTTTCTTTTTCCAGAAAGTGAATTCAAGGCAGCTTACATAAAAGCACAACAAAATGAATGTAATAAATAAGAAATACAATATTGCCATAACAATAGAAAACAGCATTAAATAAAGCATCTATCATGGAGCTAAATATTACTAAAATAACAAAGCCTAGTGAACATACAGTTAAAAGCCTCCTTGAATGTCTTTGCAAGGCACCAAAAAGAATAATGTGTTGTGACTTGGCAAGGTTCCCTCACATTCCACAAGATAAGTTGCCATGATCAAAAAGGTCTTGCTCCTAGTAGCTGCCTGCCCTATCTCATTCCACAGTGGTAGCTGGAATAAGATGTCAAGCACAGCATGTGAGGGGGAATATGTGGAAGAAGTTGCTCCTGGAGGTATACAGGGGCTTTAACATACTTCCATCTAGCCTGGATTTTGTTTCAGCTTGTTCTGCCCCATCAAGTCCATTTAAGAGCTTTAAAGGTCAAAACCAACCTTGTGAATTGAGCTGAGAAAAGGACCAGCAAGCAGGGCAAGTCAAACAAAACAGCTGTAATACGTTCTGAACTCCCCAAAGTCTAGTGGGAAGATTTTGCACCATTTGAAGTTTTCAAGGGAATAATAATAATAATCCAAAAAAATACTAAGGACTGTACAGAAATTATTGTTCACAGCCTCACAATCTTATAGGCATGACAGAGAACAGGAAGGGAAGAGGGAAGAGTGTGTAACAGTAGCCTCTCCATAAGATAACTAAGGTATGGGTGGCTGTGGTAAGGTTTGCTTTTGTCAGAAAAGGTTGGAGCAGGCATACCAGTTTAACTGGAGAAATGTGACCCTAGCAACCAACACCATCTGTACATTCAAAAAATTGGACTAAGTAAAGCATCCCCTAAGCTATGGAGCTGGTATTTTAGGGGAAGTGCAACCCCCTATCAAGGAGTTCTTCCATCTTCTCTGGATTAAGTTTCCACTTGTTCTAGCCAATCCAGTCCTTTCCAACTGAGAAATAACAGTTCAGGGTCCGTCCGTCCCCGCCTTCCTTGGATCAGATGTTCGTGAGAAATAGAGCTGGGTATCATCTGCGTACAGATGTCTCTGCAGTCCAAATTGCTGGATGGCTTTTCATTTTTATAATGACTTATCAAATTGGTCTGCTGCTCTCTTTGCCTCGATCAACATATACATGAGATAAAATGTCTAATAAGATCAGTTTGAGTTTCTCTGATTCCCCCCACTGGCTTTTTTTTCTGAAAGCCTTCTGCAATTCAAGACAGATGGAAGTAACCCATTTCTTCATGGTTCCATCCTGAATCATGCACTTGAGTCATACATTTATGTGCCTAGTAGAAAGACTTTTGCCACTGTTACATTTTTAATGACTCTTTTTGAAAGTCCGCTAATTGTATTCCCATGCTTGCTTATCTCTTGGGGCTGAGAAATTCACTTACTGAAGAGCACTTTTGTACAAATAATGAACAACAATCCCCGTGGGCCTTCTTAGATTTCAGTAAGATCCCATTTGCTCTAGCCTCTGTGTACATTCATTTCTCAAGTACTGGACTTTGACTCTGTTTTAACTGGGATCACTAGTTAAGTGATACCTCCATTCTCTTTTAATGTAGTTAGAAAACTTGAATGGATTGACTAACTATTCGGCCTATCACATTTGGCAATGAAATTGGTTGCAATGCCAATTGGTGAGATCAAGCCAGTGTCAGGACTGAGATAATCCAGGAGCCAGAAGCTGTATCAGGGGATCATTGTTAAGGCACAAAGCCGTTGCAAGGGCTGAAGAGCAATGAGACATCACTGAGGAACAAGCAAAGAATACAGGAACAACAAAAGGCTTAGAAAGAAATTTTTGCATAGCCATGGGTTAATTGGGCCAGAAAGTCCTGTTTACACTACCCAGGGAGGCATGCATAATACCATTGCCAACTACTTTCAGATGCTCACCAAAAATGTTTCTTTTTAACCATGTTTTTGGACTTTAATTGGGAGATTATAGATATTGTGACCTCCTTTAGTGGCTGGGATGTGTTAAACCACCTTTTGTGTATATGAATGTTTTAGCTTTTGTTTTTCTTTAGTTTTAGTTTTAGTTTTTGTATTATAAGTAACTTTCAGTTTCCTTTCTGTGAAAAAAAAATGACTAAGATGTGATGATGATGATGATGATTACTTTGGTTCTCTCAGCAGAATTGCCAGATCACTAACTCTGCAAGATTCCAGTATGAAGAGATTAGGCCCATCAAAGAGGCCTGAATTCCTAGGAAGATGATCAAACGTTTCTGGTCTGGGAAATACAGTCATACCTCAAGTTGAATGTGCTTCGGGTTGAGCGCGTTCGAGTTGCGCTCCGTGGCAACCCAGAAGTAATGGAGGGCGTTACTTCCGGGTTTCACCGCTTGTGCATGCGCAGACGCTCAAAATGACATCGTGCGCATGCGCAGAAGCGGCGAAACGCGACCCGCGCACGCGCAGACACACCATCGCATCTTGCATTCCATTTGGGATGCGAACGGGGCTCTGGAACGGATCCCGTTCGCATCCCGAGGTACCACTGTACTAATTAAACACTTACATAGTGAGCACTTGTTAGTGCAAGGCTCTTGTGTATGTGTGGATACATTTTGTACGCACTAGTCACATTCTGTAGCTCTGAGGATGCTCTGATGCACACATAGAACTCTTTCCAAAGCAGCCTTTCCCATTCACTTCACCAAGACAATTCTGCACTAGGCTATGGAGCTACTTCCTCTCACTTCAGTTTTCAAATTACAGTCCTCAGACCCAAAAGAAATTATAGGACATGAATGTCCATGTTCAGCCTATATCAAGATAACCTGTAAATTATCTTAACAAGCTTTCCATGCAGAACACCTGCTGCTAGTTTTGAATCCATATTTTGGTACCTGCATAAAAGATCAGTTAAATAATTTGCATATGAAAGATGCGGCAGCCATGTCTGAACATTTTGCTTTTGCATCCAACTGTGGGCATTGAATGACCTTTTAAGGACACCATGTAATGTGTTCTTTATACCATTGACGTTCTGACAGGATTAGAAGAATGAGGAGAAAAGAAACCATCACATGAATCAAACATTTACAATTCTAAAGAAAGTGTAAGAAAAACATTCTTTGTGAGGCAGATCTTTTAAACCGGATTCCATGTGGTGCCTGTTCCTTTATAGAAGGTTTTTAACCTTTTTGTTTATGAGTGAAGTCAAATGTTAGCAAGCTCCTGTTGAATTTCATATTATTTTGCTTTGAAAGGGGCCATTTATGCTCCTGTGATGGCGAACAATCATTTCATTCCTCTAACCCCTAAGGGTACTAAATAAAACAAAGCCTTACAGCGTATATTAGCAGGAAAAAATAAGCTTCTTAAAAATCATTTCGAGAACAATTCCTTTGTAGCCTACATTAACCAATAACCCACAGAGTACAGCTCCATAAAATCACAGGGATACATTGTGCATTTAAATAAATGTCATCAGATGAAATCTACAGTTCTAGAGAGAATCAGAATTAATGGCTGAAAGGCACTTTATGTCCTGACACATTCTTCGAATGCCTGATCAAAAATCAAAGTTAAAAAATTGTGCATAATAAGGCAGTCTGCTTTCTCCCCACTATCTTTTCTGCAGTCACTGTTTTTCAACCTTAATGTATATCACATATTCATTTGAAAAAACAAAAAAACATTTTACTTAATTGTAGACACCCAAGGAAGGTTCTTAGCAGTTTGCTAGTAACAATGATACCTATAAAACTTCCACAACTGAGCAATGAGACATCTAGTTCCCTAGGAGTCACCAATGAGGTACCAGCCAAATGTTGTTGGACTACAACTCTCATCATCCCTGACTATTAGCCATGCTGGCTGGGGTTGACAGGAGTTGTAGACCAACACCATCTGGAAGGTAGGTGGTAGATGACTTTTTGTCACGTCACAATATGGGGCAGAAGTCCATGTTTCCCCACCAACTGCTTGCTACCAACAGCCAATTATATCAAATGAGACCGGGAAACACAGAAAGTTGTGGCTTCATGACACAAGTTACAGTCTACCTAGTTTAGTTCGCAGTTCTGTTAGTTTTGTGGCACCATTTAAATAATTTGTTGGCAAATGTTAGATTCCTGCTCCAAGTGAAATTCAACGCTATCTGTTCAACAATGGAACAGACACAGTTAACAGAACCAATTCCATCTCCCCTGTAGCTTCCTGCATGTGCCCCAGATTAACTGAGGGTGGGTTGGGGGGGCTGTGGAAGGCAGAAGAGCAGGGGGAAATGCTGTTGCATGAGCATAAATCCGCTTGGATGACTTTGGATATCACTCTCCATGTCCATGTTTTAAAGTTCTTAAGGGTTTGGGTTGTTATCACGCTCACAGACTCCAAATTGATTTTTCTGAGATTTTAAACAGAACTCCACTGATCACTTATACATGTCTAGTCAGACTTAATCCCTGTTGAGTTCAGTGAAGTTCCTCCCAGATACATAAGTACAGTGGTACCTCGGGTTAAGTACTTAATTCATTCCGGAGGTCCGTTCTTAACCTGAAACTGTTCTTAACCTGAAGCACCACTTTCGCTAATGGGGCCTCCCACTGCTGCCGTGCCGTGTTCTTATCCTGAGGCAAAGTTCTTAACCCGAGGTACTATTTCTGGGTTAGCAGAGTCTGTAACCTGAAGCGTATGTAACCTGAAGCGTATGTAACCTGAGGTACCACTGTATAGGATCACAGCCTTGTTAAGACAGGGTATTAAATGATCCATAGGCATATATGTAACTGTAGCTGTTGAAACCCTGGCTCTTAGCATCTTGCAATTGTTAAGTTGCAATTTATGCCATTCCAAAACATGATGCTATAAATTATTCAGGACCCCCCCCCCAAAAAAAAATGGTACAGAAGGTCAGATAACACTCAGATATGCATAACTTAAAATAGACATACCAATTATAATTTTCAACCACAAAGTTCCTGTATTGGAAACATCATGAATCTCCCAGCCACAACCACAGGACAGTAATATACTGACTCTTTGTGGGATCATTAACCTACAATAACTTCTTAATCTCTCATAACCAGTAATTTTCAAGCACAGCTGACAGGCAGGTTTTGTTTCTTTTGTAGGGCGAGATTAATAATTGCTTGTGTCCAAAAGTGGGCAGCTGCTCTCAGTTTTCGAGGCAATGTTAACAGTGCGCAATCTATTTTAATAAGGGCCGAATCCATGTCTTGCAAGCAACAAACAAGATGTGCTGTTTCCATAGAAACAGAAGGTGGTACTATTAAAAAGGAATACGCCATTCAGTAGTTGCTTCTCTTTAGGGAGCCTCATTTGCAGCCAGTTTCAGACAAACTGTACATGTGGATTCTACCACCTACTGATAAAGATCATTAGATATGCCTGTTTAAGACTTTGCTAACTGAGGCTCATAAAGCACCACCGAGAGAGTGGAATGGTGTGGTGTGGGGAGCAGTGTGGGAATAAGCAACTCCCCTCTTAAGACACATTTGGGCACCTAAGTAAACTGAAAATTAAAAGTAAATCCTGTTCCCAACTCATTTGCTTTCTAGAACAACACCCTCCCACCCAGAGGATTCTTTCTTAGGGCGAATTCACACATGCCTCTTCATCACAGCTGAGTATGTGAACTGACTCATTTGAAACAGATAGGGCTGAAGGCAAAGTGAGGCAAGATGACAGTTGTGTTTGGGTTGTTTGATTTGCAGTGTGTCATTCACACTGGCAAGGTGCCACCTGATACATCAATGGGTGACCACTTCTAGGAGAAAACTATGAGAAGCCGGAGAGATGTTCAGCAGCTATCTAATCCATGATCTCATCCCCTGTTTTTTCCTATAGCCAGCTTTTCTATTGAAAACCTTCACTGATGGAGATCCCACGATTTCTCATGAAATGTATTTCATTGCTTATCATATTCCCAGACATGAAGTGTTTTCTTACACCCACACAATGTTTAATCAGTTCTCCTGAATCTTCCTGCTAGCTATTCATTTCCTTGACTCAGCCCCATCCCCTGCCATTACCACGATTTAATTTGCATCATTCTTACAATCAGGCTGTCCAGAGTTTAAATTTAAGGGAGGACATCCCAAAAGTTCAGCTGCATTTGAGGAACCAGTCACAGTGCTGCCCGACCCTGGCTCAGTGTCCACATGCAAAATGTGATTAATAATGCAGGCAAACAACAGTCTGGAATAAAAATGGCCACAACTATTTTTTATTACAGGTGTAGGAGGAATTTTGGCTCAGGCATTCCTGCTGGAGGGCTGGAACCGCTGCAAGGTTGTCCCAGGATAGTGGCTTCCCCAAGACGTCAATCTACTGAGTTGTCTGTCCTCAGGCCACCATCTGCCCTACACTTGGCTTCTGGACAGGGACATCCACTGAGACCCCTTGAATGGGCGCTGAGGTATGAAGGCACTGCTGGTTTTTATGCCCCACTGGCTGCCAGGGCATGCATACAACCAATGCCTTTTCAGTCAGTGAGACACACCCCACAGAGGAGGCCATTCAATGGCCCAGACAGCCAAGGGGAATTCCCTCAATGGCCACCTGACCATGTGTATTCTGTTTTCATTTTACTGTCTTGGGATGGTCACCAAGCCTGAGGATCTGCAACAGCTGCCCACGTGGTAGAAGGGGTATGCGTCCATTCTATAAACACTTACCTGGAGTTAAGTCCCATTGAACTCAGTGGGGCTTACTTCTGAGTAGACATGCATAAGATTGTACTGTAACAGAATTTATGGATGACAATAAATTGTTATTAGAGTACAATTGTGAGCCTATTTACTCAGAGGTAAGCTCCACAGAGCTCAATAGGTCCTACGGTTAAGCTTTCACCCTAAATACATCTATTAGCAAGTAAGCCCCATTGAATATAGTGGAACTTACCCCTGAGTAACCAGGGGCTCATTGTGTGTTATTTATGGCTTATCTATCAGTTTGCCCAAACGTTAGGACTGGTAGTTTATATTTTAAAATGTGTGTCAGTTCTTCATATTTGTTACCCAACAAAATATATGCCTAAGGAAAACTGGGTCATAGCTATGAATTTTCTACAAGCTTGAGCTGAACTGTGCATCATTCCTGGTGTTATTTTTATATTTATATGAAGCCATATGGCAAACCCACTTTAATTTCTATTTTGGTTGCTCTGGAGACTCATATTGCTGGCAGAGACTCCATTACACAGCCACTATTAATAGTGGTTAACACCTTTAAATTGAGCCCTAATCAAATTACTTAGTGATCAATAATGCTCCTGCCAACTCCAGCTCCTGTATAACACACACACACACACACACACACACACACACACACACACCAGTTCCTACAGTTGCTTTGATAGAAGCAGAAACCTCTCAACTGCTTTTTGAACTTCCACTAAGCTGAAGTCCAGTCCCCAGAACATCTAGACAAGGGATTGGGAACCTGTGTTGCTCTCCATAAGTTGCTGGACTCTAACTCCCATCAGCCCCAGCTGATATGGCCAATGGCCTTTGATCACAGTTGCAGTCTAACCACATCTGAAGGGCCACAGGATTCTCACCCTTGATCAAGAACATAGTCAATAGCGTCCAGTGGTAAAAACAGCTCTTGCATGACTCTGCAAGGCAGAGCTTTCAAAACTGTGTGTCGCGACATATTAGTATGTCAGCTGCAGTGTGTAGGCATGTCCCACGAACACTCCCTACGCTCCTTCCAGGGCTGGAAAGGGGTTCGTTTAACCTCCGGTTTGCTAGTAAAACCAAATTACTGTGTCACAAAATGATGCATGTCTAAAAACTGTATCACCAACATGAAAAGTTTGGAAAGCTCTACTGCAAGGTGTTCATGAAACCTGATGGAAGTTCAGAGGTGGCCAAACTCAGACATCAGTGTGACTACAGAAACATGCATATGCAGTGGTACCTTGGTTGTCAAATGGCTTGGCTCCCAAAAAAATCAGCTCCTGGACTCCACAAACCTGGAAGTGAGTGTTCCGTTTGCAAACTTTTTTTGGAAGCCAAACGTCCAATGTGGCTTCCAGTTTAGTGCAGGAAGCTCCTGCAGCCAATCGGAAGCTGCACCCTGGTTTTCGAACAGTTCCAGGAGTTGAACGGACTCCTGGAACAAATTAAATTGTGTATTATGATGTTAACTGTCATAATGTCCTCCAAATAACCATGGAAACTGTATTTTGTTATGGGTGTTGGGAAGTGTAGCCCTGTTTGGGGTCTCCTAACAACTCTCAGCACCTTTAACAAACTACCACCAACGTGCCCACCAAAGTTGGCTCTTGGGGGATTAGGAGAACCCCCCCCCCCCAGAACAAGCATGCAGGTTGAGGAGAGTGTTATGAGAGCTTGCAGCTTGGGGGAATTAGACCAAAACAATCATTTACAGTTTCAAAGACTTTATTCATGCAGGAACAGATTTATTTTGGCAGGAACTATTTACAGGATCAATAGAGATGATAAGAGTGAAATAGCAGTCTCTTGTCTCAACAAGTTGGGAGAGAACAACAAAATGGCTCACCTTTGGGGGGCAGAATTAACTTACACAGAGGCTACAAACAAGGGATGGCTAGATTGCTAAACAAACAGTGCCCTTGTGTGATTTAATGTAACACATGAAATAACCACAAGCTCAAGAGAAGGAAATGTATTTGATTTTCTTCAACAGAGAGGGGGAGATCATTCTGTCTGGCAAGCTGATTATCCCTGTTGGAATTATCACCTTAGCATGGTGTCAGATTCCTCCCTAACCACAAACATTACAGTGCCAATAATACAATATCAATTATAATTTACAAAGAACACCAACATACCACGAAGACAGAAAGCTGTAACTGGAATTAGTCAAACTTAATACGAAGATCATGGCCACTGGCCCCATCACCTCCTGGCAAATAGAAGGGGAAGAAATGGAGGCAGTGAGAGATTTTACTTTCTTGGGCTCCATGATCACTGCAGATGGTGACAGCAGCCACGAAATTAAAAGACGCCTGCTTCTTGGGAGAAAAGCAATGACAAACCTAGACAGCATCTTAAAAAGTAGAGACATCACCTTGCCAACAAAGGTCTGTATAGTTAAAGCTATGGTTTTCCCAGTAGTGATGTATGGAAGTGAAAGCTGGACCATAAAGAAGGCTGATCGCCGAAGAATTTTTTTGAATTATGATGCTGGAGGAGACTCTTGAGAGTCCCATGGACTGCAAGAAGATCAAACCTATCCATTCTTAAGGAAATCAGCCCTGAGTGCTCACTGGAAGGACAGATCGTGAAGCTGAGGCTCCAATACTTTGGCCACCTCATGAGATGAGAAGACTCCCTGGAAAAGACCCTGATGTTGGGAAAGAGAAGGGGACAACAGAGGACGAGATGGTTGGATAGTGTTCTCGAAGCTACCAGCATGAGTTTGACCAAACTGCGGGAGGCAGTGGAAGACAGGAGTGCCTGGCGTGCTCTGGTCCATGGGGTCACGAAGAGTCGGACACGACTAAACGACTAAACAACAACAACAAATAGGTGACTCTTTGGGAGGAAGGTTGGGTTACAAATCTAAGCCAGGGGTTCCCAAAATGTGAGCTTAATTCAGATGGTCAGCAACATGTCTTTGGATTCGTGGTTGAAGATGATAGATGGCACATTTATTGCATTAAATAGTCACATGCATTTTAATTGTACTTTTATTGCTTCTTTTATTGTATATTAGGAAGCAATAAAAAATACAATAAAAAACCATACTGGGTGGTATTCACTGTAACTCCAATTCAGAGTAGACCCATTGAAAGTGATAAATATTCATTTCAGTGGGTCTGCTTTGAATCAAACTTAGTCAAAATTCTATAATCAACAATCCAAATAATATTCTAAAAACCAACAGCTACCTTAATAAAATCCTATTAATGAGAAGCCAACCGGAATAGGTGGGTCTTCAGAGCCATAAAAGAAACAAAAAATATGTCTTATTATCTCAGCCATTTTGAAAGCTGTCTGTGCTCATTAATAAGCAAGTTTTGCACCTACCATTTTAGGGCCAGGACATAACATAATCAGAGTTCTTTTACTGTGTTCTTGCAGGCTGCACATATTGGCAGAGTCCTACTGGCACACTGGTTTTGTTGGACTGGTTTCTATTTTCCTATGAAGCTTCAGAAATGTTTTCCGGGTGTGATGAAATATTTTGAACGCAAAGCATCTGCTGCCTGTGAACTTTTTAAAAAAGGACTTCTAAGTCAATACACTTTTTAAACACAACTTTTAAAATTTGTGTTGTAAACCCTCTGTGACTTTAATAATTTCCTACTAACCTTGGAGAAAACACAGACTGCCAGCAGCTTTCTCGTGGCACAGGGCTCTTCCTAGTAGATTTATAAATGTTGCAGCAGTCAGCTTTGTATAGAACTTGTGGGGCAACTAGGTTTAAGCCACTGGTTGGATTTATACTTGGAGTTTGCAAAATTAAATTTGGTCCATGTTCTATAATAGCCACACTTGCATGCAGTGCTGCAACTGATCTAGCTAATGATGTGACCAATCATGGTAGTTTTCCATTCCTCTTTAAAAGTCCTTATGAAACCCAGGCTTTTCTTCTATAGCAGCCAAAAAACATTCTTCTCCAAACTGTCTTGTGCCATTTAACACCTTGCCAGAATGGATGAGTCTCAAGCATCAGATTGCAGCCAAATCTTAACCCTCACATTTTCCTGTTCACATCAGACATGAGTATATACTTTAAATGTGTACATTGTTAGATGGTTATTAATGCTGCTATAGGATCTTTATAGTGTTGACTACAATCATGTATGAATGCCCGCCTTGGACAGAGCACTCTGGATATCATTTGAACCTGCACCAGTGACTGAATATATTATTGATCAACCAAATTTAATGCTGTGTATTGATGTTCTCTAAGAAGAAGATAACCAAATCTGCTGCTCCACAATTCACCAGCCTAGAAGATGAGTGATCAGGCAGTCAGCAAGTGACTCAGCTTCATTTATCCACACCTGAAGAGCTGGCTCACCTTTCTCCTGCACAACAAAATAGGTGCTGACTAAAAAGTTGGCAAGGGTGGGCGAGCACCTGTTGATAGAATACATGACACAGGTCACATTCAACCTACCTGTTGCTGTTGTATTAGCTATTCTTTGGTATATAATTGCAGGCACATCTGACATGGTATGCTTTCCTTGCACGTGATTTTTAATATGCAAGTCCTATATAACTCTTATGCCTGAATATGGAATGTAAACACAAATAAACGGCCTCGGCCCAGTATACCTGAAGGAGCTTCTCCACCCCCAGTGTTCAGCCCAGACACTGAGGTCCAGCACCGAGGGCCTTCTGGCGGTTCCCTCACTGTGAGGAGTGAGGTTGCAGGGAACCAGGCAGAGGGCCTTCTCAGCAGTGGCTCCTGCCCTGTGGAACACCCTCCCATCAGATGTCAAGGAAATAAACAACTATCTGACTTTTAGAAGACATCTGAAGGCAACCCTGTATCGGGAAATGTTTAATGTCTAATGTTTTACAATTTTTTAATGTGTTGTAAGCTGCCCAGAGTGGCTGGGAAAACCCAGCCAGATGGGCGGTGTATAAATAAAAGAATAATAATAATAATAATAATAATAATAATAATAATAATAATGGGACACTGGGAGAGGAGTGAATTTCAGACCCATCCCAACACACACACCTCTTCATCTGCTTGCACAATCTGGAACAGAGCCTTGTTGCTCAGAGAATTCTATGTGTGCTCAGTCAAACATAGGTAGTTACTGGCAAGAGATGGCCATGGGCCATACTTTCTTATACCACCTACCCAATGCAAATTTAGATTTTTTAAATAACCAAATAAACATGAAAATTATATTTGAATATGTGTAATCCATGCTGTTATAATTATTTTAAGCTAGACTCCACTGGCAGCAATCAATCTTTGTGGGGCGCCCACCCCAGAACTTGTGCCTGTGTTGGGACACCACCGGCACCTCCCTAGTTACCACTTATAATATAATTTTTGCAAGTGTCTCTTACCCAACAGATTACCCTGAGGGGATGTAGCCCTTAAGAGAGACAGAAATCCCAAACCTTGGTTTGCTGAGAATTTCTCAATGTACACCAATTGTAATCTGAGCCAAATCTGCCCTCTAAAGGGTCAGTCCTTCTTCACAGCAAATTGTGCCTTTCCATCATCAGTTTGCAACAGAAAATCACCATTCTTTTTCTGTTTCAGTCTCTGAAGACAAATAATATAGGAAGAATGTGTAATTCCATTTGAATGTCATTGCTGCTATTCCCATCCTCAACATTAAGTTTCCCAGTACAGCACCTCAGTTTCCCAGTACAGTGTACGCTCGGGTTGCGAACGTGATCGTGCGGGATACACGTTCGCAACCTGCAGCATCCGCAACCCGCGGTGGCGCGTCTGCGCACATGCAGGTCACGATTTAACGCTTCTGTGCATGCGCAACCGCCGAAACCCGGAATTAACTCATTCCAGTACTTCTGGCTTTCTGCGATCCATAACCCAAAAAAAACGCAACCTGAAGCGTCTGTAACCCGAGGTATGACTGTAATGCCAATGGACTTCAACACAGTGCTACATTGTTTGTAATTGTGTAGTGGTACCTCAGTTTAAGAAGGGCCCTGTTTATGAACTCTTCGGTAGATGGACTCTGCAAAACCAGAAGTGTTCCAGTTAGTGAACTTTACCTCGGTCTAAGAACGGAATCTGAATGGTGGAAGGGCACCGGCGGTGGGAGGCCTCATTAGGGAAAGCGCGCCTTGGTTTAAGAACAGCTTTGGTTTAAGAACGGACTTCTGGAACGGATTAAGTTCATAAACTGAGGCACCACTGTATTGGTGGATGCAACTGATATAAGAAAGCACAATTTTCTGATAGGTCAATTTCTTCTCAAGGCAATCAATTTTATGAGTTTTCTTCTTACTTGTTCAGTTGTTTTAAAAAAAACTTTTCAGCACCCGTTTCTTGAATTTCTGCACTGCATCGCGGGATTAATCTCTCACACAAAGTCACCCAATATTAACAGTGACATGACGTGCTAGAAAGAGAATCGTGTTGACCTTTTCAAAGCATTAATCAGCTCTGCTTTGGAACAATGGATGTTGAAAGATGCTGTTTTAAAAATGTGACTTCTGGAAGAGCTTTTGAACAGAAAGGAAATTGTACAAGATAATTTAACTGGTCAATAAACCTAGCGATGCGCTTGCTTTGCTCTTGAGGGATATCCATCTAAATGCTTTTGGAGTGGAAATGGTGTCAGGGGACACTTTTGTAGCTGTCTATGTGAAAAAGTGCCCTGCGATGCTTCATGCTTTATTCATCAGCCAAGACTTAACACCTCAGGATTCTATAAATTAAATATTAATTGTTTTTATAGGATCCCTAAAAACATGGTGTATTCATTAAGTTAGCTTGCACGTATCTAGTCTCCAAGGGGGAAACAATCTATCCCAATTGAGGATACTTTTGGGCCAGTTTAATCAGGACAATCGCTTTTGAATGGTAAGGCTAAAACCAATTAATGACAGAGATGGAGTCATGGGGAAAACACAGATACTCTAGTTAGTATAACAGGAGAAAACTTTTACAATTGGGGCTTAAGGTGGCTGTGTGTACTTTGTTTTGGAGGGCAGTGCTATAGCTAAAGGGCTGTCTGGTCCATGTCCTGTTTAAAGACATTGGGTGGCATCCAGTCTTAGTCATACTTAATTTCAATGGGCCTACTCTAACATTTCATTGGGTTTATTCTTGGCTTGACTAAGACTGGATCAAACCCAAGGAACCATAAGGGAGAGCATGGGCCTTGAACTTGTTAATCAACAGTCACCTGGACAAGAGACTGGGCAGACACACAGGTGACCCTGTCTCAGTCTTCATCACTATGGTTATATTTCTTGTATTTCTATTTGAATTTTAGTAATCATTTCTAAATGTTCATCTAGGCATATAAATTAGCATATGCAAACTTTATGCAAAATTTGCCCTATTTTGGTGGTATGTACCATCCTGTTGGTACTGCATGTGTTGAAAATAAAAATCCAGGAACACTTAAGTACAGCTTTGGATTTTATGGAGAACTATGACATAGTTCTGACTGGACAAGCTTCGTTAACTTCTGTTCTGTTTTCAAGCCCTGTTGAAAATATTAATAGCATCAATTCATCAGTAAAAGCCCAGAGAGATGTGGAAAAATAACTTCTATCTAGATGAACATCCAGGCATAAATCTGATGCTAAAGAGAGAGACAGAGCAGTGTCTTGTGAGGTGTTTATGTGTCTGTCTCTTTGGCTCTGTGTGTGGTCAGAGAATTGTGAAGAGATAGTCATCTCTATCCCTTACAAACCAGTTTGTAAGAGTGAGAATCTCCCACCTACAGTATGTGCTCTAAAAAGCTATTTTTCTCTCTCTTGACTAGTGTCAGGGAATACAAACTGTGGTAGTTCCATGCGGGTCCACTATGGAAGTATACACTGAGCTCTAGTTCCAGAAATCTCTTCCAAGATGGAAAGGTCACTATGCATTTCTTTGAAATCTGGGGGCAGGGGGTGGGACCATACACCAATACAAGACTGCTCAGGGCCAAACTAGAAAAATTGCATTGGCTGGCTCTGAAAGAATCTGTGTGAATGAGGGCAGAATCATGCTCACTGTAACATGCAACTGCTTTTTATTCTTCTGTCTGGAGTTTGGATTATAGCTCATCCAATTTCATTTTGAAAGGGCACTATGTTCTTTCCCTCTCACAAAAAAATTAATACTAGATAAGCCTGCTTATATTGAAAAACTGGTAATGCTTAAAAATAATAAAACAGAAGAAGAAAATGTTAAGTTCATGTCTCAGGGCAGGAGTAGGTATTTGAAACTTGTGGCTGTGGTTAACAAATGTACTCAGCATTTGCCAGCGGGGATGCTGAAAAAGAAGGGCTGTAGCTCAGTAGTAGAGCATCTGATTATTATTATTATTATTATTATTATTATTATTATTATTATTATCCCACCCATCTGACTGGGTAGCTTCCAACAGATATAAAAGCATAATAAAACATCTATCATTAAATGCTTCCCTGTACAGGGCTGCCTTCTGATGTCTCCTAAAAGTTGTCGTTCTTTATCTTGTTGACATCTGATGGCAGGGTGTTCCACAGGATGGGTGCCACTACCGAGAAGGCCCTCTGCCTGGTTCTCTGTAATCTCAATTCTCACAGTGAGAGAACAGCCAGAAGGTCCTCAGAGGTGGACCTCAGTGTCCCGGTTGAACGATGGGGGTGGAGACACTCCATCAAGTATACAGGGCCAAGGCATGCAGAAGATTCCCAGTTCAGGTATGGCTGGGAAAGACTGCACTGACTCCACTGAGCAAGATGGATAAATAAGATTTTGTAAGATCGTTTTGTAAGTTCAAGCTCTTTGTGTTCTTTGTCTCTGTGGCAAGCCAGGAAGCGACTGGACAAAGTAATGTGGGTGAAAGAAGAGAGAATCAAGACAAGAGTGGAAATGCTGGTTCAAAATGTCATGATCAATCACACTGACCAAAACATTACTCAAGAAATAGAGCTGGCCATTGTCAATCCCAGGACACCTTTCAAATATTCTGAAGAAAGAGTGTGTTCTAAATAAATGAGAGTGCCAATCAATAGAAAAGCAAACAGAGACACTTCTTGAAAGGCAGGGGTTGAATGTGCAAAGAGAGAACGTACATTTCAAACAGGCTAGAATCAGATGGAGGGCAAGATCTGACCTTTGGTAAAGGTTTTTCTGCTGTATGTTGGGAAGTAAATTAAATTTCCTTTGCTCTCCTTTATAACAGAACAAGATGGTCCAGCAGCAAAGATGCACAAATATTTATTGCCATTGGTAGACCTTTCCAGTGGCAATTTGCTTTGTTTACCAAAAATTAGAAGAGCATGAGAAAACAGCTTATCAGACTAGCCCTCGTACTTGCAAAGGTTACTGATTCTGGGGGGAGATGAAAATAAAACCAGAATTCGTGTAGAAAGAAAGACAATTGTTTATCTCAAAAATGTTTGTGGAGGAAATATATTTCTGCTTGTTGAACCTGGAATGCATCTGTAAAAGGAAAGGTGTGGATTGATATTTGGGGGGAAGTTGATATAAGGCCAGAGTATTCTGTGCCATGTCATTGTTGCAATAATAGTGTGTTACTGGTGAATACATACTGGATCATGCCCACATCATTCCACCTTATTAGTTGTTCTGTGATGCTTCCTCAATATTTCCACATTACTGCCATCTGGAGAGCTACTCTTGCACTATAGCACAACAAAAGCAGGACAAAAATAATCTGGAACAAAATAAAAGTTACTGGGGTGGCGGAGTTTAATTGGAGTGCCAGCCATCCCAGTGCCAGCCATAGACTGAAAGAGTCGGAGGATGTGCTCCTTTTCCGGAAGAGCTTTCCAGCAACTGAAAGGACCACAAGATCTCTGCTTTTTATGCTATCCTTGTATTCTAGTCTAGCAAAAAAGCCCTGTTAAAATATCAACTTGGAATTTCTTTTATTGCCTACATGAATAATAATAATCCTTGTCAAGAAAGATGCTGCTGTGGTTTACCATCCCATACTATACCGAATGTATTTGGGAGGGTGTTTTTAGGTTGTAGGAATACAGTCATGTATCCCAATGTTTCACTTTTCTTGCAGCCTCTGCCTTCCTTTGAGCAAGCTTAGAAGAACACAGTTCTGTATTACGTCTTCCCCACTGTCTTTACATTATGCTGGTTATGGGGGGCCCTCGGGCTGTTGTTGAACTATAACTCCCATCATCCCTAACCATTGGTCATGCTTGCTGGGGCTTATGGGAGTTGTACCTCAGCAAAATTGGGTAGGCCCACTGTTTCCCCACACCTGCATTAAATTATGCTACCTGTCTGCTTCTTGTTCTTGTTATGTGCAAATACATTAGGGATAGTGTTTGTTTATAACCACAGGCAACTTGTTTACTAGCCCAGATGCAGCCTTAACTGAGATAAAAAGAAATTAAGATGATCTGGAGAAAGATACAGCAGAGGAGGAGCGGTGGGGAATCATCAGACTGAATCAGATCCTTCATTACAGGCTTCTCTAAAATAGTTTTGGAACATAATGCTGCACTAATCTTCTCCCTACAATCATATTTAAATTGCTTTTGATGTGACCAGAAAACATAATCAAAAGATTCCCTTTTCCTGTTCTTTTGACAAGCGCAGTAAAAAAAATACAGCCTAGAAGCACAAGACATACCATTAGCAAACAAGAAGTAATAAAAGCAATCAGCCCTACAAAAGTCTACTCAAAAGTAAGTCCCACTGAGCTCAATGGGGCTTACATCCCATTGCAGGCTAAATGAACCCTCTTTATAAATGAAAAGTCTGATTCTGCATTGTCCAATAGACAATATCCTATGCTTGTCATATCAGAGGAGACACACCGAAATCAATGGACCTAAATGACAAGCTACAAAATAGTGAGCAAGCTTTTCAGTCCACCAGAATGCTTCATCAGGAAGCATGTCAACCAAAACAAGGGTTTTAAGACAGAAAAAACCAAAGAATTCTAGGCCTTGTAGTTTACCTTTCACAGATTTACAATTCCCAGTAACCCTTAACAAACTGGAGTATCCATAATTATCATTTTTTTGGAAATGGACTTTAAAGATATTTTGTGTTCAGTCTGCTCACGCAATGTTGGACACAAGCCTATGTCTTTTACATATTGTATTTCCTGCGTGCATTTAAAGCACACAAACCCAAAGAGAATCCTTGGAATTGTACTTTTCTCCTCACAGAGCTACAGTTCCCATGATTCGTGTGTGTGTGTGTGTGTGTGTGTGTTTTCTTTAAATGTATGGTGTGTACAGAGTCACTGTGAAAGTGTTGCATGGAATAGATATGTCACACTTACCATTCAGTTTTCTTGAACTGGGCAAGCCCCGTGTCCCAGGACCACTGTTTGCTGTTTGGAATCACCTTCCAGTTTGTGTCGGTGTGCATTCACAGCAGTCTGAAACAAGCCTAGCTGATCTGGATTTCAGCCTAATATTGTGACTGCAATGAAGCTGCTCAGACAGCACTACCCAGTCTGCCACTTTATTAATTTCTGTCAGTTGAACTGGTTCATTTCGATTGTTTCCAGGTCAGCTGGAGAACTGAAAACAACCAACAAGATTATCTGTGGCTTGCAGGGATGAAAAGATGGATGAGCTGCCGTTTAAAGGATCCCCACACCGTAGAGTCATCATCTGCTGCAGGGAGCATATGGAAGTGTTTCTAAAAAGACTGTTGTGCATTCCACATGTGTTAATAGCAACTTCAGGGGGCAATTTCCATGGGGACTCCAGCAGTATAAAGCCCCTATCCTATGTTTCTAAGTCCTGATCCTGATCTTATTGGTGGTGGTGCAGAATCCTTGACTCATTAAATTGGTTTGTGCATTTAAAATCACATCTAGTCTCAGACCCACAACTACTTCTTGTGACTGCAACATTCTCATTTGTAACTATTTAAAGGCAGAGAGATACTATTCTGCCAAAGATCTACGAGCTACATGTCTGAAAAGGAATTGGGTCTCATGGCCTAGCACCATCACTTGTATCTGTTGCTCAAAGCTGGATCCCAGCTGGAAATGATATCTTAGATTATCCAATAACTCAGTAAATGTACAGGGGCTGGCACCTGATAAGAGCGTTCACTCCATCACACCAACTAAAAGGAAGACAGAGAAAGTGGAAGGCCAAGGTAGGGCACATGAGACAGTCTGTGTACCCATTACTATTTACTCTGACTCCAGTACACTCCCACTGCTGCTGTTCTGCTAAACTAAACATGGCTTTGGTCACAATCCAGATGTATCTTCTAGTTTATTGAGAAATACTGTGATTTGATGCCTTTTCCCTCAAACCAGCTTCCAAACAATTTGAAAAGCAACCCATGAGGAAGCAGAAGTGTGTACATTTCAAATATATATTGTTTGTGCAACGCCCTGATAAGTTATGAACCGTCCTGAGATCTGTGGATGAAGGATGGTATACTACTACTACTAATAGAAGGCTTTACTGAACAGGAGTTTGGAGGGTTGTAGGTCCAGGAAAACAACTCAGGTAATTGGGTAGTGGCATGTACAGCAATGTAAAACACAGCAGTACTTGAAATGTACAGTGCCGGGGGGAGCAACCTTACTGATATCAATGATTATATGGTTTATGTGGCAGTGTAAAACACTGTGTGTGTGTGTGTGTGTGTGTGAGAGAGAGAGAGAGAGAGAGAGAGAGAGAGAGAGAGTATATCTGTGGTACTAAAGGAACGAAAACATTAATAATGCCCTTTTGGTTGAGCTTTAAAAACCAGTTATTTAAAACCTCTGAGGTTTTCTAGATCTCAGCGGGCTAATCATGCTTAGTTTCTAGCAGGATCAGGAAATGTGTTTCAGTTTGTTGGAGTTTGTAAAATAGAAATTGTGTAAATTTCTGATTTGAGTCCCCTGTGGGTTTCAGGGAACAGCAGGCTCTGATATCCCTAGTCTGCACTTACACATCAAATACCTGTGAGTTAGAAGTAAGGTGCAGTGATGGTGCAGCTAATTTTAGACCCTGGATTCAGTGGTCAGGGGCGGGGTTTTGGACAGCCATCCATTAATTCTGTTGCAAAAAGCAAGAAAACGGCTTGCCAGTTCTCTTGCATCTCAGTACCTTTGCACTTATTGGCCAGGACACTGAAAGGTAGGAACATAGGAAGCTGCTTTATACTGAGTCAGATCACTGTTCCATGTAGGTTAGTATTGTGGGGAATCTTTGGTCCTCTGGATGTTACCATACCACAACTTCCATGAGCTCCAGCAAACAAGGCCAATTACCAGAGGTGATGTAGTCCAGTAACATCCAGAGGGCCAAATATTTCCCTCATCTAGTCTACAGTGACTGGCAGCAGATCTCCAGAGTTTCACACAGGGGGCATTCCCAGTCCTAGCTGGAGATGACGGGGACTACATTGGGCATATTTGCAAGACAAAAATATGCTCTGTGGCTTAGCTCTGCCACTGTCACCCTGAGCTGGTCAGGCCACCCTAGCCTCCCTTGTAGCTACAGCTCTGGGTGGAACATTTGATCACAGCTGCTGTCCTGCATATACACAAAAACAAGGGAGTTCTAAAGCATACAACATGCCAACCATTTCTACAGTATTATATGCTTAGCCGCTGCAGGTCATTCAAGAATAAAAACAAGTAAGTCACTATGTATATTAGAGGGGATTTTTTTAAAAAAAAATATGGTTTTGATTTCCCATCTCATCTGATAGCGGAAATGTGTTCACCGATGCAAGGTATTTCTGTTAAGTCTTTCCAAAACACCCTCCCCCTTCTATAAGGACTTAGGTGTCACCCAACTTAATTATTCCCTCCAAGCTCGGTTTCCATTGTAGGGCAAAGGGATAAAATGCATTTACTGATCACATCCCCAGTCATAGCAATTTAACACTTTCAACTTATCAAGGTAGGATTATGATGAAAGATACAAATTAACTGCAAACAGTTCTATTGCAATATGTGTTTGTACTTTCAATATTTTTTTTCCCTCCTCCTTGAAGATCTCAGAAAAGCATTATGTTTTCCATTAATCTAGAGGTGGTGAGGCTTAAAAAGCACTGTCACCATTCCAAATCACTGTGGTTCACCACAAAAGCTCAGCTCCCTGCAGCCCAATCTAATTTTCCACATGGGCAAAGATGACCAAGGAAACCCAAATCCTGTGCAAAAAGAAGTTGGCCTGGGAAGTTAGGCACACTTGCATGTCCTTTTGTATTTTGCTATTTTTATTCCTTTGGACCAACCTTTGGCACATAGCCTGTGAGACCAAGACTGACTGTACCTTTAGTTCAAGGGTGGCTAACCTTTTTTGGGCCAAAGGGCTTATATGTCACTGGTGGATGTGGCCAAAAGTGGGTATGGATGTGTACACACAGATACACAGCTCTCCCCTTAATTGATCCATGAAGAGTAGCTGAGGAAGGAGATTATTGCCCCCTCTCCATTCATCAATGGTTAATACGAGTATCCTATTAAGGACTACCTCCTTCCCTCCCTCCTTCTTGCTATATACATATAGCCATTCCACCCAAATCAGTGGAGTCTTGGGGGGCAGATCAGGCCCCATAACTGGTGGTTGGCCCCACCTTTTTAGTCAATAGGTAAAATAAATCTATCACCCAATGCTTTTAAAATATTTCTGGCTATTTATTCTTTGAATCTAAGAGTTGGTCTCGGACCTTGTTTAATGTCTCTCCCCACCCCTTCCCAAAATAATTTATGCCCCTGTTGTTTGGAGAGAGGGAGAAAAATCCATATATGGCAGATTAACCTCCACCACTGTGTTTACTCTGGAAAGACATTTAGGAGTTGCAGATCTCATTAGCATTTTCATTTGTTGTGGATCTGATCTGATCTTATTATCTCTGTCTCATATAATACTTGCAGCTTTTCCTTTAGAGAAAACTGTGGGGGTGTTAACCGAGTTTTGCCTTTTTAATACTTCCAAGGCATAATTGCCACAAGCTTTTCAGAAATCTGCATGTCTGACTATTTAAAAAACATCAACACTAATATTCTGTTCATATCGGCCCTCATGTGTGAGAATCACATTGATCAGAAAGGAAAGTCTTTTGGTCTAAGCCTTCGTACACAGCTTGCTACAGCTTCCTTAGCAACAGAGTTCTGGTGCAGAATGGGGCCAGGATAAAATTTATAATGCTCAAATCCTCCCTGACATTTTGAAATGTTGTCTGCCTCATTGTGCACCGTACGACCTATGTGCTGGCACCAAGGGATGCTGTTTTGTGCTTTCGCAGAACTCAATGTGAATTTTGCCATTGAAGTTTAATGGCACCACTAAAGCTTTGATTGGAAACAAGGTGAAAATACATGCTCCCACTGGTTTTCTATAGGGATAGGAAGGCTTGTTCTCCTTTTAAAGGTTCCTTCATTGTATCCTTTGTGAACTAACTATCCCTTTTATACCAGCTGAACCTTTTCCCGTGAAGTTTAGCACAATGCACTCACTGGCCTGACAATTAATGTTACACATTTAGAAGCACTCAAGTGGTTTTTCTCCTGCCATTTTGATAATGAACTATGGATGTTTCTGTATGTCACCTTCCTTGGTTAGCTGTAAATAGCTAGCATGCTGAGCCACATCTCCTGGAGTCTCAAGGTGGAAGTAGCTATAGTGACCTTCTAGTGTGTCGGTTGTTCCCAGTTGTCACAGCAAATGGAGCAGGGGTTTGCCAATCAGAAGGTTGGCGGTTTGAATCCCCGCGACGGGGTGAGCTCCCGTTGCTCTGTCCCAGCTCCTGCCAACCTAGCAGTTCGAAAGCACACCAGTGCAAGTAAATAAATAGGTACTGCTGTGGTGGGAAGGTAAACAGCATTTCCATGCACTCTGGTTTTCGTCACGGGACACCAGAAGCAGTTTCATCATGCTGGCCACATGACCCAGAAAGCTGTCTGTGGACAAACGCCGGCTCCCTCAGCCTGAAAAGCAAGATGAGCACCGCAACCCCATAGTCACCTTTGACTGGACTTAACCATCCAGGAGTCCTTTACCTTTTTTTTTTTTTACCCTGCCTTTGTTGTTGCCTTTGTTGTCCAACTCTTTGTGTATTATACCCTGCCTTAGGTACACTCAAATACAGCGAGGTTCTCCACTGCATGTATACTAAATAGTTCTGGGTATGGATGAGTACCAATTTGCCTTCTTGGGCCTTTTCACACTTGCCATTTATAGTGGAATAGTTGCTATTTTTTTTCTGGATGTTTTTGCATGCTGCCACTCCAAAAATTGCTTTTTATTCTACTACTACAAAAAAAGAAAACAACCCACCAGCATTTTCATTTGTGTGGCACGTGTACAAGCACTGTCTTGGTTCCTGTGTGGAGGAGGTAGGAGTTGGTGGGCACACCCTGGGAGACATGCTTTTTTTGCACCACTTCCCTCCTCTGACTGGCATAAGCTGCCAGTGTGCAAGTTTAGTTCAGAGGAAAGGATATGGCAGATAGAGATCATGACATTGGGTCAAGGTACTGCCTATGACAGCAATCATTTGCTGCAGACAACATTTCATCACAATAAGCAGGATCACCATAGTTCAGGCAGACATGCAGTTCCTCTGGTAATCTCGTATACTCCCATGAGTTCAGATATCTGGAACAATAGGCATTGGGGGGGCAGCCAATAAAAGGCTATCCCCATGCACATGCTCATAACTCTGACATTTACTTGTTTAAGGAACACAAGAGTACATAAGGGTGGTGAACTTTTCTCAGTTAAGGCACAACTTGCCACCAGTGTGGAAAGGAAAACCCCACATTCACTCTCAGATAACAATGCCATGTGGCCAAACAACGACAAATTCATGCATGAGAATGTCAGCTCAAATAGAAACTATACTGATATAAATTGTAAGTGCAAAATAATTTGTAGCATTTATTCATAGTTTAGGGAAGCTGAGAAAGTCTGAGGGTCACAAATACCTCTCTGGGAGAAGGGACACTAAATTATTTTTGGTTAAAATAGTTTTTGCACATTTAGTATTCTTGGAGTTGCAGGTTTAAAAGGAAAGAAAATTGACAACGAATGTGATGTTCCCAGACAGGGACTGAAGTATCGAGCGTTGCTGATTCACTGACTGGACAGTATGCTAATGCAATTAAAAATAATTTGAATAGCTTCTAAATCACAACCTCAACAAGTCCTTAACTAATCTTAATTCAAGGGTACTTCCAGGCAAGTCTTCTGTTATCTGGCTATATTAAGCTGGAAAGAAACCCTGGTCTAAAGAATGTTCCACAATGTGATATATAGATTCCTAATTAAAGGATCCTCTTAAAGATAATCTATATCTATGATTTAAGGTCTCGTAGATGTAGGCAGTTCAGAGATGGTGAGCAATAGAGGGTTTTCTCTCTCTGTTACTTCACGAGCTAGCTATATTCTCCTGCATTTTTCAGAGAGAAGGAGACAGATAACCTGTTACACAATATTGCAATAAATCCCCAGTCCCTTCCAGGATTCATCTCTGTGTACAGTATTCCAGGGAATGGGGTTCCCCTGATCCCACTGATACTTATTACAAGCTGTTAGAGGCTTAAAGAAGACCCTGTCCTCCTACTCCTGTTTTTCTGCCAGCTGTCATACTTCAACATTCCAGGCAACCTCAGAGTTGACAGACTGGTTTTTTTAAAATGTGTGTGTGTGTGTGTGTTTACAAAAGCCTTTTCCATTTAATTTACATACTTCTATCTTTCTTTATATTTAAGATTTATTCTCAGTATGCAGGGGGGAAACACTACCTTATCTACTACTGTATAATATATTTGCCTAAGGCTGTCGTCATGCAGCAGTTTGTTTGGCTGTCAACAGTTGGTGCTGTGAACAGAACACTGCAGCGGCATCAGACCGCGTTGGTGGGTGGCTCACGTGAGCCATGGAGGAACAAACCAGAGAAGCTCCTCAGCAACCAAGGAGGGAAGCAGCAGGCAGCAGGAGAGCAGGAAATATCTCCCTCAGCTTGTCATGCTTATCCCTCCACAGCTTGCCTTGGCTGACTGCCACCAAGTGCCATAATGTCTTCTTTCTTGTGGGAGAAGTTATGAGAGGAAGGGACAGGAGGCCTCGTAAGCTCTAAGGGGAGGGGTGGGTGACTTGACAAGGGCTGGGGGAAACTGCAAGGAGCGGGGTCTCCAAAGGTTGAAAGAATCAACCCTTCTCATATTTCCCCCTTTGAATCTCTGATGTTGAGATTTGGACTGGTGGACCGGCTGACCCATTGCCAATTGGGTGATTGACCAGTGGGCTGTCCTGCACATCTATCAAAAGCTGATCCAGAGTGTGGGCAACAAAAAGTTCTCCACCTCTAGTCTAATGGGTTATTAGGGAGGGCCAGTGAGGTCAAGGGCATGGCAGGGGGTCAGGGATTGCAGGTGGGGTTGGTAAGCAATGCAAGCAGGGGTGGAGCCCCTTGTAAGAGCATCACAAGAGCCTGCTGGATCAAACCAGTGGTCGGTCTAGCCCAGCATTATGTTCTCACAGTGGCCAGCCGGATGTCCATAGGAAATCCACAAGCAGGATATGAGTATTTGGAGGACTCCCAATAGTCAGAGTCTTCCAAGGGCAGCACCTGGAAAAGTCGGCCTGCATAGAGGTTGCATTGCTCAGTGGTAGAACTCAAGCTTTACCTGCAAAAAGTCCCAAATTCAAACCCTGGCATCTCTAGGAAGAGTTGGGAAATATCCCTGTCTGAAATCCTTGGCAGCCTCTGAGCTGCTCTGAGTACAGCTGGGTGGACCAAAAGTCTGAGTCTGTATAAGGCAGCTTTCTATGTTACATTTTCCAGCTCCCTTCTGCTTTCCACTTTCTTGAAGCTCCCCTGCCTTTAATGAAGAGTTTCCCTGTGGTATGGCTCCATTCCTGTCTCTCTTTCTGACCAAAGTCCTGTCTATTTTGGAAAAAGGTGCCAATATTACATTCACCCCAGTGATATAATGGGACATAAAGTGGTACCTCAGGTTACATACGCTTCAGGTTACAGACTCCGCTAACCCAGAAATAGTGCTTCAGGTTAAGAACTTTGATTCAGGATGAGAACAGAAATTGTGCTCCGGCGGCGCAGCGGCAGCAGCAGGAGGCCCCATTAGCTAAAGTGGTGCTTCAGGTTAAGAACAGTTTCAGGTTAAGTCCGGACCTCCGGAACGAATTAAGTTCTTAACCCGAGGTACCACTGTATTACAGAAGTATGACATCTCTTCCAGGTGTCTCTTTACCAGACTCATGCTAGCCATGCCAGGCCTGATATATACGGTACCTACCGTAATCTATGTGAGACTACAAAGACATTGAGCTGAAGGTGAAAATCCAGGCAAGGCAACTCACTCAGATTATCTGTTTTTCTTAAACATACAGACACAGGCAGGCAGGCAGGCAGGCACACACACACACACACACACACACACACACAGAGCAGCTCTTTAGGTCAGTCCATTTTCCTGTGGCATCATCTGTTCTGCCTGGTCAGTGTATTTCCTTATAACTACATTTGGCAGAGTTGCCTCAGATTGTGGAAGGCCTGAATATCAGGCAGGTCACGATTTCTCCAGGTTCCTAACATTAAATGGCTGAATACAGGTAATTTAGATGAATGGTTCTCAAATGATTTCAGTTCTGAGATCAGTTGAGAACCTGCAAAATTCATTCCTGCAAAAACTAAAGTGAACAAGCAGAGAAAGCTTCCATTCCAGGGAACATAATGTCCTCTCTTAAAAGCCCATTGTTTCTCTACCACTGATGCGAAACGATCAAACTTGGCAGTGCGGCACCTTTAAACAAACAGAAAATGAAGCATTGATATCCATTTAATATTTTTTGCTATTTACAGCTTCAACAACAGCAAAGCATCAGTAGCTCACAGACTATGCTATGGGCTATTTATAGCTATTTATTCCTATCTATTTTTGATTCTATTGAGAACCATTCAAAAATCAAGCATGAGCAGAATTCAGTAGTCTACATCACAAATGTGTGTATACACACACACATACATTGTTGGCAGAGCTGCTAGATGCTGGCAGCATTGGCAACAATTCATATATCATTGAATAAAGGCTTAAAATAGATCTAGGAGCTTACATGTCAAGAGAATAAGAATTCTCTAAAATCAGAACCTGCGTAATCAGCAGGTCGCTTACCTGGAACATGTCTTTAGGAGCTGGATGTACCCTAATGGCGTGAATGGCTATGACTGCTGCTTAATTAAGGCAGTTATTAGCATAAGCACTACTTAAAGGGAATACATTCAAATGGCGAGGCTATTAAGTGATGCTTTTCCGGGTGTACAGTTCTGAACTCTGATCTTTTCCGTTAGTCAATTGCTAAAGTTTAAAGCTTAAAGAAAGTCAGAGGCATGGACTGTGAATCCCATGTAACTATCTGTGTTTGGTTACACAAAAACTAGTATGGGTACATCTTCATTGTGCAGGAGTTACTGATTCTGAGAAACCTGCTCAGTCTGTACTGTTGAGTACAGTGTTCAAAGCCAGCCTGTATGAAGTCTTTAAAATGCCCGTTCTGAATCACGGAATCTCAGGCACACATTCTCACACTCCCTTAGAATGAAAAGTGCGAAATTTCCTCTGAAAAGGAAACATGGCCACCATTTGCCATATGCAGTGGTACCTCGGGTTAAGTATTTAATTCCTTCTGGAGGTCCGTTCTTAACCTGAAACTGTTCTTAACCTGAAGCACCACTTTAGCTAATGGGGCCTCCCACTGCTGCTGCACCGCCGGAGCACAATTTCTGTTCTTATCCTGAAGCAAAGTTCTTAACCTGAAGCACTATTTCTGGGTTAGCGGAGTCTGTAACCTGAAGCATATGTAACCCGAGGTACCACTGTATATGAGTGAAACTGGCACCATAAGATCATGGTTCTGAACTTTAGCAATGCATCTTTAGGAGTGCCCAGAAGTAGATGCTAATTTATTTCTCATGATGTAATATGTGTATTCTGAAATAATAACAAAAACCCACATATTTTCTGAAGTGAAAAGTTAAAAAAAACCTGTTTAAATTAAACATATTAATTATTTCAGCGGCATGGAATTTTAACAGAACTCCATTTCTACAAACCTTTCTTAGAGAAGTAGTATGACATGGCCCTGCTAATATTAACTGAGAAGTAAGTGTTGCTACAGGATGCAGGTGGTGCTGTGGTCTAAACCACAGGGCCTAGGGCTTGCCAATCAGAAGGTCGGTGGTTCAAATTCCCATGACAGTGTGAGCTCCTGTTGCTCGATCCCAGCTTCTGCCCACCTAGCAGTTCGAGAGCACATCAAAGTGCAAGTAGATAAATAGGTACCGCTCCAGCGAGAAGGTAAACAGCATTTCCGTGCGCTGCTGTGGTTCGCCAGAAGCGGCTTAGTCATGCTGGCCACATGACCCGGAAGCTGTACACAGGCTCCCTCGGCCAATAAAGCGAGATGAGCGCCACAACCCCAGAGTCGTCCATGACTGGACCTAATGGTCAGGGGTCCCTTTACCCTTTACCTTTAAGTGTTGCTACACTCAATGGGATTTGAGCCTTATAATAATAATAATAATAATAATAATAATTTTTATTTATACCCCGCCCTCCCCAGCCAAGGCCGGGCTCAGAGCGGCTTACAAGCAATAATAAAAACAAGTTAAATGATTACAACGTAAAAACAAAATTAAAAAATACAACATTAAAATATTGAAACATTAAAATATTAAAATGTAGCCTCATCGCAGAAGGAGAAGGAAAAGAAAAAAGAAAGAGAGGGAGGGAATCAAATTGGCTCCAAGCCAAAGGCCAGGCAGAACAACTCTATCTTACAGGCCCTGCGGAAAGAAATCAGATCCTGAAGGGCCCTGGTCTCGTGAGGCAGAGTGTTCCACCAGACCGGAGCCAGAGTTGAAAAGGCCCTGGCTCTGGTTGAAGCCAATCTAACTTCCTTAGGGCCCGGGACCACAAGGGTGTTGCTATTTATGGACCTTGAGGCTCTCCGTGGAGCATACCGGGAGAGGCGGTCCCGTAGGTACGAGGGTCCTAGGCCGTGAAGGGCTTTAAAGGTCAAAAGCAGCACCTTAAATCTGATCCTGTACTCCACCAGGAGCCAGTGCAGCTTGAAAAGCACTGGGTGAATATGCTCCCATGGCAGAGACCCCGTGAGGAGTCTCGCTGCAGCATTCTGCACCCGCTGGAGTTTCTGGGACAGCTTCAAGGGCAGCCCTGCGTAGAGCGAATTACAGTAGTCAAGCCTGGAGATGACCGTCGCATGGATCACTGTGGCCAGGTCGGGGCGGGAAAGGTAAGGGACCAACTGCTTGATGCGGCGAAGGTGGAAAAATGTCGCCTTGGCTGTTGCTGTAACTTGAGCCTCCATGGAAAGGGAGGCGTCAAGGATTACACCCAAACTCTTAACGGAAGGCAATGGCACTAATTGGGCCCCTGCAAGAGAAGGGAGTTGGTCCCTCATCCCCATGCCATCCCGACCCAGCCATAGGACCTCTGTCTTCGAAGGATTTAGTTTCAATCGGCTCCCACGAAACCATCCAGCCACAGCTTCCAAGCATCTGGTCAGTGTGTTCGGGGCCGAGTCAGTGTGGCCATCCATCAGCAGATAGAGCTGAGTGTCATCAGCATATTGGTGACAGCCCAGCCCAAAGCTCTGGATAATCTGGGCAAGGGGGCGCATAAAGATGTTAAAAAGCATTGGGGAGAGGATTGCGCCCTGTGGCACTCCACACACCAAAGAGTGGTGCGATGACATTTCCCTCCCTAGTGCCACCCTCTGTCCCCGACCAGAGATAAAAGAGCACAGCCAGTTACGGGCTATGCCCTGTATCCCCACGTCTGCGAGGCGGTGGTCCAGAAGATCATGATCAACCATGTCAAAGGCTGCTGACAAATCTAAAAGGATCACCAGTCCTGACCCGCCTCGATCCAGCTGTCTACGGAGATCGTCTGTTAGGGCAACCAGAGCCGTCTCGGTCCCAAAACCACGATGGAAACCGGACTGAAATGGATCTAAAGCCAATGTTTCCTCCAGAAACCTACCAAGCTGTTCAGCAACCGCTCTCTCAATTACCTTACCCAGATATGGAAGATTTGAAACTGGGCAGTAATTGGATAGGTCTAAGGGATCTAATGAAGTTTTCTTTAAGAGTGGACATACCACTGCTTCCTTCAGTTCCCCTGGGAATGTCCCCGTGTCAAGGGACAAATTGATAATTTCAGCCAGGGGGGTCCGCGCAACATCTGGACACTCCTTAATCAGCCAAGACGGGCACGGATCAAGGAGGCAGGTGGTGGGCCTACTAGAAAGTGTGCTTCAGATTGCTGTCTTTGCTTTGAATCTATCCTCCCTGTTCCTCATTCATTCTCTCCCCCCTCTTCTCTGGGGCTCATAAAAACATATTTACACACTGGAACATTTATTATGGAGACATGCCTTTCCCCCCTCTAGCTATTACACAAACTGACTCCAGTGTATCTTTATAGCTGCACCATGTTTTGACATTTTCAGAGCTTTCTGTGCCATTCTGCATATTATCTGATTCTCCGGGTTACTGCCTGTCAAGTGTGATGGACGGCATAATTAAAAATCCAAAGGCAGATATAAACTGACAAGACTTTCCTGCCGATATCTATTCTATCATTTATATTAAATCTGTATCTTGCAGCGTCATATGCAACAAGGAACCTTTTGCTTCAAATGTAGTACAAGGCAAAACTCTACAAAAAGGCTGATGCAAAGGAATTGCTTCGTGACAGAAGCCTGTCACTTGCTTCTGCTTTTACACCATCTTAATCAGCTTGTCTGTCATGACAGGCTACGGATGTTGCAATAAAGTGAGGGTTGTGACTTTCTGCTGTTCAGACATTGCCTGGAAAAGTTATACTGTGGCCCTGATCTAGAAACGTTTGCAGCAGTAAACTATGTGCACATATTTCACACACTTACCTGCCAGTCAAATATTTATTGTAGTCAGTTTTGTTTTGTTTTCTAATGAAACCAGTTCACCAGGGGTAGAAGGAGATATAGATTGTGTCTCCTTACTCCCCAAAGCCATTGATCCGTGCATAGGTATTTTGGAGGGCGACACAAGGGGTATTTGCCCACCCTAGAGAGGGCTGGTGCTATATTAGGCCAACAAGGCAGCAGCTGCCTAGGGCGCAGACATATAAAAATATGTATGTATGAATCCCAACTCACATAGCAATATACACAGTGTTACCTTAGCACTGCTGCTAAATGAAAACCAATGCTGCACTGTGGGATGAGAAAGGAAGGAGCATGTGGTTAGCTAGAAATATGTATCTTATTAAAATTGGCTCATGCTTTGCGCCTGCCACGTTGCAATACTTGTGGAATTGATAAAATGAGCATCCATCTCATGGATGCTATTCCAGACACGCTGGCAGTGCTTCTTTGGTCCAGTCAGTTTAAGCTAGAATAAAATAACAATAATAAAATCATAGTAATAATAGCAATTTATTATTTATACCCCACCCATCTGGCTGGGTTTCCCAGCCACTCTGGGCTGCTTCCAACAAAATATTAAAAATACAATAAAACATCAGACACTCCCTGTTTAGGGAAGCTTTTAATGTTTGATGGACTAGTGTATTTTAATATTTTGTTGGAAGCCGCCCAGAGTGGCTGGGAAAACCCAGCCAGATGGGCGGGGTATAAATTATTATTATTATTATTATTATTATTATTATTATTATTATTACTTCCCTAAGCAGCGCTGCCTTCAGATGTCTGATGGGAGGGCGTTCCACAGGGTAGTAGCAGCATTGCTGCAACCCACCTGGTGTGATCTTGTGACTCAGCTGTGGGTCCTTATCCACTGGGTGAAGATCTATGCATTAGCCCGCTGAAATCCACAAGCTCCAATATGCCTAGCTCAGGGCTGCATAGTTCAGTTATTACACAGTACAGTGGTACCTCGCAAGACGAATGCCTCGCAAGACAAAAAACTCGCTAGACGAAAGGGTTTTTTGTTTTTTGAGCTGCTTCGCAAGACGATTTTCCCTATGGGCTTGCTTCGCAAGATGGAAACGTCTTGCAAGTTTGTTTCCTTTTCTTAACACCGTTAATACAGTTGCGACTTGACTTCGAGGAGCAACTCATAGAACGTGGTGTGGTAGCCTTTTTTGAGGTTTTTAAAGACTTTGGTGATTTTTGAAGCTTTTCCAAAACTTTCCCGACACCGTGCTTCGCAAGACGAAAAAAATCGCAAGACGACAAAACTCACGGAACGAATTAATTTCGTCTTGCGAGGCACCACTGTATATAATAGCTCTTATTAAAGGAAAAGGTCTAGACCTATTCTTTAATTCATGGAAATATTAATGAAATTATTTTTCAGTCAAAACTAATCAATATCTCAAACATCCAGTGTCACGGGAGAGAGCTGTTTTCTCCCCCTTATGAAATTGTAACTCGTGTATCTAATGAATGCATTTCAAACTAGGAAAGGAAAGAGGTACTTCATAATTACATGAATGCTAAATTACATTTCTAGGAAAAATAATAATTCACTATTCAGAACTGAAACCATAAGCAAGGCATTATCATGGATGGCATAATTATTGTACCAGTCCTATGATCCTTTAACATTATTAAATTCAAAAAGTGAAAGAAAGCCTAGACATTAGCAAATGCCACAAAATATGCATGATTAACTAGATACAAAGAATGAGATGTCTCTGTTTTAATTAACAAAAGGTGATTAAGTGAAAGATGCGTCATAAGAGACATTTTTTATTTACAGGATGGGAGAAACTGGTGTAAAGAAGGTTTATCTACAGGTAGCAACTCTCAGTTGATGGAATGGCTCAGCAACGTGTTTTTAGGAAATGCACTGGTAACTATCTGGGGTTTCGTATTAAATAACCAGATCAGACCACTTAGCTCAGGGGTAGGGAATTTTGCCTGGTCAGAGGGTCATCTTAATCTCCCTGACCCTGGGAGGCCAAATTTGACAAGTGGGCATGTCAATGACCTGATGCCTTAGTGATATCAGATGATGCTGTGTTTTAAAGCCTCCAGATCTGGAGGTTTAAAGAGCCTCGTGGGGATGCTTGGGAAAGGACTTTCAAACAAGCCTGTGCTCCTTTTTGAAACTCTGGTTTATGGAAGTTCAAAGAGCTGCACTAAGAAGGCAAAGTGGTTTCCTTTGAATTTAACTCTGCTCTCCCCACCACTGCCCACCAGCTGACAGGCGGGTCAGCATGCACCTTGCTCCAGCAAAGGAACAATCTGGACCTCTTGATGGTTCCTCAAATGGCCTTGAGGGCCAAATGGGGACATCTGGCAGGTCATGTTTGGTCATCAGGCCAGAGGCTCTGCATCCCTGACCTAGTCCAGCACTTTGGTCCACCTGATCCTATACTCTGGGTTGACTCCAACTAAGAGTAGATTCATTGAAATTAATGGACCTATGTCCATTAATTTCACTGGATCTACTCGGAGTACAACTAACTGGATACAGGCCTGGGTTTCCAACTCCATTTCCCAATAGGGTGACCACTTACACACTGATGGTGTATATCCTCCTCTTTTGGCAAACAGAAGACACTGGTTTGCATAAAGTTTGCATAGGCTGATTTCTATTTATGGAAATAGAAAAATATGGACATATGGAAAAATTACTATAACTTAATCAGAGATACAGTACAATAGAGGGGAACCGTGTGATCAGTTGACTTGTGTATTTGCTGAGCCTGGTGTCAAGGTACAATCACTGGGCAACTTCAGGGCTCCTGATTTCCCTTCCTAGGGTTGTGCATCTTCCGGACTCTCTCTTTCAAAAAGAAGACGCCTTCAAGTAAAGGACTCTCCTCTATAATGCAGGACGCATGGCGATGCTAGCTCCCCGAAGTCACAAAGTATGAAGATGACAGCCAACTCCAGTTCTCCTACTACACAGTTTCTGTTACTTGAAAGTAAATGGTTTTTCTGCATGCATTTTTCGATGTGTTCACCCTATGGTCCTAGCATAACTTCTAAGACTTGCAACCATGTGGTTGCATCTGATCTTATGGTTCTTTCTTGGTCGAATTAGCACCCTTACCAGGAAGGACAGTGCAGATTTTGTGTGAAAGGTCCTAGGAAGCTGTGCTTGCCCATATGGTTTGGGGCCTCTAAAAGTTATACTACCACCTTGCCTTGAGCCCATGGAAAATGGTCTCTTCCTATAGGGATAAGGTAATAGTTGAAGATCTCCTATCACATTTAATACAACTAATGCAATATGCCCCTTTTCTTTTATTCCAGAAGATAAAACAGGGTATAAAGTGGGGGAAATGGATGAGGAAATTCATTTACAGTGTTTATGATGTTGTTATTCTGTCAATGGGGGGTGAGGGAACAAATAACTAGGATAAGCATTACAAGAAAGGCATTAGGTAACATCAGACTTACAGAACATTTTTGCAGTCCCATGCAGGCATAAGAAAGCTAGAGGTTCAGTGCTTGGTGGTTGTCAAATCTGTCCCCTGTTCAAAAACATGCATGTTCCAGTTTCAATCAGTGTCCCTTGGCAGTACTTTGTAGTTTAAAGAAAGACAGCTGGGAGATCCCTCTTGGCTCTCCTGCCACAATTAATAGCTCAGCTCCAAGCATTAGTGTAACAAGGAAGAGGAAACCTAAAACCTTTTAGCGCTATTCCTTACATTGTGAATAAATCACACTTACCGTACCATCCCACTGCCCTACAAGGCGACACACATTTTCGCAAGTAATGATATACCACACACCTCCATCAAACTAGGCTGTTCTGATTTATTCCAGCTGACTCTCAGTTTCTACATTAAAACTGTGGGTTGGTTTTGTTTTTTGTTTTGTTTTGTTTGTTATATTTTGGATTTAACTTCAGTCTCAAAGGATTTGCCACAAAGGATTTCTAGTCTTACACCAGTTTTGATTTGCACAGTCTGTGAATTATTTCGCATTTCTCCTCTTTGATACATCACTAGATAATTATGAAAGTAAAAAGGAAATTATGCCAAGCATGACAGGTGTTTTCAAATACAAAATGAAACATTTATTATAAAGCTTTTTCAGGCTATGCTATTCGATTACCCATGTTTCTGATTTTAGAGAGGTTTAAGTGTGATGAACTTCTGGTGTTTACACGGGTAACACCAGTGGAGACCAACTACCACATAAAACATGAAGCCAGCAAATCTGTGTAACTTTTCAGGGATTTATTAGAATGTATGTGGCTTAAGAACAGTAACATTATTTCAGGTTTTCCTTCTATGCTCACTGCAAAAAAAGGGAGGGGGCTGAAATCTGAGAAGTAGTGAGTTCTGATCCTAGGCTGACCTGGAAAAAAAGTCTGTGTCTCAACATAGTTCAGTCTCAGATTATTGACCTCCACTGCATTCAGGCACTTGTTCAGGGCAGTAATGACCTTTCCTGATTCAGATGTAACAACAGAGAAATAGAGCTTGATGTCATCATACTGCTGACAGTGCATGGCAGATCTTCAAATGGCTTCTCCCAAAATCTTCATGTAGATTTTGAATAGCAGTGGAGACAAAATTTTAGGGGCCACAGGTGAGAGCTGAGTGCAGGCTGGGGACCAAAGGTGGACAAATTACCCCAGAGGTACTGCTTCTCCTCTAACACCAGATGGGGTTCATCAACCTGAGAAGGTAGCCTATCTAGGAGACGTGCTAATGCACTCCATTTCTCAGGACAGATGTCTCACCACTCATAATAGCTCTGTTGAACAGCTGCTTGAAGATGCAACAGAGGCCACAAAGTAAACCTTCTTCATCACCATGCAGTTGATGTGACTGTGCACTCTAAGCACATGTCTGGTTGGCTTCGCATGAAGTCTTATGGCAGTTGTATTTTAGCCACCATCTAAGCTGTTTCATAGCTCCATTCCTGGAGAACCAGGAAGCACTCTGTGCTTCACAGTGTCAGAGAGGATACTTAGGAGCTATCATGCCAATGTGATTTCAGTTCCATAGTGAGATTGTATTTATTTGGCAGACTCCTTTCTCATACCATCTCCAAAATAAAATCTAGATAAGTTCGTCTGTGACTTGAATTTTGGATCATGTAATTTATGCAACAAATCTCAGACCAGAAACAAATCATTCTAAGGCAACTGAGGCTGCAGTCCTATACATATCTTCCTGGGAGTAAGCCCCACAGAACCCAATGCGGCTCACTTCCAATGAACCATGGGTATGATTCACTCTTAATCACTAATATTCCTCCAGCTCAGAAAAGTATTGTTGCATTTTTCCAGTACCAAATGTCAAGGTGCTTAATCTAGGAAAAAATAAAAGAGCTTTTCAAAAGGCAGCAGATTTATATTAATGTTGATTTAGTGACATTTCTAGTTCAGAATTTCATTACTCCTCTTTCATCTCAAGTTTTCAAATTGCCTTTCCAACTTTTTGGCGAGACACAATGTACATTCCAATCTCTGAAAAAATAACATCTTTCAGATAAAACACTTCACTCTAAATGTACATTTTACTTCCGAGCATTATCCATTCCAGACATTCCATTTGAAAGAGATCAGTATGATTGCTTTCTGCGTAATATAAATTCAGCCTATCCTTCTTAAAACAGGAAAATACTAAATCTAGGAACCAATGATAAATCAACCATCACTCTATTCCAGGGAAGGGGAAGAAATCTGATTCCGTTCAGTATTTAAAGCCAAATCTTATCAAATTCGCACTTTCTGAAACAATACAAGAACTGAAACACAGCCATCCTTTGAAATTCACACTTATTTGAATTTGTGATTCCCAACCCAACAATGCTTACAACTGCATAAAAATGCATAAAAACGAATGTATTACGGATCATACAGAAATGCATTCTATTAGGAGGAGAAATTGCTTGCAAAAATGTGAACGTTCCATTCAAAAATGTATTTGTTAGGAGAAATTTGCACTAAAAGGTTAAATAATTTTCATGAGGACTTAAAAAAATAAATAAATTCACAGATTGCTGCAGGAATGTGGAGAACTGAATTTAAGACTGGGAAAACAAGAAAGTGACAGAATCGAGATTGGCAGTTCCTTCTATCCTCCTCAGGTACATACCTTAGTTGCAAACTAAGATACACTGCAGGAGCACTGCCTGTGGCTCTACTAATGGCAAAAGCAGCAGAAATATGAAGTATTCTAGAACAAAAATAAGGAGTCTAGCTAAGACAGAATCAGGCCATTCCTCTAGACCTGCCTCTACCACACTGTGCTTCTGCCTGCTTCCTGGCTCTGCAGACCATAGGGTGAAAACGCCCCATCAGAGTAGGAATAAACACACACTATGCTTGGCTCCTGAAATGCTTACAAAACATGGTTGGCCACATAGGAGTGCCCCTCCAGTGAAGATGAATAGCAGAGAAAGGTTCCCAGCATTCTACAACTAATCATTCTGCAGCTTATAAAAATAGCACCTGCTGAGCTAATAATTTGAAATTTGGCATATGAGAGCTACCTGCTGAGGTATACAAATGTGCACATGTAAAAATGTTTCTATATTTTTTATCATGAGATGAATAGGTGCCTTTTTGGGGGGAAACTGAAGAACATAACACTTGCCACGGCAATGCAATTTGCATTAAGTGAATGTGTTCAAGAGGACTTTCAGAAGAGGAAGGCACACCTAAGACTTTTGTCAACAGACTTTCAAATAAAACTTGATGAACACAGTTAAAATAAAATCCCCCAGTTTATGAAATAGCTGTATGAAATACCAACAGATGATATTTATAGTATTTTCAGAGGAAAGAGGCTTGGATTCTTGAAAGAATAACCAATTAGGGTTTTTTCCAAGGAAAATCTTCCCTCTGGCCCTGGGGGTGGGGGAAGTAGCAATGGATAGCTGTCCTGCCTGTCTGGAGCATTAGGGGAGAGTTTGTTTCCTCATTACCTCTACTAGGCAAGTCTGGTGGCTGCTGCTGTTTCTCAGTTCCCTCCATTTTCTGTGAACCAAAACCAATTCATTCTATGTGGCTCAAGTGCGACGTGTGCCTTGTTAAAATTACCAAATTAAAATGCTCAGCAATTGGGAGATGCCTATCTCTTTCCATCAAAGTAATCCCTTTTAAGTGGAAATGCAATTTGTGCAGAGCATAAGGTCTCAAAGTGTATATTAGTGAACCTCTCAGACCTTAGGCATTTCCAGACCAGAAAAAAAAAATTCCAGGCAGCGCTCCTGTTATGGACCTTATTGTCTCCTCTTTTTTAGAAATGAGTTACAGAAACGGAGGTGAACACCTGGGAAATTAAATCCTTTCTAGAACCTTCACGTCATGGTAGAAGTAGCCAAAGCTCAAATGGCCCCAAAGTTGCCAATTTCTAATGTCTGAAAGCAAGGGAATCTAGGATATCTAGCAACAGAAGGGAATCAGTTCTTTTTTTCAAAAGATTTGATAAAATCATGTCTGGAGTGTTGACAAAGATATATAAAGAGAATCAAAATTATATAAAGAGAATTCAAAGTTAATTTTGGTACAGGAACACTCTTCTTTACGTTACTTCCAATGTTTATCTTTGAAATTTTATTTTTTATTTAAAATTTATATCTTGCCCATCACCATTATATGGTGCCAGGACAGTTCACAATGTATGCATTACATAAAGACCAATTTATCACATTTAAATACATTTAACATTCCTGTCAGAGCTGGCTCCAGGTCCCAGCTCACAGAGGACCAACGCTAGCCGGCAGTAATGTACAAAAGTCTTTATTGAAGTACAGTTTCCATTTTCAAGCCGGAGTGCCCCAGCTCTACGTCTAGGGGTTAGATCGGCGAAGCTCCATCTGAGTCTCCGCCCCTGTACACCAGTTTAAGATTCTAGCCTTACTCCACCTCTTACGTCTCTCCTTTCTCCTCTGGGTCCTGCTACCCCCCGGGGTCCCTTCCTTCCTGGATTCTTCTGACGCTGACCCTCCTGACTCCTCCCCCTCTTTTCGGCGGGCTTTGGGACCTGGCTCCCTATCCGGGCTGCCAACTGCGCCGCCCTCCTGTACATTTGAACTTGGCGCGCGCCCAGCCTTCAACCTTCCTCTCGACCGTTTCCTCGCTCCCCGATGGAGGCGTGGCCAATCCTGACTCATGTCCTCCCACTGGCAGTGCGCCGCCTGATCCCGATGCCTGGGACTCCTCCCCCCTACTGCACTCTGGTGTGGACGCTGGTCCTGATTTCCAACTGCTGCTCTCTGAGTCCCCTCTGGCCCCTTCTTCCTGGGGTGTCTCCCTCGGCACCCCCCTTGCTCTGACCAAGGGGCCCCTTTCTGTGAATCTTCCGATTCGCTGGAAAGACTCAGAGACCTCGGACCGCTGTCATCGCTAACATTTCCTTCGGACTCCTCCCCCTCGCTCTCTATTTCCTCCCTTTCCTGTGCCTCTGCTCCTGAACCCCTGACAATTCCGATTTAAAAGCTAATGCGCATGCTCCTGTACCTGTCACAATCCTAATAAATTAAAGCTTATTTTCAAAAGCCTTGCAGAAAATAAGTGTTGTCAATGGGAAGTAAAACTTATCAGAGGTATTTCATGTGCTGTGTCAAGAGCTGCAGTGCTTTTGACCCGAGTGCTCCAATATTACAAAATCTCGTGTCTTTAGCCATTTTCTTTCCAATTCCCAGTCCTGAATAAATTAAAATGAGAAAGTAATAGCAGATAGGTCCTTGGGCAAGGAGAAAAGAAAACTGTTTTAGTATGTATGAGAGTAGCTGACATTTTAAAGACTAGGTTGGTTGTGACGTGATTGCAACAGGTTCGGTTTCCAAGAGGGCCCCAACTATCACTTGGAAGCTACTTAATGTATAATTTAGCACCCACCAGAATGCAAGCGGCATTCCTTCAGGAAGCTGCAAGAAGCCACCTATTCTCTTCCAAGTCTAGGGAAACACATTTTCCTGAAGTGTGTCTAGTGGAATGGGGAGATGTGATGCAGTTTCATGTCTGAAGGTCAGGAGTTTCAGACAGGTGCTCTGCCAGCAGCCCCCACCCACTGCCTCCTTCACTTGCCTGAAAGATAAAACTATGTTTGACAACGCTGAAACTGTAATGGATACAAAGCACCATCTCCCACACCAGTTCCTTAGCAACCCCAACTGCCGGCTTCAAAGATCTGCAAGCCTAGTATTTGATAGCAGTAGTTGTTTTCTATGTAATGGGAGACACTAGTATGATCTAATGCGGTCCCTCAGACGCTGTACAGATTTATCCCCAGCAACTTTGTGGAGGTGCAAATTTGCGATCTCATCCGCCTACCTGCGCACCAGCATATTCAAGTACAGTGAAGTAACTGTTCACTGTCCCTTCAGTATGCTGGCAGACTTTCTCCCCTTGGACTAGAATAAATCATATAGCAGCAAGCCTGTGTTAAGAGAGACCCTGCCAGTAAGTTGTATATAACCCCTCTTTAATAAACCTCTGCGGAGGCTGAATGAGTAATCCAAGTTCAACTGACAATACTATGAAGACTTCAGCTACATTGCCCTGAAAATTTAGGATAGCTGACTTTTTAGTTACAAGTCTCTTGAGAAAGCCTCCTTTTAGAAATAAGGCTGTTCTTGTTCTATATTTGAGACAGGGGGATTCTCTCTACCAAGCTATCTCCAGTGTTGTAAGGAAGCGGCATTACTTTTCTTGTGGGTAAGCAAGTTGTGAAAGTGCATTTCTGTGCTTGAAGGGTTTTCAGAAAGGGAAATGATCCTGCTTTTTAATTAACATCTGCCTCCCTAGATAGTTGTGCTTTCTCCGTCAATGTCTTTTTAATGTGCCTTGGAGTTAGCATTTGTAAGATGCACGAAGCAATCGCACATCTCTTTTGCTGAGCTAAAGGCTCAGGATTGCTATAGGGCTTATTTGAGCTGTGATATAACTGAAATTAATTACAGGGGAAGTAGTATCATTCTTGTTAACTTAAACCAATCAAATTTGAAGACAAATCTGGCAGATTTAATGAATGCATATAATGATGATAACCAGAAAAGACTAGGAAAAGGGGGAGCGGAAGATAGCTAGTAGGTTATTCACCCAATGGTGTCTGCCTGACCCAAGCTTGACTTCACAACCCTCGCAAAGACACACTGTATTAACTGCCAGTCTTGCCTCCTCCCTATGATTCAAGTGGGCTGGCAACCTTTTTATTTATGGTACACATGCATCTTTATCCATATATATCCATACAATATTTTTTCTTTGGTAAATGTGTGGGCCTGGGTGAATAGAAGCAAACCACAGCGGTCCATTCCAGAGTGCCTGTATTTAGAAATCCTCTACCTTCACCCTCAAAAACACAAAAGGCTTCAGAGGAACTTGCACACTTAGGAATGCTGATACGCTGTGCATGCTTGTCCCTGATTCCATCTTCCATCTTGTATATTGTTATGTACTGAACTTCTCACCCTGGGCCAGCAGGGGGATACTGTAGATAGTTTTCACTCAGGTCTACATATGCAAATAAGGAATCGATTGTGACATTCAGTGATTGGATTGTTACAGAAAATGGTTACTGATGCATTCTAGTGGAGCTCTATTTAAGCAGGCTGGCTGAACCCTTCAGTTCAGTTCTGTTCTGGCCTGTGAATAAACAAGAGCTGTTTGAAGAATTGCTGTGTCGTCTGATATGTTCACCCACAACTTAACATACATCCAAGTAAATTCCTAAACAGGGCTCTTGCTGAACCAGAATCTATTAGCTTCACAAGACATGGTAAAATGAAGGCGGCTTCTCTGTGCAAATCTCCAGTGATTTTGGTTTAACGATTGCTCAATTAAATGTTTCATAGCTATAAAACCATCTTGTGTTGAAATCAATTCTCTGGTTTCTACAATCAAGCAGCAAGTCTCATTTCTGGTGGCAAATGCTTGATAAAAAAGCAGCATGCTGTGGAAGCCATTCGTATCTCTAAGTGAGCAGATTATTATTTTTTTAAGTGAATATCAAGTTGTTCCAAAGGTTTCCAGTGGAAAATATTTTGACATGCAGGATGCCATGAAACATCTGTTTAAATAACTAGCTGTCTCTGTTTAAAGTGTGCCTGTTGTTTAACTGGTTCTGATTATTGTGCACAGTTTGGGTGAGGACCATAATATTTGGAGATGTGCCGTCCATTTTTATTTGTACTAAGGAGGGTTGCAGCTGTCTATTAATTGTTCTCACATTTCCTGGTGCATAAATTTCCAGCTTATTTTTCAAAACAAAATTAACTGTGGAAGAGGAACTGTGGCCTAGTTTGGGCTATAATTCAGTTCCAGTGACGTACATTGGACATGCCAAGATTTGAAACACGGTTGCCTTTAAACGTTTGGCTTTTTCAACCTGATGCCAATTGCTGATTGTAATTTAAAGTGACAGCGGTTCAAAATCTGGTCCCCTTAACATTTTATGAAGCTAGACATCAGAAGCTCAAGGTTTTTTTCCCATCTATGGAGCTCACATATCAAAATAATTCTTTACTTTGCTGAACCATTATTTTCTAATGACTAATGTTCAATATTCACCAATTAATACTTTCATAACACAATACTTTATCCATGTTAGGTTCAAGGAGAGTCTGCTACCCAGCTGATGCTGCACATAAAGTTAATTCTCATTGTTCTCCATTCAAGTTCAGAGCAGCTTATGGTACAATGTTAAATACAACAGAGGAGAAACCATACTTTTGTGTTCACCCCTTTTAAAAATACTTATTATGTTGTTTCCTGCAGCAAGCCTTCTTTGTTGTACTCTGTTTTACTACAGATGAACCCAATGAAACTTTTTAACAGCTGCCGCAAAGGACTATTCACCCTGTGCAAATGCAATTTCAGTTGGACTTTTACTTGTCTTGCACACCTATATACCAACAATTCAACAGTTTCCATTTTCAAAGGCACGTAGTTCTTATCTTACATTATTCATTAAGACATCCATAGTTCATCTTGTTTTTTAAGTTTAAAAATGTATTTAAAAGTATGTGTGTATATATATGTATTGCACAAAAACAACAGCAGCCCTGCTGTGAAACTCAGGGATGGTGGGCAGCTCCTGTGATATGACTGACCCAGGTTACCCCCATTCAAACATACACTCCCCCCAACCACAGGACTATTGTTGCTATTGTTTTCCGCAAAAGCTTGGCAGGGGACAGAAATGAGATTGAATGTGGTGAGGGCACCCACTGTTCTACAAATGCTACAGCCATCTCCAACCACAGATCTTCTTCTGAACTATAATGTATCTGGACTTGGGCATTTTTCCTCTTTGCAAGTTTTCCTTTGAATGCTGCAGTGGAAACAGAAGTCACTCACAGACTGAGGGGAGATCCTTGAGCCACAACTTTACTAGGGATACAGAAGCCCTGTGAGAAAATAGAAGGACTATAACAGGGTTTGTTGTGGAGGAGTTGTTGTTTGTGCAGAGTAATTACTTTACAGAGTAATTTGCATAACGTACAATTAAAAAAAATGCACACAAATGCAAAAGAAAGACTCAAGAGCCCACTGTTTGGGACTGTCATAAGATTACTATACATTATATACATTGCAAAAAAACCCCAGAAGATGGAATATGAACTGCCGGAAAGAGAAAATGATGATAGTAGGAGCTTTCAGACTGTATATTTATTGGGAATTCATCCTAATACATCTGTATGGAGGTTATATGACATTCCCAGCTGTTGGGTTGCTATCCTGCACTTATAACTGAAATTTCCCATCACTTTTCTTAGATAAACAAGGTGATAATAGCACTAGAAAGTGCAGGATGACAACCAAATTTTGTGCAAATAAACAGACTGCCTGGAAGTGCCCAGAATTTACTGAGAAAGCATTGCACTGGTTTTAAATGTAAGCTATCTGTATTTTTATAGGCTACTGCATTTTTTTAGCAAAAGCAGCAGATATGCGCAATATTGCTCAATTTCTGAGGAGACTTATATCCCTATGGGTTTCCTGAAAAGACAAATCAATGTATGTGAGCATTGAACAGATGGCATAGCAGATGCATAAGGGTTTGTCTTCCAGCCTTTGGCTGAATTGGGAACAATTAACAACAAAACATTCTTGGAGTTTCTTCATCCATTGAAGGACAGAATGATCAGAAAAAATACAATCCATTCATCCTAGAAATTGTTTCCTTCACTGAAGGGATGAGGGAGAAATATAGCTCACTCTGCATTTTAATGTGAACCTACTTCATTCACTTTTCCCAAAACAATATTTGAAACAAAACACGGTTATCCTTCAAAATTCAAATTTCTCCAAATTTTGCAGTGCAATTCTCCAAGCCCCCAAGAAGCATTCAGAATGTATATTTTGTTGGAAAACTAGCCCCATCTGGATAGGCTGTCCCCTCTCCCTGCTCCCGGAGCTGGTTTACCGGTGATCTGCCTCTGGCTGCGTTCCCAGACAGACCAGGGAGATCTTGATATAGGTGATATTTCCCAGCGTGGAAAATGCACACCCACTTCTCCCCCTTCGCAGGGGAAAGAAGAGTAGTCAGAAATCTATTTACATATTGTTTATTTCTGACATTACAGCTCTACAGAAAACGTGTCCGATCACTTCAGTTTCCATCCAGCAAGAGACAAAGACTTCCTTTACAAACGCAACAGGAAGGTCTCAAATTACACACTGGACACAGACTCCCAAAGCCTGTGAACTTCCGGGAATTTACTTTTCCCACAGCTTTCCCATGATGTCACAGCTAGCCATATCACATGATGTCAACAAGCTGGCTGTCTGCAGCTGCGATGTTCTCATATTGTAACATATTTTAGGGGGAAGTGTTTGTAAGAATGCAATATTGCCGGTATTAGTGAAAATAACTTGGCAAAATGCATGTCCGGGAAATTGTTTTAACAAATGTCTATACAGTGGTGCCCCGCAAGACGAATGCCTCGCAAGACGGAAAACTCGCTAGACGAAAGAGTTTTCCGTTTTGGAGGTGCCTCGCAAAACGAATCTGCTATGGGCTTGCTTCGCAAGACGAAAATGTCTTGCGAGTTCCTGGGTTTTTTTCCTTTCCCCCTCTTTTCTAAGTCGCTAAGCAGCTTATCAGCTTATCGGATAAGCAGATAAGCGGCTAAAAGCCGCTAAAAGCCGCTAAAAGCCGCTAAAAGCCGCTAATAGCGCTAATAGCGCTAATCCGCTAATCCGTCAATGGGCTTGCTTCGCAAGACGAAAAAACCGCTAGACGAAGAGACTCCCAGAACGGATTCTTTTCGTCTTGCGAGGCACCACTGTATTAGTAGAAATGTAAACAAAAATGCTGATAAAATTTCAGGGAAACTTTTAAAAAAAAAATGCAGACTGGTGCAAAAATGCGACAAGAGTGAAAGTATGAGAAATGAGAAAAATGGTAATTGACAGATTCATCCTCTCTGTTTATCACTGTCGGTGTACCCAGTGAATGAGTGTGTGTGTCTAATTTCCTTAATAAGATGCAGCATCCTAACAGACACTCTCTGAGGTTGAAACTGTCATTTTAAAATTGTGCAGGCAGTCAGCTGAAGCAGCTGAAAGTGTACAGACAGAGGCAAGAATATAGCCATAAACAGGAAAATGTGCTATCAATCTTAATTCTCAGCGTTAGGAGGAAAATAAGCTAGGCTGAACTGATCAACACTGATTGTCTACACTACTTGTCTCAATGTAGTTTGTGTAACTCTTAGTGCCACCAAGTGGCAAACACAAACAACAGTAATTTAAATAATATTTTGAGTGCCAGTGTAGAATAGATTGAAGAGGGAAAAGTGGGTCCCTCTTGGAGTGTAATGCTGTAAACCCCCTCAGATTGTATAATTGTGTAAATAAACCATATATCTTAAAGACACTGTAGTTTCCACTATCCCTCATTCCAAGCAAACCAAACCCTAAGCAAGTGCCTGGAACCCCTGGAATCTTGCAGACTGGGATGGGGTGCAACAATATTATCAGAACACTTTCCCACATTACTTTGCCAATTTATGATTTAAGAAAATTGCCAGCTTAAGCTCTTTTAATAATCATTCCCTTCACCCAAGGATCCTGGGAACTGTAGTTTTAAGGACTATGGATCTGTAACGAAAATGGCCTTGGCCCAATATACCTGAAGAAGCATCTCCACCCCAGTCGTTCTGCCCGGACACTGAGGTCCAGCTCCGAGGGCCTTCTGGCGGTTCCCTCGCTGCCAGAAGTGAGGTTACATGGAACCAGGAAGAGGGCCTTCTTGGTAGTGGTGCCTGCCCTGTGGAATGCCCTCCCATCAGATGTCAAGGAAATAAACAACTATCTGACTTTTAGAAGACATCTGAAGGCAGCCCTGTTCGGGGAAGTTTTTAATGACTGATGTTTTATTGTGCTTTTAATTCTGTTGGGAGCCACCCAGAGTGGCTAGGGAAACCCAGCCAGATGGACAGGGTATAAAAAATTATTATTATTATTATTATTATTATTATTATTTCAACAGAAGCGCTCCTAAACTAGAATTCCCTAGATTCCTCCAGGACACTGTGACAATTAGACAGCAACCACATAGACACCCACATTTGGGGGAAGAACTGTAGTAGAGTGGCCTTACATTCAGACGTTCCCAGGTTCAATACAGTGGTACCTCTGGTTACGAACTAAATTCGTTCCAGAGATCCGTTCTTAACCTGAAACCGTTCTTTACCTGAAGCACTACTTTAGCTAATGGGGCCTCCTGCTGCTGATGCGCCGCTGGAGCACGATTTCTGTTCTCATCCGGAGGTAAAGTTCTTAACCCGAGGTACTACTTCCGGGTTAGCGGAGTCTGTAACCCGAAGTGTTTGTAACCCGAGGTACCACTGTATCTGGTATCAGCAGGTAGGGCTAGGAATGGCCCCCATCTGAAACCCTGAGAGCTGCTGTTAGTCAGTGTAGACAATACTGAGGTAGATGGACCCAACAGTCTGACTCAGGATAAGGCAGCTTCCTATGAACCTGTAAATCCCATGGAACATGGTTGGACTTCTTGTTAGACTAAGATTAGTATAAGCTTGCAGTGTTAGAAACATGCACAAGCCAATGTGGATGTGTAGTGAATATCAGAATTAGAGATGTGAATAAAAATTGGGGGAAAAGTGAATGGGGGGAGTGTTCATAATTTTTTTCCATTTTCACCCCCCCCCCCATATAAATCTGGATCTTCAGAATGTCTAGTAAAATGAGTCCAAATCAGCCTTCTCCAACCCAACACCCTCCAGTTGTTTTGGGCGAAAATGAATTTAATATAGCAAGGGGGAAAACAGCTATGGCTGAGAAAAGTTTGACTGTTTCCATGGAAACATATATAAGGTAACTAACACACACACACACACACACACACACACACACACGTCACATCACAGTCTCTTCTGCAGTGTAACCACAAGACTGAAGAGAACGATGCTTTATAATTGTCAGAACTGGGAGACTCTACCAGAAACTTTGTTGTTTATAAGGATTGATCGTGCCGCTTTTGATTAAGTGTGGTGAAGTAGGAAGTGTTGCTTTGAAACAGAGCCTTTCTTCTTCTTGGATTCAAACAATAAAAGCCAAATCCTTGGGGAAATTGTGTTTTCCCTCTGCCTGGGAGCCTGATTATCTTGCAGTTTCTCCAGGGCCTTTCATATGCTGGTTGTTCAGGTTTGTCACGATGCCCACACATTATTTAGACACTAAATTTGCCGGTTGGAAGAGAGAACCTCAGCAGCAGGAAAAGACTTAAAACCAGGATGAGGCTTCTTTTTGCCCTTTTTAGGGTTGCCACAAATCCGGAATTTCCCAGACATATATGGAGTACAGCAGTCGGCAGCAGTGTCCTGGCAGAAATCAGGAAAAAATGTCCAGGGAAATCAGGACACATGTCAGCTCATGTCGCAGTGTCATTGTTTTTACTTTAAAAAAAAAAAAGCTCAAAAATGGCAATTATGTTTGTGATTTCGCCAAAAAAAACTCAACGTTTCTGTCCGGATTTTCACTGTTTGAAATACAACAACCTAAACTAAATGCAGATGTAGGACACACTGGTGCTTAACATAATTTTGGTATATTTTTATAAAACGCACTGAACATACAGCATCTCCCCCTCTGTTCTCCTGCTGTGTGCACCCTAAATGTGTTCTAGGAGTTCCCCCAACCCTATGGAGCAGATTTGGAGGAGGTGTGGGTGGGGAGGGGAGGAGAGGGGGAAAGCCCCATTGCACAAGTGGAAATCCTTGCACCAACAGGACTTGTTACTAGAATACTGCACAACATCTGCTGAAGTGGGTCAAGGAGAGGTTTGGTTCAGTCCAGCCACACCGTGGCGACTTATCCATAGTCTAGGAAGTTGTGCTTTATTGTGCTGCTTTTGATATAGACTCCTGTTTATGATCAGCTTATTAGTTAAACAAAGTGTTGCACATTTAAAAAAAAAAAGAAATAAAACATCTACGGTCTTTTAGTAGTTTTGGGAAAAGACTAATGTTTATCTAGATGTTTCTGTTTAAACATTCTTTGCTGGAATGCTTTGGCTCCCAGAAATCTAATTTTGAGCTGTGGCTCTACAGGTCTTGTTGGACTCCACTGCCCATCATCCTTGACTCTTGGCCATCCTGGCTGGTACTGATGGGCACTGGAGTGCTACAACATCTGGTGGGCCACAGGTTCCTCATGCCTGTTGCAAATGCATGGCCACGGAGGGTGGCAGTGTGTGTTTATTTTGTAAGTTGGAGCTTTGCTTTCCTAATTGTATTCTTTTGAAAAACTCAACACTAACAAAGAAGAGGGCAAATGATGCTTGCAACTGCGCATTGGGAAAACAGCACTGAGCAAATATTTAATTATAGTACCCTATTGATTATTGCGGTGGTACATTGTGCTCCCTTGTGCAAGCCACGTACATACTAATCTCAACTTTTCCTTATTACTGAAAGAAAAGGATAGGGGCATGGGGCTAATTCTCCAAAAATCCAAAGCTAGCCACAGCATCTGTCTGCAATGACTTCTGTTGTATTGTGTTGTTGTTTAGTCGTTTAGTCGTGTCCGACTCTTCGTGACCATTATCTCCCAGTAAATGACTATGTCTACTGAAGCTCATGGGAAAAGTGTTCTTAACAAGGAAGAGATAATTTGCAGAATCTGTGAGAATTACGAAAAAGTACTTTGCATAAATGCTGCTTTGCTTGTCTTTGAGGGAGAGGAATTGAGGTAAAACTTGTTCAGATAATTTCTGGATGACCAGAAGGTATTACTAATCTCTCTTATTCCCGTGTCTTTGTTAATTGGTCTGCTTGTGATGCAAGGGAGAACTATGTTGGATCATTAGGGAAAATGAAGCCATTATTACAATAATGCAGTAGTCATCTCAACTCAAATTGCCCAGCTCCTATCAGGGTATTAACAAGTAGCGTGTTCGCAGTCCATGAGTGGTGTGTGACTCATCTGCTCTGATGTCTTAGTGGGGCTTGGAAGTTGGAGGCTCATCCTTCCTCTGGCTGCTATTGATTTAGTAGTCTGATTCAACAGTGAGTCTGGGTCAATGGGCTCCAGTGCTCTAAATGCCTGAAGAGTCCTTGTTCCAGGGATAACCCTCCAGACGTTGTTGGACTCCAGCTCCCATCAACCTATGCATGAACATAAAAGAGCCTGCTGGATCTGACCAATGGCCCATCCAATGCAGTATCCTGCTCACACACTGGTCATGCAGATGTTAATGGGAAGTCCTCAGACCATAAGGGTACTCTCTCTCCTCCTGTGATTTCCAGCAACTGGTGTTCAGAAATATCACTGCCTCCAACCATGCAGGCAGGGAATAGCCATCATAGCTAGTGGCCATTAACAGCAGGCATGCCATCTGGGGGGGCAGGGGGGCGAGGTCCCCCAAATTTTCAGTGAGAGGGCCAGGCCTTCTAAATATTCCACAGCTGGGCGGGCCCTGCCAAGCCCTCCCGTGGCGGTGACTAGGCCCTCATCATAAAAGTTTCTGCAGAAATATGTACAATAGTCAAATCTGCCCACAAGTGAGTTTTATTAGGAGAAATTTACACTAAAATGCTGGTGAATTTTTGTGAAGATTTTTTTTTCAGTTGTAAAATGTGGAGAACTGAATTTAAGATTAGAAAAATGAGAAACTGAGAGAACCCAAACTGACACAACCTGAGAGAACTCCTAACTGACAGTGCTTCTTCCTGCCTCATACACATGCCTCATATTTTACTAGGTGTTTGGGAACAGGGTTTCATCCAAAGGATGATGGGGGTTACCCCATATTTGCCCCATCAGCAATGTAATGACTATACTGAGATTGGGCCCTACACATGTGTCAGGTACTGGTGTGGTTGCTCGAAAGCAAACGGGCAAGACTCTGACCTGTCTTTTCCAGGCTTTATTCTTAGTGCAAACTATTTACAGTGAAGAGCGTCATAAGTTCATGTCTGGCTCAATCGCTAGCAGAATCTGGGAGTGGTCGGTCTTTGTACCTCCCCCAGCAAAACAGTCACGTGACCCCCAGCCTTCTCCGCCCCTCCCTGCACTGAAACCTACTGTGCAGAGTGGGCGCTGACAAAGGGGTACTTCCCTCCTCTCCGGTTTGCTCAGGCTCGGTGTTGGGGCTCTCCCTAGCATTCCCTGGTCCCTGCACCTCCTCTCCACTGGAGGTGGGGCTTTCCTCCTCACCAGAGGAGGAACTGCTTCGCAAGGTTTTAGGAGGTTCCCTATAACACAACTGCCCTTTCGCCTCTGAGCTGATGGCAGTTCCCTGACAACATGTAATGCTCCTCCATGGGATGGAATCCTGCTGCCTCATGTGAAGGAGCCCTGTCCCTTCACACCTGTATGCATGTTGGCCACCTTCTCATTATGGCTAAATTGTGTGGCCAGCAGAGGCATAGCTGTACTTGATGGTAAAGGGAGAGACAGCATCGGATGAATGTCCCTAACTACTATGGCTACATTTGGGAGGGAAAGAGAGACAGAGTGAAAGACCTTCTGTGAAGGAATAGGAAAACAAATTATAGAAATATGCATTTATGACCAAAATATTATAGTGTGTAAGAATTAAATGAAGAACATGTTCTTGTTTTGATCAACACTGCTTCATTCATTCATTAATGACTGAGTCTAAGTCTTAACTATGTTCAGTTATGCTTGCTCCTAGATATGTGTGCTCAGGACTGCACTTTAATGGATTAAGACTCAGGACCACACAAAGTTGTGTGTGTGTGTGTGTGTGTGTGTGTGTGTGTTGATTACATCTCTTGTTATATGCCGCCCCAATCTTCACAGCAGTATGAGATTCCAGGTCCTTACCCAAATTTCGTGTTTCCTTTGCAAATGAGGCACAGCGAAAACTGTGGTATCTTTAGGCTATATGGGTTATTTACACACATACACAGCATATATGCACATATATTACAGCAAAACTGTAATCCTAGACCTCTTCTACCACTGGCCCTTGTCTCTGCTAACTAATGCAGAGCTCAGAGGGGAAGGGTCCTACCCCTCTGCCATCTTTGCTAGTGGCGCATTGGCCTGCCTTTGTTCCAGCAGAGACTCTGGTGTCTTTTGGATATATGGCTTAATTTACCAAACAAATTGTTCTGGCACAAAGCCACTTCCTTGGTTACCCCAACAACTCATATTTATGGGGCCATTAACTCACCAAAAAGCTGGCCTGGCTTTTCCAACAATTGAATCCTTGCTGTATCCAGGAATCAGAAGGGACTCAAGCACACTGTTTAATACCACTCCCAAACTCACAATACTACGTGCCTATCTGATGAAAATCTTAGTTCAGGAATAGCTAATGCAGCACCCTCCAGATACTGCTCTAGACTACAGTTCCCATCATTCCTGACTTTTGGCCATGCTAGCTGACACTGGTGGGAATTGTCCAATAACATCTGACTGGTACTGCTTTGGCTACCCTTGTATTAGCTACTTAAAAGGTCTGACCCCGGAGTTTTGCCTTTTGTCCAAATAGGTCCAAAGTCTGCCAGAAAGGTTTGCTTCTACTTGGCCATTACTTGAGAGAGACAGGAAGTGTTTTTGTGCACATCAGATCAAGTTGCTATTTTCAGAACATGAGGCAACAACAAAACAAGATTCCCCTTTTTTCACCTCCAGAGCACAACACAAGATTCATCTCTTCACTGGAGCACTACTGCTAATGGATTGGGGAGGTCATTCCGACACCTCTTAATAGAATTACAGTACTCTGGAAGAGCAAGGTTCTGGAAAGGGAGAGGAAGCTATTTGCCTGGGCTCAGTAGCCATACACAAGGTCCTAGAGATTTTACCAAATGGGCTTCCTAAAACACCAAGGAAATACGATTCATAGCTGCTGCCTTACATTATCCAGCATGCTGGAAACTAACATCTCAGGTCTAATGAACACAGGGATCTAAAACAGTGAGGATCAAAACTACCTGTGATGCTCAGCCTCATGAATGTTTCCTAAAGTTTTTTTTTTGCCAACTGTTTTGTTTGTTTGTTTGTTTGTTTGTTTACCCTGTGCAAGCTAGATGAAGTGCAGTCTGGATTAGAGCTTTGAGGCAGGATAGGGAAAGAAGTTTCATTATCTCTTTTCTTAGAGCACATTTTTCTGATCAAAACTTTCCTTTTGAGCTGCTTTCTTGCCCCATGAGGGAAGATGATGTAAATACAGTTTATTTTCCCCCCCTTTAGGGGTCAGTTGACAATCTCTCTGAGACCATGGCCATATTCACAAACCAGAGCTGTCATAGGGCTCTCTCTCTCTCTCTCTCTCTCTCTCTCTCTCTCTCTCTCACACACACACACACACACACACCCAGCACACATTTCAACCTAATATATTGGCTACAATGGAATGCTTATTTGAAATCTAATTTCTGGGCAGGGGGCATGCGAAAGGGTCCCTGTGGGGCCAAGGAAGGTCTGTGCTGGTGCTTGCTTCTACGACAAAAAGAGCAGCTGGAGGAGGACTTGATTTTCAAATCAAATCCCACAGGAAAGGAGAAAACACCCTATATGTGAGCTTTTAGATTTTAGTTTCTTTGTGGGAACACAATCATGGGGGAAATGTTTTTTGTGACTGGATTCATATAATGATGGACCCTCCATATAGGAAAACATTTATCTGTGCAATGTTAAGTTCCAATCATCAGTTTCTGTGCTGTCCCTCACCTAACCCCTCATTTTAAAATAAGACCTCAGATCAAAGAACAGAGAGATTTGCCTTTTGGGTGTTCAGGTAGAACTCCCTGAAGGACCGACATGCTAATTTCTGTCCTTTTAGTAGAACAGATCTCTGCAAACCTCAGTTGATCGGCTTAAGCATTAAATAGCCTTCAGGAAATCAAAAGGAATATTTAGCATAAAGCTGCTGCCTTATCAAAACTTATTAACCACCTGAAATCCCTTTGTAAAGCTAACTTTAGCCCTTGTCTACTTAATTGTGTGTGAACAACCTTGCTTGATCCAAAGTATGTGCTAGGAAATAAGATATGCTATAAGAACAAATCCCAACAGCCTCATTTAAAGAAGTTCTATTAAGTGATTTTTGAAAAGAAACTTGAACAAACACAGTTCTGTGGGTACAAGTCTAAAGCTTGTTAAATCAAGAAGTACACGTTGGGGGTTGTTTATTGATGATCCAGTTAGGTCTGTTAAGCCCACAAAGAAAGCAGCTTTTTTCCAATGAGAGAGCCTCATAACACATTTCTGAATCTTAACCTAAGTTTTGTTTTCAAAAGCAGGGATACAAATTGCATCACATGAATAAAAAACGCCTTTCATACCATGCATGCTGATGGAAGTTAAAGATGAAGATAGCAATAGGCCTTGTGAGTAAACAGCTTTTGCCAAAGATCTAGGACTATTTATATATACACCAGATTGAAAAGCTGTTTACTCACAAGGCCTGTTGCTATCTTCATCTTTAACTTCCATCAGCATGCATGGTATGAAAGTGAGGAACAGAAAGTCCATGGAATACGACATTTGGAGGATGTGTTCTCCCTCCCCCCTCATGACAGGATTCTGTAAATGTGGTGCTCTTGCGTGAAACAGAGTGGTTGGAGGATGAGATACCATCTGTCTAAATGCATGAAGCCTTGACCTGAGAGGTCTCAGCTCAATTCTTACCAGAAAGCCAGGCAGAACCCCAGTTTCATTTTACATTACAGCAGCTGGCTGAGCCTTACAGCTCTTGATTAGATGAAAAATGGGGAACTGTGAAGATGCACCTAAGTTTTCTGGAAACAGAAACTGAATGAATATCAGAGGTGCTCACTCACGGCTGCATATATATTTCATTGTCATCTCCTGATGTTCATGGCTTTTTCTCTGAGCTTCCCCATGTCCAACTCTGCAGGGTAGAGCACATTATAACACAAAACAAATTGCCTGCAAAGCCTCCGACAATCACGTCCTGGAGGGTTTTCATTTTCTCCAATGTTTCCATTTCTCTAAAGAGTGATAGCCCTGAAATTTATCTAACGGATAATAAGTTGCAGCAGTCACAAGGCACTGAATCTACCAAGCCGATGCGAAGCTGGTATAAAAACCTGCAAGCCCACAGCTGCTTAGCTTCCAGCACAAAATCCTAGAGCTGCGGCTGAACGCTGGTGCATAAAGAAGAGCCCTCTGGATCAGGACAATCTAGTCCAGCAACCCTGTTCTCACAGTGGCCAACCAAATCCTATGAGAAGCCCCAAAGCACAAAAGCACTCTACCCACCTGCAATTCCCTGCAACTGGCCTTCTGAGGCATTCTGCCTCAGGCTGTCAGGGAGAACCTAGCCATCACAGCTAGTGGCTGCTGACAGCCTTATCTTCCATGGATTTGTCTAATCCTCTTCGAAAGCCATCAGGTCTGGTTTTTCATGTAAACAGGATGTACAAATAAAACATTGCAGGAGTCTGCAGCAACAGCCACTATCATCACAGGGACAGAGGTTCTCTCATTAGGGAACAACACCTCTCTACTGAGCACACTATTTCTCAGGGATGACACTAGACAAAGAGTGGATACAAAGGGCATCAACTTATCATGATGGGCAATGTTATGAATTTTATCACTGAAACTCTAAACTTCTGGCATGTGTGCTTTAAAAAGTTGGGGCTACAAATTGATAGTTTTGGGTGGTACTGGCATCAACCACTTGAACTAGCCCAACAGGGAGGGAAGCTAATTCTATCAGTTCTATCTATATCGGTCTATACTGGTACCAGGGATGTCCAACCAGTCGACTGCAATCAACAGGTCAATCCCTGGGTGATTGTGATAGATTGTGGTGGATCACTGGCTCATTTTCCTCCATGGTGGAAAAAAAGCATCCGTGTGCATGCCGTCCTGACCTGGTGTGAGTCGGTCGTTGCTGGGTCACTGGCACCCTGGTATACTGGTGTTTATGAAGCCCCTGCCGGCAGGCTGTGGCAAGTTCACTCCATCAGGAGGCTTCTTGGATCCCCAACCGTGCCGATCTACCCATGGTATCGGCCATCATTAGAGACTGTTCTTGGAGTCCATTCTCTGCTTCCCTGCAACGGCCCCAGTGGAGCTGATCACATAGTGGGAGTGTCGTTGGGGATGAAGCCGTGTCGTAGGTGAGAGCTGCGGAGCGTCTATTGGTTTGTGAGCAATTTATGGCACCCCCCCCCCAAAAGCAGAACTATGTTGCTCCCCCCTAAAATAAAATCTCAACAGCTTTGGCCTGCCCCCCTAAAAAAGGCTCAACAACTTTGGATCCCCCCCCCCAAAAAATGGGTAGATCACTGCCAGTTTTTTATTCCAGGAGTAGATCGCAGTCTCTTGGGAGTTGGACATCCCTGTGGTAGACAATAGACAACTCATTCCTTGGAACACCATTTTTAGACACTGGAAGAAGCGGGTGGGATGACTGACTCCAGCCTCTTCCCCATTAATTCCCATGATGACCATCGTCAGTTTTGTCGCCCAGATAAATATGATGTAAATTAGAATATTCTGTGCTAGATGGATCTACAAACTGACAATTTCCTTCAGTACTATTTCAAGCAACATCCTGGTTCATTGTTATGAACATTCTGTGCAGCTAATGAGGTTCAAAAAAAAATGGAGCATAAAATTATTTTGAAGCACGGGCTGGTTTTTTTATTATTATTATTAATAATTTTTATTAAAGTTTTAAACAACAAAGAAAAAAAAGAAAAACATACACAATACATATAACAAAAACACACACACCAAAAACAAAACAAAATTCAACAATAAAAAAGAGAAAACAAGAAACATAACAATTAAAAACAATATCTCTTTTCCATTTCCGTTTTTTAGTTACTTATTTTCTGGACTTCCTCATACCTCCCTCTTTTGTATTCCAATCCAAATTGTTTGTCCAGCAATTTCTTTTCCACTTTTTTAATCCCAATCTTTAGCTTTAATAAGATATTAAAATATATAACTTCAACTTCTTTAAACCTGATCTTTGGTGTTAATAATATAACGTTAAAATTTTTCCTCTTAATATCAAATTTCCATTTCTTTAAACATCTTTAATCCTAATCTTTAATCTTAGTCTATCATTAGCTTTAACCTGTACAGCTGGAAACCGCTTATTTTCAGGAAGCACGGGCTGGTTTTTAAATGGGGAAGAGGGGCAGGGAAGTAAGCCCCGAGTTCATCTGGTCAGTCATAGCAAACTCACTGAAGGTTGCTCAGAAATACACAATTTGAAAATGGCAGATTAAGCAGTGAAATCTACCAGTGTATACCAGAAAGGCTAAAAGCTATCAAAAATAATACATGCAGCATGTCTCAATGGGCTTGCTAACAGAAACTTATGTTTCTAATATCTCTGTTTTTTAATAGCATACCTCTCCATAACATCTGAGAAGCACCACAGGTTTGTTTTCCACAGGGAAAATATAGAAAATGTGTGCCAATGATATAAACTTGAAGTGGAACAGAGCCACAATTATAATGGACAACAGAGGGTTGCAACCCCAAGGCCTGATATGAATTTTAACTTCGTAACTTAGAGCTGTATTCTGACGCTGTCGCAGATTACACTTACATAAAATGGTTACATAAAATAAACCATATTGAATAAAACAATAAAATCTTAAAAAAGCAAACAGAAACCTTACCACTACCTTAAAATGCTTTCTGGAGTAAGAAAGGCTTTGTCTTGTGCCTGAAGTTCAGCAAGGAGGGTGCCTGTCTAATCTCAGTTGGGAAGGAGTTCTGCAGCCCCACAAAACCAAATGCAGACTTGACACATACAAGAGGCAATGCAGAGATGCTTCTGGGAAAAGTTAGAAGGGACAAGAAAGGCACTTTCTGAGCTGCCCTTTCCAGAGCACAGCTTACTACAGTTATGATTACACACATTTAACTATTTTGTTTGATAGAGGCTTCTTAAACACTGTACTTGCAAATGCTGTGGGCTGCTGGAGATGGATCATTCCTGATCTCCTATCTATGGAAGGTTGTGTGCTGCTCTCTCAACCTCCCCCTTTCCCCTTTATGTGCAAAATCCTCTCCAATGCCTTTCTGGAATTAAGCATGAGGATAAAGCATCACATCAGTACCAAGATTAACACTAACCTTCATCTACTTCAATCCAAAATTTGCATTCAGAATTTGAGGTGGACCAGCAAATCCTGGTATCTTGCCCTTCCTCTTTTTGAGCTAACCATGGTACAGTATTGCTACAAGTTTGGTAGAGCAGGGAATAGGCTGTATGCCGAGACCCTTCCAGCCCCTGGATCCGGCAAGTATTAAAATATAAGCTATGCTAGCTTCCTGATGAGGTGGCCACTGGGTGATGGGCCATTAAGGGGAGCTAAAGAAAGGTGCTCTGTGCGAGATGGAGAATGGGAGAGGCCCCTCCCTCAATCTGCAGATAGTTAGAAGGACAACGCCAGAGTTGATAGTAGAAAGTTGCAGCGTTGTGGGCCAGAAGAAAAGCAGCAAGCTGGAGAGAGTCAGAGCAATGTTTGATTTCTGTTTGAAATCCTAAATATACCACAGTCTCCACTGTTCCTCATTCCTAAAGGAAACACAAAGAGCCTGGAACCCCTGGAATTTTACACCATGCAACAATACTATCTCTGCAACTTTCATAGTTAACTCTAGAAAGAGAAGGGGTGGGCTTATTTGTTTGCATGAGAGGTGAGGAAACCATGAGTTTACATTACACTCCCAGTCTTTTAATGATGGATAGGAGTTTGGTTTTTTTAATGCTTCCAGAAATATATTTTATTTATTCATTTAATTGCTAGCATTTATGTGCCACTGGCAGGGCTCTGGCAAGCAGCTTACAGTAATGAGAAAGTTTAAAGAATGTGCTATGTAGAAACTATAAAACCCTGACATGCTGCGGTTTTGCAGAATGCTATTTTTGTATGAATAAAAAAAAATAAGGGGGTGAGGATAAGACCTGAATTAAATGTTGGAGCACTCTATGCTTTGGTGATTACTTGCATTTCATTAAGGACAGCCATATGCCCTGCCGGAAGCCCCATATGTGAGGCAATAACTTTCTCAGCAGATGGCATTACAGAGACAAAATAAATATTATGAGGAGAAGTGTAATGACTACACAGCCAGTGAAAAATGGAGGGGAAAATAAATAGTGAGTAGCTCGTTTCAGCTTTGTTTTCAGCTGTGACATACTTCCCTAATGCCCACAAGCACTAGTTCAGTAGGATTAAGAAACTTATGTTGCCCTTTGTGGCCAAGCTTCATTAGATGCCTGGGAAAATGTTTACCTGTTATTTTTAAACACCATGTATTTTTGTGCAATATGACGAACACACACACACACACACACACACACACACACACACACCAACTTCTGTAGAGAGTTTTCAGGGGAAGGTGGTCAGATCCTAACCATTATTTTGATCCTTGTTAGCAAGCAACACCTTTGTTTCCTGCATCCAACACAAAGGTGACAAAAACCAGGTATAATTCCCCCCCCCATACAGTAAATTGACTCCAGTCACAGACTCAGCAGAGGTAAACCAGGTCATCTCCCCATATTGCTTGAGGACTCAGTAAGCTTGGGTTCCAAATTGGTAGGTTCTGGGAACTGGGGAACTGGCAGAAATGGAGCCACTGATAAACAGGAAGGAAAGGATACTCAGAGGAACTTCCTTGCTATTCAGAGGAGCTGAGGGCAGTGACATGATTGTGATTACAGCTAGAGTGCCAATGGCACAAGACTTACAGGTGACAGTCATTTTCAGTCCTATTCTTTGGGCAGTGATGGCAGCAAAAATAACTTGCTTCTGTATCAACAATATATCTGTGCAATGTCAAAGGCCTTTTTCCAGATGTTGAAAGGTCGGGGGGGGCAATAGGTCAAACTCTTGGGGAACCTGCTGTGAGCAGTTTGCCTTACAATTTGCTGGCTAATTCACTTGCATCTGTGCCAGATTGGATGGAATAGTTATTATAGAGTCCAGCAATGTCATTTTTTCATACTTTTCAACTTGTGCAGCTTGAGGATGTGGATGAGCTACTTGGAACGTTAAAGAATTCACTGGGGAAGGAGTGGAATCTATGCCAAATACGCTGTAGTGGAAATATTTAATCTCCAAAATCTAAATAAATCATAAACCTTTGGAGTCCATCCTATGACCGAGTAATTTCAGGACTGCATTTCTTTTTAAAAAGAAACAGAAGTGAGAACACAGAGATGTGACACAGGAGACCAATTGCCAGGAGATCTATTTTAGTTTCAGAATTAAAGATTTTATCAAAGTGGTCTCATAGATTAAGGTGTGTGTGTGTGTGAGAGAGAGAGAGAGAGAGAGAGAGAGAGAGCGCGCACGCGCCCTGGGAATGGGATGAGATTATGGCAAAACAAAGTCACTATTTCCAGATGCATCTCTAGACCCCATTTACTTGTGCCATCTTTTGATCATTTCCTGTGGGTCGGTGGGGAATCTCGCTGCTCCACTGTATTTTGTTAACACTTGATTTCTGTAACCCTGTCAAGCTTAGTATGGCACCTCAAGTCCTTGGTGTGGCTGTAAAGTGTGGAAACGAGATACCTCTCTGAAGGTACAGTGGACACATGCCAGGGAGAAGGTATCCAATCAGAACTCCCTAGCAAATGTCCACAGGTGGACAAACGTCTACACAATTATCCCCTTGGCTTCTGTGAAGTAGCTGCAAGACAGCCTGCTGCTCTGGAATTCTTCCCAGATTGCTCCCTCATCCCCTAGTCGATGACCTGCGTTAAAGAAACTGAGCCATTTTGTTCAGGAAAAAAAGATCAGTGAAACAGCAAAAGCACAACAGTAAGGGGGAAGAAATTCCTCCTTAAGCTCTCATTAAGCCTCACCATATGCACAGTACAGCAAAGAGCTCTTTGGTGCTACTCGGAATAAAGAGAGAACAGCAGCAGCGAAAAGAAAGTTTCAAAGCCCTTCCTCGGCACCCACTGCTTTCAGAATATATTAAGGATAACACAGTTGCACATTCAGTTACAATTACTAATTCTCTGAGTAAATAAGGAGAATAAAAATAGGATTGAACAATAAAAGTTCTGAAACTGTATTGATGAAAGAAATTGTATGGAAGAACTAGCTGTCTCCTGGCATGACAAGATTCTTGCAAATGGATTTCAACTATCTGGGTGCCTCTTGGCCTCTCTCCACCCATCCTCCTCCTTCAGCTTCTGCCTCTGATTTTGGATTTCTCTCTGCCACAGTCTCTCCCTGCTCACTAAGCCCTGTTACCCCTTCAGCTTCCGACACAACCTCATCCTAGTCTTCTCCCTCTGACCACTCATTGTTGTCCCACCACCAGTTCCCAGGCTCTGAGCCCTCTTCCCTTGGTGGTTCTCCAGCTGCTTCCTCCCACTAATCCTCTGCATCCAGCCACTTCATGACACCTAATTGATCTCAATGGACTATATTCTTCAGTTTCCCTGAGCTGTCAGGCTGTTGCTCGTCTGCTCAACCTCCATAGGGCCTTCATGAGAGCAGGCAGCTCCGAACCCATCTACCTCCTCTCCTTGCTTCTCTTACCTTGTCCCCCTTGCCTCTTCTCAATATTTCTAGTTTTCTTCAGGCTACTCAGGAACCTTAAGGGAACATAAGCCTTGACAAAATTTCTTTCTTTGTGGGGACCACTGAAGTTCTTGATTGTACATCAGAATATTTGTATAACAGTGATGTAATGGATGAAGCCAAGTCAACTGCAGCCTGCACACACAGAAAGCCAGACTGTGAAAGCATCCATAGATTTGTGCTTCATTCTCTCAATAACTATGATGTACAGCCATGACCCCACACCCCTGGGTCACATTAAGGTTCGAGAAATCCCTTTCCTCCTACCTTTCCTATTAGCATTCCACCCCATCCTCCTGGCTTCTCCATCACCTCCATTTTAAACATCTGTATCTTTCTGCCTTCATGTGGCCCAGGCCCAAGTCATTTGCATTCATTTGCGTCTAGGCCTTAATTGCAGCCCAGTCGATAACTGGCATCAGTCTGCACTCCTTATTTGACAGCAGGAAACTTCCCCTTACCTCTGCCTATGTCTGTGGTAGAACAGTTAAGCTGTTAGTTCAGGCAATGCAGGTCTGGGTAGCCTGTGTACAATTTTGCTGTAACCAACCATTTTACTTTTCCCCAAACATTGCATCATAGCAGTTGAAACACCAAAATGCTTTTATTCTGTTTATGCCATTTTGGCACTTGTAATAGACGTATTTCTCTTGAAAACCAAATTGGTACTCTTTGGTTTTTACTAATTCTCCCAGAGTAACTAAGGATACAGTTCAACCTTGCTTTTGAAGCATCATGTTTAAGGACACATGTAGACTTGGTAACAAAAGTAAAGGTAAAGGACCCCTGACAGTTAAGTCCAGTTGCAGACGACTCTGGGGTTGCAGCGCTCATCTCGCTCGAGGGAGCCGGCGTTTGTCCGCAGACAATTTTTCCGGGTCATGTGGCCAGCATGACTAAGCCGCTTCTGGCAAATGGAACACCAAAACCAGAGCAGTGCACAGAAATGCTGTTTACCTTCCCGCCGGAGCAGTACCTATTTATTTACTTGCCCTTTTTTTTTGGCGTGCTTTTGAACTGCTATGTTGGCAGGAGCTAGGACTGAGCAACGGGAGCTCACCACATCACAGGGATTTGAACCACCGACCTTCTGATCGGCAAGCCCAAGAGGCTCAGTGGTTTAGACCACAGCGCCACCCGCGTCGCTCTTTACCAACAGCTAAAACCACCTAATCCTTACTAAATGTACTGGACACTCTACATCACTTGGCCAGCTTGTGGTATTCATGCTACACCTAGGAATGACATAGTTCCAGGTTACACTTCATTGCAGCCAGGTCAGATGTATCCAAAAATGATGCCCCAAAAGTTCCAGTATTTACTTGTTAAATACTTTGCTCTCTGGAGTGTTTCATGCATTAGGGAAATGTTGATCCTCTGGCATGCTCGCAGGCCATCCATCCACATTACCATGCGGGGAAATTTTAAATGATAGGTTGCCTCTGAAAACCGTTTGAACTTGTTCTTAATGTGAGAAGGTAACTGGACGGAAAGGGGAGAAAGCTATTTCACCTTTTGACAAAACCGTTGCACAGCATCTTGAACTCCTCGTTAGGAAGAAGAGAAAGCGAAATCTTCCTCTCAGGAGTGTTGCAACTGAATCGGCTCAGAAAGGGGTATGCTGAAAGGCTTAATTTAGAAATGTGCTTTGTAAAGTGAACAGAGGCTGCAAAGATCCATGATATGGCCATTATACATCACTTTGCTTTTGAAAGCACAAGCAAGGCCAGCAACATGTTGCCAAATGCAGCTTTCTTGTGAAATTGCAGCCTATTAGCGTCGAACCCCCAAGCAGAGCTTCCCTCTGATGTTCTGTTGCTAGCATCTCCAATGCGACGCGAATGTGTGCGTAGCGTCAGGGAGCAGGGGATCAGCAGGCTGCTCTCATACACAAGGCTCTCAAAAAGGAAATCCAGAAAGAACTCCAACAAACAAAGAAGGTGAAAGACAAAAGACTGGTACATGCCCCCTAACAGTCCAAGCCTGTGAATCATCACATCGCTCAGTGATCAGTTCCTCAGACTATTTTCCTTAGTAAGAAATTCCAAATTTGCTGTGGAAATTTCACTTTTCATACGATCAGGTGGCAATTCTCATCAAAATCACATTCTGGGCTTAGCTAGAGTAGTTTTTAACCTTTTCAGACATTCATTTGGGGACACACACACACACACACACACACACACACACACTTAGTGCTGCCATTTTGACAGTAGATGTCACAATGCTGCTACTTTGGAGGCAAGTATGCTTCTGAATACCAGTTGCTGGAAAAAGCAGGAAAATAGAGTGCTCTTGTGCTCGGGTCCTGCTGGGTTTCCCATGGGCATCTGGTTGGCAACCATGAGAACAGGATATTGAACCGAATGGGCCATTGGCCTGATCCAGCAGGCTCTTCTTAACTTCTTCTATGATCTACCCTAGGTGAGGCTGCAAAACTCTCAATATATCCTTAGTAAGTACTAGACTGTTGAAATGTCAAAACCTAGCATAGGCTGCATATACCCATAACTAGGGATGGACAAATATGTTAATTTTGGTTTCTCACAGTTCCTCATATTTTTCATCTCAGATCTCCACATTTTCACATCAATTTGCAAATTCTTTTTTTAAAAGTACTCATAAACAATTGTCCCAATAGGCACATTTTTGCAATGTAATGCCTTTTGGCACACTATTTTCAATACTGTGTGCATTCTTATGCAAACTTGTGGATTTTGTATACATTGTTTGGTTGCAGAACTACGCCACATAATTCAGTGAAGCGCACTTTTCAAAGGATGAATGCATTTTGGTTCATACATGGTTTCAGGAAGTTTGAATTAAGTAGGTTCGCTTTTTCATGCTAAGTGAACTGAATTTTTCTCCCATCCTTACCCACAACACAAGAGCAAACCAAGAAAGTAGAAAGACACAACCTAGAAGAGGAGAGTGTTAAGCACTGATACCTGGGAAAGAGACAACACGAGCCAAACCTCCGAAAGAAGCTTTCATATGAGAGCCAGAAAGAAGCACTAGCTGCCTCAAGTCCCGAAGAAAATGAGCAACAATAAAATTGGGATTCTCCATTGTCTGCCCACTGAAATGTTACAAGGTGGCTTGTTACCAGATTGATAAGCAAAGCAGGAAAATGGAAGGGATGCCTAAGGCTTTGGTAGACACCTGCTCTCACCATGTGTGTGTCAACAGAAGCCTATTGATATCAAAACAAGTCAAAGGTGTGGTTATTTAAAAAAAATATTAGGAGGGCGTGAGTCATCCATAGTCAAACAACTTGGAAGCGCCTGAAGCTCCAGAGACTGTGAGGAAGAAGCAAAATGAGATGCCACAGCCTACCCACAGAGCACCATCAGGCTGGATTCCCTAAGCAGGGAGCTTTTGCCTCTAAGCAGTTTTCATTTTGATCCCTTCTTGCCTGATCTGTGGGCATTTGCTGTTCCATTCAGAAGCACCATATTGCACAGATCTATTCTGCTCCACCAGCACACAAGCCTTATTATAATGCATCTTGTTTCCAGGCTGCTTGCTAGCGTGTCCAGTTTTAATTAAAATTTGATTACATTTGCCTGACTATTTAAAGGCTTGCACACTGCATGCATCAGTCCATGCTTCATTTACAGTCTCCGCTCTCTCCAAACTTTCTTGGTTAATATCTTTTTTTCCCTTTGCCCTGCTGACTTATCAGATGACGTTGATGGGTCAGACCAGGGGAAGCTGCGGCCCTCTTGATGCTTCTGGAGTCCCAACTTGCATCAGCCCAAGTCAGCACTGCTGGCCAATGATCAGGAATGATGGGAGCTATAATCCAACAATATCTAGGGTGCCACTGTTTCCCTATCTGTGGCTTGGAAGGTTGTGTGAATTCAACAAATCGGTTGTTTAACATTTGTATCTTACTTTTGTTGAATTTTGACTGAATCTCCCAAAAAACCAACATTTTGGAACCAACCCAGAGGTAAAACTTTCATTTCTATAATATGTTTGGGAATTGCCGAAGGAATATGTCGAAGACATATTTGGGATGCAGTATTCCTCTGGCAGAATTACAGTTTCCACCCAGTGTAAGCTCAAAATCTGGACTGCAAATTACAAGAAGGCAGGCTGCAGTTGGGCATTCATTAATGCCAAGGTTACTGCAGAGGAAGAAGGTCCCCATAACGAGGATGGCATGGAACTCAAAGTGCATCTTTCCTGCCAGGTTAAGAACTGCGCTGAGCAGGCAGATGGCTGAACCTCATTATGATGCAGAATTGCAGCACAAAAGGGTGAAAGAGTGGTAAATTAAATTAGCATTCACGAGGAATGAATGGCAGGCTATGATGAATGCCAAGTGCCATTTTTATTTCATGCCACATTATACCTGGAAAGGATAAGTGCCAAAAAGCATTTTCCTCACTGAGACTAACAAGATGAGCCAAGTCTTGGACATATGCAAACAGTCGCCTCTCATTGCTTTGCAGACACAGAAAGGAGGATTTGAAAGTTACAGTTACATGAGCAAAGAGAAAATGTAGAGTGTGTCCCCCCCTCACTTTGCACAATCCACACTTGGACACCCTATCCAGAAACTGCCCAAGACAGTTTTGGCACCTGCAGCAGAAAATCCAAATGCTAGCCTTTTTAGGAGGATAAAACAAACAAACAAAAAAGTAACAGAGTAACAGTCCCTGTAATGGGACTCAGAAAGCTGCCACCCGAGATGGACCATGTCATCCTGCCTAACAATAAAGACAGTCTTGAGCAAAATCCTGTTTGCATGGTGCACATAACCTCAAAAACTATTTGAGTTTGCTGCAGAGACACATTCTTGATGCATTCCACTTCCTTTCCCAGATGAAACAAAACTGTTTGCTCGCTAGCTGTCCAAGAAGTTCTATAAGGACAAACAACTATAAGGATGAAAGACTGCCCCAAAAGTGGAAGGGTCCACTTAGCAAGCTATAGAAGACTAATAAATAAATTAATAATAATAATAATACGTTCATTACTTATACCCTGCCCATCTGGCTGGGTTGCCCCGGCCACTCTGGGCAGCTTCCAACAAATATAAAAACATAATATAACATAAAACATTAAAAACTTCTCAATACAATAATAATAATTTTTGGAGTCCTATGTGGAAACAGCCTCCCATTGCACCCAGGCAAGGTTCTTCAGTGCCTCAGATACAAATAAGCTATCCAGCACACACTTTACTTCTGCTTAGACCTCCTGGAAAGCCACAGGTGAGTTTCAGAGTCTGAAAGGGTAAGGAAACCCACAGAATGCCATGAACTGGCAGGACAACAGAGGAAAGGGAAGAGGATTCTGGTGAGGGATGTAGCCATATTGGGAGAAGTTGGAGACAGAGAAGGAGAGGTTGGGGACTTAGGAGGTACTCACGGGACATCAGAGAATGTTGCAGGAGAAGCCAACTGTTCAGGGCAGCTAGGGAAAGGTGACACATCACCAGAAGCAGAGGTGTCTCCATGGACATGGCGGGCTCTGAGGTGTCGGAAACAGCAAGAAGAGCACTCCAGGAGAATAAGGCAGGCAAGGGAAAACAACCCAGCTCACTAGTGGACCAGGTGGAGATCATGAGGCTCATTAGGTCAGAGAGGAAGTTTGTGGTCACTCAGCTGGGTGAGGCTCAGGGCAGGGGAAGATCACATGCTTCGTCAAGTGGAGAGACACAGCTGCTCAGCTGGAGCAAACTCAGGTGCAGCAATCAAGACTGGGAAGGGTAAAAGGGAAACAAATCAGAAGCTCTGTGTCTGCTTAGCTTTCTCTGGTGATGGACCTCAGTTTGGTTGCCTTGGGATGACCACTGGACTGGGACTTTGAGACTGACCCCCAGGTGTTCCAGCTCTGGATCTTCTGCCAAGGCAGGAACCTGACCTTCAGAATTGACTTCAGACCTTGCTTGTTTTGGACCTGGACTGGTGTTTGACCATTTGGATAGTCTGACTACTCTCTAGTGTTGTCCTTGGGACTGTGGACTATCAGGACTTACTTCCAGGTACACCAGAAGGATGATGTACTATACTTCATATCTCCTACAAAGGCTGCTGAAACTGATAAAAAGCAAACTCAGGTTTAGCATTAGCTATTTCTTTGGAGCATTTTTTTTTACTCTGGTGTTCTGTCAGGGGAGAAAAGACTCCCGGTAATGAGACACTGCTTACTATCTGAAAGGCATGACACTCAAGGAAAAGGAGCAGGGAGGGAAGAGGGGCGAAGCAAACTCAAGCACTACTTCTTAGTTACAGGGTTCTTAAAACCATCAGCTGGAATGAAAAGTGTTCAAAGAAGAGAGGAACCAACAGTTGCTGGTCTCTGAGCTGGGCCATTAGAGAGTCTCTGTAGTCCCCCTTTCTCCCGCTAGCGTGGGGTGGATAACCTCGGGTCCAGAGGCCAAATGCAAGCCTCCTAAGGCTACACCCCACCCCCAGGCACCTCTGGCCCTGCTTCACATGCTTGAGCATCTTTGCCTGCTTGGAATGTGTCCTTGGAGTCTGATGATTACGCTTGCTTGCCTGGAGGATAATGAGGTTATGTGTTTAAGAATTTGCTGTGCAAAGGTGAACTGTATATTCACCGTTCACCCATTTTTGCTCCTGGTCACCAGGGGCATATGCCCCAGAAGGTTGCTCAGAAGGGAATGCAAACCAGGTGTTGTTTTGTACGGCATCCACAAGTCAGAACATATAGCTCAGATCCTTTGGCAGTTCTGTGTCCTTCCATTCCCCGTTCAAAGTGCTGAGTTTGGCCTTTAAAGGCTGAAATTACCAAAGGCTAGTTTACTTTAATGATTACCTACTGCCGGCTTCCGGGGGAGGCACCTCCGGCAATGGCGGAATTCCTCTGACCAGGAGGAATCTGCTCCATGGAAATCTGGGTCTGGCCGCCACGGTGAAGGCGGAGACCCGTTAAAATCACAGGCGGGAGAAGCCTGTGAACGTGGGATTCGGCGGGCACCTTTTGCGCCTCCCCCACTCGCAGGGAACCCCGGTTTATGGGGCTCCGGAGTGACGTGGGGTGAGCGGCGCGGTGCATCTGCTTCTTCCACGGAGCAAAGCCGCATAGCTGTTGCCGGAGAGCGCTGACCTTTTCCTATGGACAATTTGACTTTAAAGTAATTACCCGTGAGTAGAGCTGAAGCGGAAGAATTGGATTTCTAAATGTTTAATTTGGTACCGTAACGGGGAGGTTCAAAACAGGAATTCCGCCTCCCCCTTTTGTAAATAGACTGAGGCAATGAAGTTGCAAGCTGGAGTCCTGGAAGGTCTTTCGTAAAAGATCAAATTTCCAACGGTAAAGAACATTAAACCCCCTCTTGGAGGCAGGAGAAGAGAGGGGGGGTTGCGGATAGAGTATGCTTGTGCGAGAGAGCGAAGAGACTTAAAACACCACCGCTCTGACCCTGGAAACGGGCTGCTGGTGGACTGACGTCTTTTGGAATGTTCATTGACAGCGTTGAGAACGTTCATTGACAGCTAGTTAAATAAGAGAAATACATTGTTTCTACTGTCTCCGGCTGCTTTAAAAAGGAGTAAAAGTAACTGAAAATTGAAACTAATTTGAAACTAATTTTGGATTGTTTAAAAGAGGATACTATTGACTATTACAAATAGAAACTGTTTCCCCCTAGTGGAAGCCTTTGAAACCGTACAAGAGCTGGACTAGGGGAATTTCCAGCTGCAAGTTAAAAACCGTGAGACTCTGGGACTGACCTTGAATCTTTTAAGTGTTATGGTAAATGGAAGAGGAAAAACAGACCAGTCAACTGTTGACAAAACATTAAGGTCTGGGAGGACTTGGTAACAATCCAGGAGAGGTCTATTATTAGGCCCTCCTGTTCTTTTTGTTGCTGTCTTTGTACTAGTATATTTGAAGCCAAGAGGAATGTCGACAGAGGAGGCTTTGGTGGCTGTATTGTATAAGATAAATGACTCATTGGATCAGCTTCACAGGAAAATGGACATGATAAATGCGAAAGTGGATGTTTCAGTTGTTGAGGTTGACCTGAATGCAGGGAGAATGGACAATACCAATACAGAAACCACCCAAGGATTGATGCAGGAACCTATTTTGATGTGGCGGGCTGTGGAGGAGGTCAGGGAGGGAGCTGTTGCTGCTGAGGGTAGAGTGACACAACTGGAGAGAAAGAGAAAGAGAGCCCCAGCCCTGCAGAGGCAATTTGATGAACATAAGTTGACGCTTGCTATGACTGAACTTAAAGAAAAACAGACGAATTTGAGGACCTTTGGTGGACATGCCCAAGGATTAAGACACTCTGGGAGATGATTCATAATGAAATGAAAAAGGTATTTAAATATACCCTTTTGAAGAAACCAGAGGCCTTTCTCCTAGGCATAGTCGGCCAATTGGTGTTAAAGAAGGATAGAATTTGTTTCGTGTATGCAACAATAGCAGCAAGAATACTCATTGTGAAGTACTGGAAGACACAAGATTTATCCATTCGGGAAGAATGGCAGATGAAGTTGATGGACTATATGGAATTGGCGGAAACGACTGGCAGAAATCCGAGACCAGGGAGAAGAGCTGGTGGAAGAAGACTGGAAAAAGTTTAAGACTATTTATAGAAACACTGTAAAAATATTGAATGTTAGAAAAATGTTGGAATGAAGTTATATGGCTTTAGTAGAAATGTTATAAGGAATCAAGTATAAATAGATTAATAGTGTATTAAAGGGAAAATAAGGCTAGAATATGTTAAAATAATTATAGGATAGAAAACAGAGGAAGATGGAAAGGAATTGCTGAAATAATTAATAGAAGTGGAAAACAAAAAGGGAGGTGTGAGGAGGTCGTGGAAATAAGGGAATGAAAGATAAGACATTGAAATTAGTTCTGTGTTTGAAATGGTTTGTGTTTTGCTTTGTTAGTTTTATGTTTTTCTCTTTTTTCTTTTTTTGTTCTTTTTTGTCTTTCTGTTTTGTGGTGTTTAAATGGTTGAAAATTAATAAATATTATTTTTTAAAAAAATAATGATTACCTACTGCCATATAAGTATGCCTGCTTTATTTACTATGTAATTTTAGAACTTGCCACTGACCCGTCTTACTGTGCTAATGTATTATTTGTTTGTAGTGTTAAATTGCTTGTTGGTACTGAATTATTTTTCTGGTGCTGCTGTGTGCATTTACTACTGTATGTTAAGATAACAAACTGGCAGCGTGGAAGCTCCCATATGGACACAACCCTAGATAACAACAACAGACAACACTTGTCCTAAAAGTTAACAAAGCCCTAAGCACAGCATGCTTTCTTAATGATTCTTTGAAAGTGAAGGGCAGTCATTTTTAGTTTCGACCAATACGGAGTTCTTTATCGGATTTGGGGTGGATAAAATACTACACTATCCAAAAATAAAATCAATGTTATTGCCAAATCAGAAGGCCAAAGTAAACAGGAGAAATCTGTTTCATAGCACGGTCTTTCTGCACCAAGCAATGGAAGAATGTCAGATCATCTGTTATATGGCTGACTCAAACACACCAGCTTTTCACACTAATGTGGTGCTGTATTTTGTTGATGACCCACATTCCTTCCCGTCCAACTGGTATCACTCTCTTGTTTACTCTAGCTCAGTCTCAGGAAACCAATAATGGATTACCCCACACAGTTGTGGATTGAAATGTGAGGAGGTTTCATGCCTTACCCAAACTCCACTGCAAAATCTAAAATTATTCTGAGCCCTGCAAACACCATCATTTCTGCAAACACCCGCTTTTCTTATATCACACACATCTTAGAGAGGCCACTGAGGAAATGGTTGGATGCTCAGTTTTTCTTCATTTCATTTTTTTTTTAAGCCTGAAATTTCTGTTGGCGGAACAATGCACTCTGAACATGTGCAGAGGTACTCTCAGTGTATGATTGTTCCACTGGTCCATAGTTGAACCCTGGCTTTTGAGAGTGCTGAGCGCTGACTGAACATTATGCAGTGGGGGGTGTTTCCCCTGTACAGGACACCGAGCTAAATGGGGCTCATAATTATAATATTTATATGAGTGCCTGCTGAGAAGATTCATAAAAGCAACTGTACTAAGAGGAATTATTGTGAAAATAAGAATTTTTGAGGGGAGGGGAGGGAATTTTGTCCTTGCTCAGGGAGCCATATTACCTAAGTCCATCCGTGCTTTATGTTCATGTAATTGAAATTCAGAGGGTTGCATCCAATGCTCGGTGTGTGTTCAGCTCCCCTGGTGCAATAGCACTTCTGTTTCCTCTTCTTCCCCTGCCCATCCCCTCATACTGCTCCAAAGGGCCCCAATCATTCACAGGACTGCAAGGGGAGAAGCGGTTCTGTTGCGGGTGCAGAAGTCCATTGTGGCAGCCAAGCTGCAGTGTTGGATACCACCCACAATATCCCAACTTTCTTATTAAAATCTCATAAAAAGGAAGGACAAATGCTTCCCCACAGTTTGTTAATCTTTCCTGTTCACTGTTGGTATTGTTCCTTGTGCCCATGTTGTCATTTGATGACACTCATTCATTTTCTGGCCTTGTCTCCTCTGCCACCACCATTTTCATTATCCAACACCTTTGCTACATACTTCTGAGCATTGTTCACTCAGTCGAGGATGCAACAACAATGTTGTTGTTTAGTCATTTAGTCGTGCCCGACTCTTCGTGACCCCATGGACCAGAGCACGCCAGGTACTCCTGTCTTCCACTGCCTCCCGCAGTTTGGTCAGACTCATGCTGGTAGCTTCGAGAACACTATCCAACCATCTCGTCCTCTGTCGTCCCCTTCTCCTTGTGCCCTCCATCTTTCCCAACATCAGGGTCTTTTCCAGGGAGTCTTCTCTTCTCATGGGGTGGCCAAAGTATTGGAGTCTCAGCTTCAGGATCTGTCCTTCCAGTGAGCACTCAGGGCTGATTTCCTTAAGAATGGATACGTTTGATCTTCTTGCAGTCCATGGGACTCTCAATAGTCTCCTCCAGCACCATAATTCAAAAGCATCAATTCTTCGGCGATCAGCCTTCTTTATGGTCTCTCCAGCTCTCACTTCCATACATCACTACTGGGAAAACCATAGCTTTTACTATACGGACCTTTGTCAGCAAGGTGATGTCTCTGCTTTTTAAGATGCTGTCTAGGTTTGTCATTGCTTTTCTCCCAAGAAGCAGGTGTATTTTAATTTCGTGGCTGCTGTCACCATCTGCAGTGATCATGGAGCCCAAGAAACAACAATAGAAGAAGCCAAATAGACTATTATCCACATAGTACTTTACAGAGTAATTTAAGAAAGCAGGGTGCTGCTCACTCAGAGAGTGTAAGTTATACGTAGATCAGTGTATATATGTGCATATGTTTGTTCAGTCCTAGCCCTCTTTATTAATATTCCCTCTGCAGCTTCCAGTGCCACATTCTGTGTTGTTCCAGGGCTTCCCCAACCTGCCAGAGATTTTTCTTTTTTGGGTGGGTGTGGGTTATTGCTTCTGTCTGCAGGTTTTCACAGCTGGATCAGAGCCATCTGCAGATGGAAGGAGTCTTTCTGTTAGCCGGAGGCTAACTCTAGACAGAGTTGAGTGTGAGGGTAGGAAGAAAGAGACAAATGCAGCAGAAGCAGCAGCAGAGAGAGGGATAACAAGATGAACATGAGTAAATACAGTGGTGTATCCTCAGGCTTCATTTAGGTTGCAGGCGAGGCTTGAGTATCACAGAAAGCAGGTTTTGAGAAATGCTTTGAATAAAGGAGGATTCAGGAAAGTGTTCGGGAAAGGGAATTTTGTGTATAAAGGAGTAGCTTGCCACCAACATTCATACACATGAGAATTCAGGTCCAATGCATCAAATCTATCACTTCTAAGTCTTCTATACATTCATTTGTGTGATCAGGAAGGGCATTATTCCTGACATGGCTGGATTGTTTTGTATTCTACAGTCTGAGAATTGGCAAAGAATTGATCTCAGCTTAGTAAGCAGGAGCATGATTGATGTGATGATTTTTAATAGTTGCTCGTCTGCAACTGGACTTAACTGTCAGGGGTCCTTTACAAAATATAGACACCAGCTTGCATCTTTTCTCATTGGCAAAGAGCCTTTAACTAGGAGACTAGAGGAATTTAGAGGATGGGACACAAGAGATTTTATCCTGGGGTGAGGAACCTGCTGCCCTCCAGTTGTTGCTGGATTCCAACTCCCTGACCATTAGCTGGAGACCAGCACCAAACCTTAAACTCACATCCTTGATAATATTCTAGGGCTGCAAGATCCCCACACTTTGGGAACCATGGGAGAGACAGACATTCTCCCCACTTTCCTGTGCATCATGCAAAGCAAATTTAACACAACGCAAGTGCGGAAGAATAAAACAGAAATGCCTGAAATCCTTTATATATCATCTCTTAGCCTCCTGGCATGCAGGTATTTCAAATAAAGAGTTGACTAGAGAAATGACAAAAGCCCCTCTTATTCTCAGTTTCGCTGCAGTCAAAGCCGTTATGTGCCATTTCAATCTGCCCTTCTAAACTTTGCAGCCGAGTTAGCTCTGTTAACGTGGTGGCCCTCACATTAGAAATCACAGGCTTGTGCAAACAAAGCAAAGTCCAGAAGGAAAAGAAGTTAATATGGGCCGAGCAAAGGCCATGCAGCAGGAGCAACAAAATACAGAGGAGAACAAGGTACACAGCTACACAAAGCCTACTTGCGATGGGTCAGGCTGTGGTGTACACCCTGACAGCTTTTGTCAGGGAGCTGCCAGGATGGCTTCTCTTCATGGGAATTTTCCTGCCAGTGATTCTGCTCCTGCTCCTGCTCATTGCCTACCTGAGGGTTATGCTACGACAGGGTGAGTCAGGCACTACAGGGCTCTGAAAGGTGGGCAGGTATGCAGAACTAATAATAAAGCAGAACGCTCTGAATTTAACCTATACAGTAATTAGGACTAGTTGTTCCTTCGAAACAACACCTAATCTCCTGCTGTACTGTAAGAAACTGATATTATCCTCAGTGCACTTCCCCAGGCAAAGGCCAGTAAATATATTTGATTGTGTAATTGGCAGTATTGAAAGGGTACTTACTGGTGGGTGGGATACAGCACTGCTTCAGAACCAGTCCCCACCCCCACCCCAAAAAATCAAATAGAGCTGAACAGATCTGAGCATCAAGCAGTAAGACAATGGCAATAGCTGTGTGTGTGTGTGTGTGTGTGTGTTTAATAAGAAAGGAACAGGATTTCTATGTCTTGGGTCTCCCACTCAGCCTGGCTTGATTTTGTCCAGCTCTATTTCAAGTTTGGCACACAATTTTATCGATGCATTTGAAATGAAATTGCTTTGGGAAAGTCCATAAATCAGCACCGAAAGCTATCCGGCTCTTGCCCAATTTCACTGTTGCATTTAGATATGGTTATTTCTTTCTTTCTTGTACTTACATATCACTCCTCAGGAGGCCCCCACAAAGTGGTTCCCCGAAGGTTATGACAACAATAAGCATCCGGTTTTTTTAATTACAGAAGAAGGTAAAAGGCAGCTTGCTTAGACAAACCTGTTACTCTTTCTTGTTCCCTCAGCGCAAGATGGTCCTTCAGAGGGCCTTGGGGGTGGCAGTTGGGGGAGGGCCAATCTGGGAGCTGGAATGGTGACAGTTTCTCCTCAGAGCACAGTGATCAAGGTCTTTGTCCTAGGCAGTGAATCCTGTGAGTTTGCAAAGTTGGGATTTATTTATTTATATGCCCTGATTTCTTATCACTTGACGCTTGCTTAGATTGAATTTCATTTGCCATTTTAGTATCTAGTCACCCAGCATGGAAAGATCTCTTACAAGAGCTCCTTACAATTCCCTTACAATTGTTTCTGCCATTCTGATAAATTGTGTGTCATCAGCAAGCTTGGTTACTTCACTGCTCACCCTTAACTCCAGGCCACTGATGAAGTTAAAAAGCAGCTTCTGTTGGTTCAAATGGCATCACTGCCGTTGGCTTACTGTAACACATTATACATAGGGTTGCCTCTGAAGACAGTTCAGAAACTTCAGCTGGTGTAGAATTTGGCAGCCTGGTTGCTCACCAGCCAAGACTGTTTGAGCCATGGGGGTTCAAACCTACCAAGGGGGTAGGCAGGATTTGGGGGGGGGGGCAGGACCAATGTGACTGGTCAGTTGGTTAAGTATTTCTATTGTTTTACTGCCCCCCCCCCCCCGGCTAAATCCATGCATATAACACCAATCCTGGCCAAAGTGCACTGGCTGCCAATTAGTTTCCGGGCCCAATTCAAAGTGCTGGTGCTCAGGACCACCGTACCTCAAGAACTAGCGTATTAACTGACCGAGACCCCTGCGGTTATTATCTCAGGCCCTTCTTTGTGTGCCTCCTCCATGAGAACGCCAGAGGGCGGAGTATAAATAAATTTATAATAGTATGAAATGTATTTTTCATTTGTGTATAAAAAAAATGAACACAAGCATGAAGCTCTACTGCTGAGAGGAAAATTTTATCTTGCTGGTCGCCTTTCAGCAGCTGCTGCAAACTAACACAGTGTGCTTATCCTTTTCAGTGGACCAGGAGCTCTACATAATGCATAATCCCCCTGATGCTGCTGCCATTGAAGCCTATGCCAAATACTACAAACGGGGAAACGGTAAAAGGAAACCAAGATCATCCTAAGAAATTGGTAACTTCCAGATACATAGTTTAAAATTGGCTATTTACTCCAGAAGTTTAATAGCTGTTTAATGTTATGCAAAAACTGGGGGTAGATGTGCGAGGGAAGTTGAAACAATTTGTTCTTTTAAAAAGGTATAAATGAATGGGGTTGTTATCTAAAAATTGGATTTTAACCTTATATTAGGAATCAAAATAATTAACAGCAGAAAATGTTTTCATGCAAAAATAATTATGCACAAAATGGAAAACTGGACTTTTCTTCCATTTCTCTACCACTTAAAAAAATCTCTCTGCAGTCACAAATGTTGGAAATACAGTGAAATGTTGTTCTTGTACAAGAGAGTATAATACTGCTTGTACCTGATGACATTATTTAGACCTAATGCATTTCTTAGGGCTTCTATAGGGTTTTGTGTTTGTTTTGGAAATTGCAGATTTGCAACACTTTCAACTAAAGCAAAGAGGTTTGGTAGGAACCTTGTACTCAAAATGAATTGAAATTTGCTGGCGAAAGACAATTCTTCTTGCTACTGAGATTTCGTCTATGATGTGATTATGGCATTGCTGCATTGAAGAACACTTGCTATAATGGCATTACAGTAGCAAGATTGTTCTACGATTCTCTGTTGGGGACGCTGTAGTAGTGGAGTTTCAGGGAGCAGTTGGGGAGTTGGGCAACTTGACCTCTAGGAGGACATTCAGTTAACAGCATGACTCTTCCCCACTGGGCTGGATAGGCAGGGGGAACAAAACCAGGGTGCCTCTTGCTATAGGAATGTTATTAGGTTACATAAAATCAAGTTTTGTTTTAAAGACATCCCACCCTCCTGAAATGCTTTCAACCATGTTGAGAAAGAGGCTCAAAACTGATTTATTTATTTTTTGAGGTTTCAAAATACAAATGTGCTGAAACATTTAGAGAATAAACAAACTTTATTTTATAACAGTATTACAGAAAGCAAAATATCACTTAATACAACTTCAAGCTGCTATAAATTTAATATGGCATCTTAACTATACACAAGGTAAACAGTGAAGTATGTGGGAAAGAGACAGTTAGCAGGTTTTCATATAGACCTCCTCAGTGACTAGCAGCCTCACTCAGCAGTTGGTTCCCATACTACTTACAATGGGTCCTTGGCTGCCCCCCAGTCCCTCAATGTCCTGAAAACCTGTACAAGTTCATCAGGTGAACTACTTAAAGACAACTGCTCAACAGACGTGTCAGTTATAACAGGTAGACAATGAGTTATGTAATGCAAGCATCCTGCACATGTATTCATATAATCAAAGTGTTTGACATTTAACATGTTAAGAGAAAAAGCACTAAGGTTTTAAGCTGCCTGGATTATCTTTGCCAGAAGGGAAGAGAGCAAAGTCCTTCCTATCCTGTCTGGAATGTTGCAGACGAAAGTGTCCACGAAGAAATTGAACAATGGCACTGAAGTGCAGAGAAGTTACTAAAACAGTGCTCAGTCAGTAGAAACATCTTTATAACTATCTCTTCTATAGTATACCAGCACCAGTTCCCTTCAGAAAGTGGGAGATCCTCAGAACAGACTATAAGGAGTTTGTACAACATCCATACAAATTTTAATTTATTTTCCCCACCAGGTCATAGGAAAGCTTTGTGTTTTCTTTTAATACAAGATAATGTATTTCTTATATTATTTGATGTTTTATTTACCTGAATAATCTGAAAAAAGCTGTTATCCCATTAAGAGGCTTTATTTGGAAACATTTTGAAAAGATTTAGTGAAAGATTCTTTCCTTCCTGCACTTGCTAAAGTGAAAAGTGCTTACTAAATATTTTTGTTCACTTTCATGCAATCAAGAAATCAGTTATATAAAATGTCAGGGAAACGTGGAAAAAATAATAAATCTCTAAACCTCATAAAAAGCCAAGAATGTTAAGAAGTGGTTATAAAAATAAAAGACATATATGGTAAAGGACCAGAGAAGATAAGTTTTGGTGTCGGCAGTTTGTTCTGGAAATGTCTGGTCATTGTCACCAGGCTTGGTGAAGTCAGTGAAGTAGCGGTGGGGACACCGACTTGAATGATCAAAGTTCTTCGGTCACAAATCAGTCTTCAGAATTCTAAAGGAAGGCAAGCAGTTTAATGTCATTCTTTACATTTAGTCACAGATTTTGAATACTATTAAAAACACTCTCAACCATATTACAGCTTTCTTCGTGTAATGTTCCTTTTTCAAGTCAGTCACATGCTACATTTTTCTTATTTTAAGTGGCATCAGACCTCCCTCTTCAGAAGAGCAGTTTTCCTTCATTTTTCAAGGAGGTAGCTAAGGAACTCTCTCTCTCTCATAATGCAAATAGCTCCTAATGCATCACCATTAGCATTCAAAAGGCCTACAGTCTCAGCCATGCCTTTCTGCTTTCCCTTTGTGCTCTTCTTCCGAACAAAACTCCAAACTGGAAGGTCCAAAACATTATACCCGAGATCTGATTCCAGACAGAATCACAAAAGATGCATTTATTTGTGGTAAAGAACATTCAAATAGGGGTTCCAGGTGCTTGGTAGCAGCAGCCAGGGCAGTCTTACAATGGCTGTGCTCTTTCCTTTCAGGTCGGGGACAGAGGGTGGCGCTAGGGGAGGAATTGTCGTCGCGGACCCCTTGGGTCTGTGGAGTGCCACAGGGTACAATCCTCTCCCCGATGCTTTTTAATATCTCTCTGCGCCCGCTTGCCCAACTTGTTCAGAGCTTCGGGCTGGGCTGTCATCAATACGCTGACGATACCCAACTTTATCTGCTGATGGATGGCCATTCTGACTCAGCCCCAGACACACTGACCAGATGTTTGGATGCGGTGGCTGGATGGCTGCGTGGGAGCCAGTTGAAGTTAAATCCTTCGAAGACAGAGGTCCTCTGGTTGGGTTGGGACGACATGGGGTTGGAGCGCCAACTCCCATCCCTTGCAGGGGCACAATTAGTACCAGCACCTTCAGTCAAGAGTCTGGGCGTAACCTTCGACACCTCCCTCTCCATGGAGGCACAGGTCGCAGCTACAGCAAAAGCGGTATTTTTCCATCTCCGCCGTGCCAAGCAGTTGGTCCCTTACCTTTCCTGCCCTGATCTTGCCACTGTGAGCCATGTGATGATTACCTCCAGGCTCAATTATTGTAATTCACTTTATGCAGGCTGGCCCAGAAACTCCAGGGGGTGCAGAATGCCACGGCAAGGCTCCTTACTGGGTCCTCGCCATGGGATCACATTCATCCAGTGCTACACCAGCTGTACTGGCTCCCAGTGGACTATAGGGCCAGGTTTAAGGTGCCAGTTTTAACCTTTAAAGCCCTATACGGCCTAGGACCCTCATACCTACAGGACGGCCTCTCCTGGTATGTCCTGTGGAGGACCTTACGGTCCACAAATAACACCTTGGCAGTCCCAGGCCTCAAGGAGGTTAGGCTGGCCTCGACCAGGGCAAGGGCCTTTTCGGCCCTGCCCCAGTCTGGTGGAACGCTCTGCCACAAGGGACCAGGGCCCTGCGGGATTTGACATTTTTCTGCAGGGCCTGAAAGATGGAGCTGTTCCACCAGGTCTTTGGCCCAGATCCAGTCTGGGACCTTTTTTACAAGACCTTGCATGTAAAGGGCCCCTCTAACCCTTCTCACTGGCTCATATGATCAGCACAAATAGCTGGGCCTGGTGAACACTTAATGTTCCCAACCCCATAGTTATAGTTTTAATTTGTGGGTTGCCATCTGATTTTATTCAGATTGTAATCTGATTTTAAGCTGTATTTCAACCGATTGTTTGATCTTATGTTTTAATGTATTATATATTTGATGTTAGCCGCCCTGAGCCCAGTCTTGGCCGGGGAGGGCGGGATATAAATAAAATTTATTATTATTATTAACCTGGGAGGATAATAGTTTTGTATCGGGTCTTGTCTCAGGCTCTTACCTTATTCTCCTCCTTCCGGAAGATCTGTTTCCTTATGCACCACAACTCTTGTTACAGACATGTCAGGATGCTGTTCTTTGGCTTCTTTAATGGCTTGTGCCAATGCCTACGTAAGTATTAAAAAGGACCCATTAAATAAAAATTATGAGGTAGTTTGGCCAGTAATGACTACACTTCCTGGACTGGATTTGTTCAGAAGTGACAACTGAACAGAGGAAGAATGCTGCTCCTCCATTACTGAGACAGCCAAATAAAAAGCCTAGAGAGGCTACTGGGTATTTTAAGTTATGAGCTGTAAACTATGTTTTGGTATCTTACATATTTATCTAAAGCATTTAGATCCTCCTTTTCTGGCAAACCTCACAAAGCAGTTTTTCAGCAAAACATTAAGAAAGCACTAATAATAAAAACTCCAGAAAAGGTAAGAAACAGAAAAACTTTTTAAAGCACACCACATCTTTATATTGATCCACATAGTGAGCTATTTGGATCAATATAATATCTAGACAGGAATGTTTTATTGCTGCAACGACATACAAGCATTAGGAGTCCGTCTAGATCAGACCAAATGACCATCTATTTCAGTATCCTGTTCTCACAGTAGCTAATCAGATGTCTATGGGAAGCCCATAAGCAGGACATTAGCGCAACAACGTTCTCCACCACAACAACTGGCACACTGCTTCCAATACTAGAGGAGGTATTCAACACCCATCTCACTTAGCTATGTCTTAACTTCGTTAGGTTCATTAATTTCAATGGATCTGTTATGAGTAAAACTTAGCTGAATACAACCCTGGAGAAGGTTCATAATCATCATGGCTAGTAGCCACTGACAAGTCTTCTCTAACCCTCTTTCAAAGCCATCGAAGTTGGTGGCCATTACTACATCCTGTGGTACTAACTGTGACAATTTAACAATGTGTCGTGTGTATCACTTCCTTCTGTTTATCCCAAATCTTCCAACATTCAGCTTCATTAAATAACCCCAAGTTCTAGTATTATGAGAAAGGGACAGGAACTTATCTCTATTCATCTTTTCTGCCCTATACATAATTTTATCCCCCTCTATCATGTTTTATTTTCAAACCCTTTCCTAATTCCCCTCAACATGGAATCTGACTTTTCTTCACAGCTGCCACACACTAGGTTGACATTTTCATCAAGTTGTCCACCACAACGCCAAGACCTCTTTCCTGGTGGGCTGCCACTGGTGCAGTCGCAATCAGAGTAAGCGTGGAATTAGGTTTTTGTGTGTGTGTGTGTGTGTGTGTGTGTGTGCAACACTTTACACATGCTTTTATTTTAGCCTTGTGTTGATGCAGTGACAGGAGGCTCATTTGTGGGCACAGGTCCTTTGATATTTGGCATATATCTTGCACACAATGTTGGAAGATACCAATTCAGGTAAGAAAACCAGCTGCAAGACACTGACCAGTATCAAACCTAATTGCCAAGAACAGTAGCTTATGTATTCACTGGTGACTGAGTACATAAGACCACAGCAACACTAATGTAGGGTGGAGAGGGTGAAATTTGCTGAGGGGAATCAGTGGGCAAAGAGGATGGTGCTTAATGTTTCCCTCATTCATCAATTCTGCTTTCAAATGCCCTAACTGGCTTTTAAAATCCCCTCCTTCCCACAGAAAACCAGCTGGACTCAGAAAAGAAACCCAAACCAAGCGAAAATGACCAAGGATGGAGAAAACAATCAGTGGGCACCAGATTCCCCATCAAGTCTCCTTGACAACTGATTCTCACCCCCACCACTACCACAGTTGCTACAGCAATTGTAGGATTGGGAATATATGTTTCGCAAGGTAATGGATAGTTCTGCCAGGAGGCACCTGTCAGCTTCCTTCCACACCTTGTTGATGTGGGATGTGGAAAGTGTAAGCACTGGGCAATTAGCAACTTTTCCCTAAAGATCTTTTCAAAACACAGTTCAGAGGTAAACAAAATGAGTGGCAATTTTGCCTTGACAGATGCACACTGGAAACTCGAGACATAAACCAAAATAAATAGCGATCAGTTTTTAAATATATAACCTTTAGGGCTTAACAATAAATGGCTAAGTATATACATGCACCATTTTGCTTTCCCTATACTTTATTTAGTACTTGAGCATGGAAGAGTTATTCTTCAGAATACAGAGAAATAAAATTGAAAACAAGATCGGATAGGCAAGAAAAAAACTGGTTTTAAGAAATAATGCTTTCAAGGTTCCTAGATACGGTTTCAGCTTTGACAAATACTTTATTTCTAAGCTGTATTGAACATCATTTAGATTATATAATGAAGAATGACATATCAGGGTTGTTCAAATTGAATAATTCAGGGGTTCAAATATGAAAAATAAAAATATTTTATTCTTATCAAGTGTATTTTCCATTTTAAAGGGTTACTACAGATCCTAATTTTACTGAAATAATGCTGGAATTTACATCTGAATACGAGCACATGTTTTACATAAATTTAAAACTCAGACATTTACAAAGCTGAACAAGATCTTGTGTTACAAACAGATGCATACAATCTATCTCTAAAAAGTTTACTTTAAGGCTTTATAATATTTATCCTAAGTGGAATATACTAAGATATGAATTTTATTAAAGCAATTCTGTTGTCTGACCTTTCCAGATTCCCCAGCTGTATGTTTTTTGTTTTTTATTTTAGCATGTGCTGGGACAGACATCCCTCATGCCTAATGCTAAACAGCTCTGTCATTTAATTTCAGGCTTCAAGGAGAGATTGCACTTGTCACAAGCCACTTGCTACAGGCACATCAAAATCTGAAATTAAATTTACTCAGAGTCCTTGGTACATTACAATTAAGAAATGAAAATTAAATCCCTGTTCTGTTAAATTGTGAACCTACCATCAATTAAGAATCAGTGCAGCACCACATAGTAAAAACGGCAGATTATAATTACAGTAATTCAGTGATGGTTAGCGATTTGCATCATGAGGTGGCTGAGTTTTAAAAATATTGTTCGTGTTCTTATAATAGAACATTTTTGACAGGGGAAAAACCTCAACTGCCTTATGAGGGGCAAAATATTGGAAAGCAGAATATGATGTGTTCTGTCTCTCACCTGGTCGTGGTCAAGGTCCGCATCGCCAGTGATAACAATCCGCTTTTCAATTCTGGTTTCTGACACACCACCTTTTACTGTCTAAAGATTTCAAGAACAAGAAATGTTTTACTTAATCTTCCAATGTAAGTAGCAGCTTGTAACTGAACACAGGAAAGGCAGAAAACCTTTTTCTAGTTCTTCTAATGTTTACAGTTTAGTAACAATTCTTAAGATAAAAAAACACAGCACATTAAGGCCTTAAGACTTATTTCTATACTTTCATTATTCATATGTGTAACAGGAAAAACCACACCTGCAGCACAAAACTCAACGTTCTTCTTCACTATCTGGAAATTCCAGTACCACTCAGTCAAATGTGGGTCACAATTTAAACTCAGTAAAATACAAATACGATCAACAATACTAAAAGAATATATGAAAGCCCCACCAGCACAAAATAATCAGCAGCATAAATCCATTATGCACTGCAACCTAGAGTAGCATCGAAAGACAAGGGGGGAGAGGGTTGAACAGATGGTACTAAATGGTAACAGTGTCCATGCCTTCATTTAGGATAGTCATAACTGCTCTAAACATACTTAAAATAAATCATCCTAGGTTAAATATAATGAAAGTTCAAGGTTCCAGAAAATAAGAGAGTCACAAAATCTTGAATTCTGAATGTTTCATTAGTACATATATAATGTGCCCAGAAACCTGGAATAATATAACATTTCACAGCCGATTTTGATTAAGAGCAGTCTACTTCTGTCCTGTTTTGTTAAAACAGATGAGAACAGCAAACCTCACTGTTTTTCTTTTTACCTTTGTGATGTGTGTGGTTGTGGTTGTAGAAAGAGATTCTGAAGTGATCGTCTGTGCACTCAACAGCACACCAGCATCACCACTGCCATCAAACTGCACCATCAAGAAGAAAGAGCAATAGTCAATTTTGACAAAACAGGGAAGCCAAACTAGCAGCCTTCTTTTAAACAAAAGTTGCCTGTTTTAGAAATGAAGACGTCAAGTGCAGTAGACAATTCTGGAACACACAATGTACTAAATGTCATTTAACATGATTCAGTCATTATTAACCCCTTCTCAGGCAGGTGAGGTCAAGATGGCATCTGAATGATGTTCTCAGATAAAGAAGTCCATTAGTTCATTGTCCTAGTATAAGCAGTGTATGTATATAGATATTATTTCCACAAGGAGATACGGCAACTTTTCCTCTCCCAACAAGCTTACAATATTGTATCCCAAAAAGGCATTCTAAATTATACAACACCTGTACCTGGGGAGATTCATATGTGATCGTTTTAGTTTCTGTCTGCACAATTGGTACTTCCTTGGTGGATATTTCAGTTCTCTGTGAAGCATCTGAAATGGTCACCATCTCAGTTTTAACCACTGGAGGCTAGTGTTTAGAAAGACACAGAAGAGTATGAATTTTGAAGTACGTGGTATACAGCAGTCTATGAACTGGCTTCAGGCAACAAGATCCCAGATTCACTTTTTAAACATTCCTTAGAAGAACTTCTAAACCCAAGTCTGAAAATCATGAACACACAAGAAATGTTAAGTGTTCTGTCTACTAAATATAAGAAAGCACTTGAAAATCACCATAGTATATTTCCTATGCTAGATAGGAATATAAATTTAAATCAGTAGCATATATAAAAATGGTTAATAAATTAACATACAATCAGATTGGTAAGATTTAAAGCTTTTAAAATATCAGGGTATACGAGCGATCTATACAGTGGTGAGCCCATGGCCAATCACAGCTTTCCATTGTTTGAACCCATAGCTTACATCTGATTTAAAAGCTGGCTTTTTTAAACTTCAGGCACATAATATATACTCACTGTAGGTGAGCCACAAATGGCCACAGCATTTATGTGTTTCTGTCTTGTACACCATGTTAACAAGATATGTAACTACTTCAAACTTTATAGTTTGAGCAAGTACATCATAAAATTCTTCTGAAACAGCCCTTACGAACAGTTTAAATAATTATTTATTAAGCTTGTCAATATATCTTCAATGATCTCGTTGGTATGACCTACCCTTATAGAGCCAATAGATGTCACCCCAAAACCAACTCCATACACTACTTCCTGAGTGTCACAAACTTGCTACAACTCCTTATATGGCAATGTTTAATAAAATGCATAAATGCATTTTGAGACAGTTTAAAACTTGACAAATCCTGCCAATGGGGACAAGATTGACCTAGATGGCCCTGACCATCATTACGAATCTTCTGTTTCCATATTTAATAACCTTGGGGGTGGAAATGCCCTCAGCCACTCCAGTATAACTATGGTGCTCCACACACATTTCTCTAGCTGGATGAGGAATTGCACATGCAAGTGGCTCTGGGAATCCTCCTCCAGTCCAGCTGCTATGTGCACCATTCTGGTCTTTTTGAAACACACACACAACGACGACAGCAGCAGCAGCAGCACAGATCAGCTTTGGGGGGGATGGATGGATGGAGGCGGAATGGGTTTAGTCTTTCCTTCCAGAAATATCAGCTGATTAACACAGTTGCTGTGCTCCCAAATTGCTGTTTGCCAGGACCACACACACACGGATTGGAACCTTTAACCTGTGCTTCATTTACCATCTCTCAGGCTCTTCATTATGCTGCATGTTCTTAGAGAAAATAAATTTGATTTAGCATCTACTGAGTAAGTTCATGCCTCTCGAGGACTACAAGTGGCTAGCATAAAATAATAACTATCTGCAAAGGACTTTGGTTAAGAGTAGTAAATATGGTATGTGTGTCTCATGGTGATTTATAGAATGCACCAACTGTGCGTTCCTACAAATTCTGGCTATTTGTGTTTTAGTATTTAGATAGGAGGTTTCATAAAATAGGTAGGGTTTTTCAATTAAAAAAATACTTGGGTTTTAAGACTATTACATCAAATGCATAAAATGCGTTTTCATCTCATGCCCAAGAAAGGTAACATGACAATTCCAATTAAAACTTATTGAAGGATAATAAAAATCAAACTAGACAGGACAAGACTCAAACAAATTAACACATGCAAAACAAACAGAACATGAGAAAGTAAAAAGATGGCATAATCCCAGGCAAGTTCGCTCTTCTGGGTAACCAAACTAGTAAAAAATTCAGAAGCCTTAACCAAAGGCAGAATTTGACTACACATCCATTTTCCACTTTCCAGATCTGAATCTTTATGAAAACCTGAAGAGGACAGAGAAGAAGAAAGGCAGAGATATTGAACCCTAGGACGATGTGCCTGATAAAGGATCCCTTACTCTTCTACCATTTACCTCGGAGCAACAAATTATTTGCTGTGAAACATCAATGTCACTATGCGATGCCTCTCCATTTACTTTGAGCTGCTCTTCCACCCTCTCTTCTTTCAGGGCTTGCTTATCCAGTTTTGCCGGGTGTCCCTCTCCGGGTGTCTTGGTGGATACTTCATTTGCCTGGACCAATGTTTCTGTCACTGGTATGTGCGTAACTGTTACTTGAACTGGACTGGCTTCTTGTGAAATTTCTGCACACACTGTTGCCTGTGCATTGTGTTCTCCCTCCTCTATAACTTCATTTTCTTCTATTTCTTCTTTTATGGCACCCTGAGTCATCCGTTGGTGTGGCTGATATTCTCCTACTTCATCTTCACTCTCACTACTGCTGCTACTTGATGACAGTGATGAAGAATCCTTCTTTGATAGGTGCTCCATCTTCTGAGTTTGCCCACCACCAGAGACAAGTTGTGTTTTGCCTCTGTTGGTATCGGCAGTGACTACTGTCTCTTCTATCCCAACCTCTGCCTGCTTCTTCTCCACTACGTTCAGAGTCTCATGCGAACTCTGCACAAAACAAATGGATGAGGAAAAACAAAAAGTAGAAAACATGAATAAATAAAATAGTGAACATAAAACTATGTGATGGGTGGTTCAGGTCACATGAAGAACAAAGATGACTGTAATGGTTAAATGAAAAAAGGAAGGAAGAATGAAGATTCTGAAATGTCAAAGCTTAATGGACTATGGCAAAATAGTAGAACCTTAATCGTTCTGCTGGCTCCAATGGAAGGCTCTTCTGTTTGGGGAGTAAATTTCTGTGAAACAAGAAGCAACCAGAAGACAAACATAAATACAAGTTTCAACATCTCTTGACACAAACATCTGATTTTATCATTTCACAAACAGCACAGAGGGACTGATTGCACGCTCACACATGTACAGCACAATTTGTTAAATTAGCACAGATCAAGTGCACAGCAATAAGCACACTGAAAATATGCAATATTTTTTTAGTCCAGAGTGCTGTAAAACTTTCTACTTATGAAAGCTCCAAAGTTAGCATTTGGTAAATCTGGATTCTTTAGGGGGTTTTATTTCACTTGATTTATCTGAACAGGATACATCTCTATTTGAAACTTGCACTCTCTTGGCTTGGGACAGGTTAAACTCTGAAATAAATATTCTACTTTAATAACTATCATCATCATCATCATCATCATCATTATATTTGTAAAACAATGTTATGAAGTGCCAAACAAGGCTAACATTAACTGGCCAGCTATGTTCATGTACATGCAGATTTTTCTGACAAACCTAATGTATTTCAGCGAATACTGACACCCTTGAAAGGGCTGCTACAAGTTCTGCCAGATGTTCCTATTTCACAGATATTAAGTATCTGAACTCACATACATTTCCTTGTTTTAGACCCTTGATTAGCTGGGCACCTTTGAGGATATATGAAATTTGCCTGTACATATGTAATATCTCAAATGGAGAAGTGTGTTTGGCATATAAGCATGTAAGGAACAGCATTTTAAAAGCCCATACTGTCATATGATCCTCAAGGAAATAGTACTGTGCCACTTGTTATGACCTAGAGTCAGGACAAACTGACGTATGTAGATCTTAAAAGCTAAGAGATGACACACATACACATACACATACACACAAGGGACAGTACAAAAAAGTGTAAGGAAAAATGTAACAGTACCATTACTATAATAATTAATCCTATGACAGCAGCTGTGATTTAATTTTGGTTTCAAATTAAAGTTTAAGACTAGATTTATCTACGGCTGCCAGATAATTTCAATTATAAATGGAACAGAAAAACAATATATAGTACTATTTCTTTTGAAGATCTATGTCTACAAAACATTTAGAATGGGCAAGATAAGCTTTTAGCTTGCGCTTGCCTTTCATTTTTTCATTCAAAATAATTTTACTTCTAACTTTTAATTTTTTAGCTTGCGCTTGCCTTTCATTTTTTCATTCAAAATAATTTTACTTCTAACTTTTAAAAAAGTGCAATGGTGCAATATGTAACTGTCCGTTCCCACTTCCTGCATGGAGTTGGCACTTCTACATGCAAGTCACTGGTAAAACCAATTCATGCAGGCGTTTTGCATACACACCAGCCATTTCAAATAGCTTTATTTTAGGCTCTGCATTTTTCTCTATCCTAATTTCATCTTACAATCTTTTAATCACTGGGACACAATTTCATCTGACATGAAACCCCACTGTCTTCATATATAGTTTTATGGTGGAAAAAGTAAATGTGGAAAAGCACCTCAGGCAGCTGAGAGAAGGGCGAGGCAGAAAGCTTTTCAGAAGGTACATTATCTTTCACAACAGTGCCCTCTGCTGTCCACAAGGTAGCTGAAGTGAAGGCAGATTTCATGCTAGTGGAAAAACCCTCCTTACTAAATAAAATTGATGCTATCTCCTCTTCTAGGCTCTAGACAAGTTAGAAAATGGAAAGTAACAAATTAAACAGCAGAAGACAAAACAGCAGTGACCTACAAAATAAAGGAAAGCATCAGGCAAGAAAAGAAAAAGGACAGGAAAGGAAAAAAAGCACACAAACACAAGAAAAAGTACATTCAAATGTGTTTGCCTACAAGGTACAGCTCCATCTATTTTCATAATACTCTTTTTTTAACCCATTACGGATAGGATTTGAAGATGATCAAGGGGTTTCCCTGGCTTCCCACGCCCCCCCCCCCATACTGCAGATCATGGCATCTTCCTAAATCCATTTCTGTAGGGCAACAGACCCTCTCAAAATGTGTGTGATGAAGCAGGTGGGGTGGCTAGAGTAGGATAAGAAATTCGAGGATTTTAGCAGAGCTGCCTTGGATAACTGGAAGGGCTTTCTGGCTCACGCAAGACATCTCTGGATCTAACCCATCCATCGAGAAAATTGTGCAACTCTGTTCTCACAATCTTGCTCCTTCCTGAAACGTCCATTATTAAGTTGAAACCTACATGTACCCTCATGTGCAAACCTATTATGTATCGTGGCCATTAAAACTAGCTTATATTTCAAACTTTTATTTTCAGGCTTTTGTGCAATCCATTTTTTTCTTCATTAACATTCCATTTTCCCTAGGACATTAATTATGAAAGGAAGGTTAGGCAAGATAGCACATTTAAAGCTGAACTATAAAATGTGTGCAATAAACCCAAATTATAACCCAAATGTGGGCTAAATGATTTTGTGAGCTTACTTGGAGGAATTGTTGATTGTCAAAGCACATGGCTGTGAAGGCAAACACTCATTTTATAATATAAATTTATGCTGAAGTGCAATTTGGCGCACAGGAATGTTGAAAAGAGGAGAAGTGCCCTCCACTTTTCAGTATCAATTGCTGCCTATAAAGCTACTTTTGTAGAAAACTCCCACCCACCCAAATCTATGTACATGAAGAGTTTCATACAGTCCAAAAGTCAGTAACAGTTGATCCCACAAGGCACCATGATTTTCTTTTTTGGCTGTTAAAATCCAGCACCTTCCACTGAGTAATATTCACAATAGTTACTGATAATGGCTTGTATTTAAAGCAGTGCTAGTGAAGTTCTGCTGGTGCCATGGCACCTCTGTTTCCTTCGCTCGCATGCTCACAAAATCTTCTCTATAGGGTCCCTCTGCCCTCCAGAGCTGATTCTGAGGACACATGGGGGGCTGCAGGGGTGAGAATGGGAAAGTTCCATTCCACTAGTGCAAGTCTCTTGGATAGCGGCTAATATTTCCCCAGCCTAAATGTTTCATTTGTGTCCTACTACTCTGCCCCTGCAACAGTGAAGAACTTAAGGAAACAATTTATTAGTACTACTATTATGTCAAAACATAGCACTATTCTTAAATAGGCTGCTAGCTCTAACATGTTCAGAATGCGTACAAAAAATTGATGGGGAAAAGAAGGAAAAAAGCAAGACAGTGATGCATACTTAAACCTGTAGCATAGTCCTGAATCTGAAGGAACTAATACAACCTTTCAAGAAATGACTAATTTCACTGATAAAATTTAAACTCTCTAGTACACAGGTATTATATAAATTGGCAAGGGCACTGCAACTATAATAACACTACTGTTATTCTCACTAATTTGAAGTGGATTATCAATTTATTGCTCAGCTTGACAAGTATTTTGCTTATACAGTACCAACTATTGGAAACTTAAAACTGTGGCGTATTTCTTATTCTATTAACTAGTTATTATTGACAAGATGTCCTTGGACAAAGACATGCAACACATTAAGAAATATGAAATTGGCTCCCTATGCTGTGCTAGGGAACAGTGGTATGAAAACTTAACTGAAGGTAACACCAAAGGAAGCACATCCCTCTTTGAGGCTGAATTTGGAGAAAAGTCAAGCTCTATTCAAAAAGCACAAATCTGCCACTGCATAGGGTATATGGCAGATACACCTTGAACTGGCACCTGAGCTTATAATATTCGATATGCTTATCAGGCAGCATCATTTAAAGCCTCATTTCTTAATACACAAAAAAGAATACAGCCTTATCAACAGCTAAATACCCTTTGGAACAAGAGAAGGCTCTATTTAGGAGGATCCCATTCTTTGACATTACTGATCTGCAGAACAGTTTTAATTGATGTCAATATACATTCAGAGAAATATAGTTGAGTCTTCATTTTCAAATAGCTTGAGTGTGGCACATTCGCTAGCTAATCCATTTTGTATTTTACTTTATATTTTACTGATGTTGGCTATGCTGAGCACATTTGATGAAAAGGCAGAATACAAATTTAATAAACTGCAGAAGAGATAACAGCCACAGTAAACAGCGAACACGACAGGCAGAATGCTAAAAGAAACAAATACATCCACGCAGTGCTTTTTATGCTAAGACAACTGGCATAAAAACAGGCAGAGAATTCCTGTGTCACTGGCATAATCAACAATGCTTTCTGCACAGACATCTGGTATACACTATCATGCATGGAGTACTCTCTGAATTATCTCTCCCCAAGTACACAGGATGGGAAATGCTACAGGTTCAGCTCTTCAGTGGACCCATGTCTATGTACTGGGTATTATTTGTGCTAAACAGAGATTAAAAACCACACATATGGTTGGGTCATTAAATACTGAAAAGCCCAAAAGTTGTTTTATTTTTAAGGCAAAAGCATTTTATGATGGAGTCTAGTCATGTCAGTGAGTTACTCTGGAGACACTGATTTCAGAATCTGCCTCAATAGAGATAAAAACCACAAATAAATGTTCTGAAGTAAATACCTGGCCTACTGGCTCATTCTGGATTTCCGTAATTAATTTGTGTTGTTTGTATGGAAATGGTTCACAAAGCAACCTAAGAGGTAAACTTCAAAAGTGCTGAACAAAAAAGTGCATTTCATTCCTGAAAGCATGCCATACATTGGCACATCTATGGCATTTGGTTTTCTTTTTTTAAAGGACACACACATTGAAAACTATAAATAGAAGACTGGAGCTTACTGATACTGGAATTTAAATCCTATTAGCATTCTCAATACTATATAAATACATTTGAATGTCATTTTAGCATTATACATTTTATGATAATGGCCAAGTTGAATTTTCTGAATCTGCTTTTTAGTTGCCTGACAGAGGTTCACTCAAAATGCATTAGGCATAACACCACTAAATTGGAGTGCATTCAAGAATAACTTTTTCTGTAGTACCTTTTTTGGAGGGAGGGTTGTGAATTGTTTTTCCCTTACCCCTTTTCCTCCTGTTGAAGTACTTCCGCCTCCAAATTACTGTAAATGGTGAGGCAATGAAACGACTTAGGGACTTGGAGTGAATATACTTGGAGCTGCACTGTAAACTGACATTCCACACTCTTTATCTAAAACTCTCAAATTATATTATTAATAACTACAGTGGTGCCTCGCAAGACGAAATTAATTTGTTCTGCGAGTTTTTCGTCTTGCGAGTTTTTTCGTCTTGCGAAGCACGGTTTCAATTTTTTCAAAAAAATCTTCAAAAACCTCAAAAAAGGCTACCACACTGCGTGCTATGAGTTGCTCCCCGAAGTCAAGTCGCAACTGCACTTCTTCAAGCAATGCACCCTGTATTACTGTAACGGTTTTAAGAAAAAGGAAACAAACTTGCAAGACGTTTCCGTCTTGCGAAGCAAGCCCTTAGGGAAATTCGTCTCACGAAGCAACTCAAAAAATGAAAAACTCTTTCGTCTTGCGAGTTTTTCGTCTTGAGAGGCATTCGTCTTGCGAGGTACCACTGTACTTCATTCTTGCTTTATCAACCAAAAAAGTAATGTAGTTACTTTGAAATTTTTGCAAACAGAAAGCAACAGATGCACACAATGTTAATGTGTTAGCAGCAAACAAATATCACATTAGCAACAAAGAAACACCCCATATCTTCCTTGTTAATACTGAAACACAATGTATAGTTTAACTATTTCCTTAATTTTGTGGCTATGCATGCTGACAAGGGTCTTCAGTGACATACCCCTTGTGTCTGTAGAGACAGAGGTGTGATACGCCGCTTTTCCCATTCATTAGGGCGTGGCTCAGGAGTGGATTCCATAAAATTGCGCTTGAGTTCACTAATGCTAGCCTGATGCTTCAGTAATTCATCCTGGGTCTTATCCAGGTCCTAAGCAACGTGTAATGTAAAAAAGGTAGGACAACATGTGACAAACATAAACCATTTTTTAAAAAAACACACCATGAAAAGTGCCTGGGATATCCAGATTGAGTAATTTACTTATTTAAAGCATTCTCTTTTCTTACTATGATATTATGTGCTTTTTCTTTTCTTAATCTTTACAGTATTATCAAATTGAGCTACAAGGCAGTTTCTGAGATGTAGAACACTTAGTCACAGAGCAAATGTTTATTTTTGTCACTATAAGGGCAAAATACCCATAATTATGACGCACTCCCTAAAAGTGAAGACCAGGCCACCCAGTCTCTAGATGAAAAGCAGGGTTTGCCTTCACCCCAATAATATCCAGGATAAACATGCCATCTTTTGCCCACAAAAGTACATGACACTATTTACTGTGAGAGGATGGGGATCAAGCATTCTATTAATGTACACTTAGCTTTGAGAGCATAGTTTGCCCGCTCCCCACCACCATGGACACCAGTGACTCTCACGTGAGAAGATGGTAGGTAAAGAATTGTGGCTTCAACTGTTTCTGTGTTGCAAAGTACAGCAACCATGAGCTTACCCACTCTGTAGGGAAAAGCAGTACAACACACAGGAAATGCTGCGTGACCAGAAATAATTTAGGCATCTTGCTTTATAATTTATTTAAACAAACATAGTGAAAGCTTGCACTTCCCAATTCTCCAGCTACAATTCTCTGAAGTTCCTTTGAAGCAGTATGTCATTCTTAAGACATGGGTGTGGGTCTCTCTCTCTCTCTCTCTCTCTCTCTCTCTCTGTGTGTGTGTGTGTGTGTGTGTGTGTGTGTGCTGGGGCTAGAATCCACGCTGCAACTAATTTTCAAACCACATCTGAAGGCACCATAAAATAATATGCCATTATGCCCAATGACATAATTCAATCATCCTGAAAGCTGGCTTTCAGATATAACCTTGTACTAGAGGGGCAATAAGATAGCATGCATATCAAGAAGAGGGAAGGAAGAAAAAGTGTGTCTGGAATATTGGGTTGGGAAGCAGGCTCTGGGATAGAAGAAACACTGGCAGGGGGAGAGAGATAAGTGACAAGGGCAGCATGGAGGAAGGACATTTTTCCATAGTCTGTTGGGGGAGGAGGACAACTGGAGGTTTTTCGTGTTGGCATTTAATTAGCCAAAATATTGCCCTACAGACTTCCATGTGTATGGCACTATGAGCTTTGAAAGTGTAAAAGCAGCAAAAACTTCCAAGGGGTACAACTAGTACCTTTAGTAACAATCTAAGTAACAAAAAAAAACCAACCAATTGGTAGAGATTTATCACAGTTTGAGTCAATAGAGTATTTTCAAAAAAAATGTTGGGTTGAGACCAGGCACATTTCTTGGATTTGTTCAATGCAACGTTATGCAGTACACTTTACAGTGTTTTAGTAAAATTATACAAAGTATGTATTTAGTTATCGGAAGCTGCCAAAAAGCAACATAACATATTAGTAAGGTTACTGTAAATCTGAAGATTTTAATGTAATGTTTTTGCATGTATACAAATAATTGACATCATCTAAATCTAACAGTGCAAATAGCCCAATTTGGATGACAAAGCTTGCACTTCTGGATCCAGAGTTTTGTTACTTTGAATGACTATTTGGATGTAATAGATAAACAATATTTACTCAATATGGCTGCCAAAAGAATCTACCATTCATAATTTCATTCCAAAGGCAATATAGTGCCTCCTGGTATCACAACAAATAAAGCACGAATTACTTCACGGTGTAAGTATTATTTTACTATAGAATTAGATTCTCTAGGATTCCAGGAAGAGAACAAAGAACTTCCTGGTTCTAATTTTACTGCATCATTTTTTTAATAGCATTCATTGCCTCACATTTCCAGTTATGCATAGGAAATGGAAAAGGAAACATGCATTTGAATTCTAGATGGTGCATCCTCAACCATTTTGGCAAGTCTTTAAAAAACCAATTTCCTCCAAATATTAACATCTAAACAGGGCTATAAGTTCTACTTGCCATTCCAATATGTATTAACAGCTGCATACTTAAATTCATTCACTTACAATGACTAAGATTGGTTTTCAACATGCATGTCCAAGTCGAACACCCCCATGCATTTCATGCACTGTGCCTAGAACAGCCTGCAAGTGACCTCCAATCTCATGCAGCCTGGCAGCCCATGAGGACAGAAAAGTACTCCTTAGATTATACAAACCTCCAACATTAAATTGCTATGTCTGACATAAATATTTTCCCCATCTATTCTCAAGGAAAAGGTCTGTAAAATTAAAGCACACACAAAAGAAGACACGGAAAAACAACAACCCATGATCATCAACACAACAAAAAAGTGTTTAAAAGTTCAATAAACGGGGCTTTTAAAATAAAACAGGGGTAGCCACTATGCAAACATAATCAACGGCAGCCTCAAGCACTGATAATAGCAGGCAACAACCAGGTGTAATTGAAAATATCCACCTCCTTGCGAATTTCCTCCTCTTCTATCTCTGCCTATGTAGAGGAACCACCCAGAGGTCAGCAAAAGAAAACACTCATTAGTGTAGACACTGAAGTAGCACATGGTCTTTTGTTTAGAAATACTACAAACAATGTGCTCTATTTACAAACCTTTATTGTTTTTGCCTCGGATGCTGCTCAAGTTATTAAACCACTGCAGTCTTCCACCTACAACACTGTAGAAATGGCTGAAGTAATTTTTGGTATAGGTGAAATGGAAAATGGAAGATTTGTCTGTCTCTCTACAACCATCGTGTTCGCTTATTTTTCTCCACAGTTTGAAATAATTTTTTTAAATCTGAAGGTGAAGAGATCAGCTTGAATTCTGAACACTGAAGAAGAGCGATTGCAATACCAACACAGAATATATCTGTAGTACATTCTTACTGTTAAAAACTATACAGGGGAAATTACATTTGTATTGTTAAATGCTGAAACCACGAGCTTTATTTGAATGGTTTGTTTTATGCTTTTCGGGATATCACATAAAAATATATATTGCAGACTTCAGGTATAACATTAAACCATCGTTTTGGGCTCTGTGAATGAGCCAAATGCTTGTGCACTCCCTTCTCCTCCCCACACACTCCAGTTTAATAACTTGCTCTTTAGTTCAAACTAAAGTTTGCTGTTACTTACAAACCATCAGGATTATAAACCACAGTTTGTAGCTGAATGCTAGTTCTCGTTTGGAGGGAAAGCACAAACCACAGTTTAGTGCTCTGGATGCAACAGAAAATTATGGTTTGCACTAAAGAGGAAGTAACAAACCCAAGGGAAGCATAAGATGAGAAGAGGAAATGCAGTACATGAGCAGAAGCTTTGTTCATGTAGTATCGAATTATGGCTTGGTGTTATAGGTTAGCTAACTAAGAGTGACTTGCAAGAGGCATCTGAAATACAATTTTAATCAAAGTATTTATGTCCCCACAAAATAAAAATGAATCAATATATGAATTGCCAGATATTAAACCAACCTCTATTGGTTTAAGATCATTGTTTTAATAACTATTTTACTTTTATCACACACATCTCTTACTAGTAACTATATGAAAGGGAAAATATAGTGTGTACCAAATACATTATCAGGATATATTTATCCCAGTCCCACCTTTATCTGAGGTTTTTGGAATTCTTGCTGCAATGTAGTATCAAAAGTGTTTAATCGATTAAATGAGCAAATAGTCACCATAATAAACAAATTGGCCTATTAGATTACACTGAAATTAGGGATACAAGTATCGCACTGAACACAGCTGTATATAGCTGTCCTATGTAGAGGTGGACCACTGGTTTAACTGGCCCAGTCCTGTCTGTGTCTGGTTGGCAACAGGTCTCCAGGTTCTCAGTGCAGTTATGCACGCTATTTTGGGGTTTCTATAAATGTTTCCCATCTTGCTGTCTGACTTTCTTCAGAAACTGTACAATCATTTCTGTCTGATATATATTTACAATTCTGGTATTATCAACCACAGGCAGCTAGCTCACCGCAAGGATTTCCCTGCTTGAGAGGCTACAATTTTCTGCTTTAAATCTTCATAGTATGCTTTTTTAAAATACTGCAATTGCATCTGCCCTATGGAATGCAGACAGTGTTACCCAGTCAAAGCATATGGACATAGTCAAGAGGTTTAACTTATCAACATTAACATTAAAGTATAGCTTTTTAAAAATCCATGCATATATAAATTGCATTCAAAGTAATCCTGACAATTTTAGCCAAGTAGGAGTATGCTAGACTAAGGTAGATTAAGATAATTTTGTACCTGACAATGTTAAAATTGTACTGGTTAAAATTCAACACCCTCGTTAAAAACTAAAACAAAAAAACTTCTCTCTCCACCCTCTCTACCTACTACCCAAAAAGCTAAACTGAATTTCAGAACTGACACATGGTCAAGTTCAGATGTGATGAGAAACAATGATTTTATTGAACGTATATAAGCCTTTGGCTTCCTATTCTCTCAATTAACCACAATTTATCATTATGCCCAAACCCTAAACTATTATTAACCCTAACTCAGACCTTGGAGCCGAAATTGCATGCCTGATGCACTTTTCTACTGCAGAATTTATGCAGAACTGAACACACTAGTAAGCAACGGCCCCAAATTTCAATCACTTAATTTTTTTCCAACTATATCATTTACAGGTTTCTTTCAGTACATGCATGCACTGAAAAGGTACCACAAAGAGTTTATTGATTGAGCTATGTACTTTTTTCACCCACAAATCTTAAAATATTGGGGCACTTTCCTCCCTTCCCATTAAAATCTGATCCGGTGATGCAGATAAAAGTACTCCCAAAGTTTCATTTTTAAAAAATAATCATTGGGGCAAAAAAATGCTTTTTTTGTTCCAGCTTATGTTAATACATTGGAAAAAAATTTAAATCTCATTTAAAGAGAAAAAAACTGACCCAGGGAAAGACATTTTTTTACATCAGAACTTTTGGCCGTGGAATATTTCACTTCATTGGAATGTAGGTTGGAGTAGAAAAGGCACCACTTAAAACATTTTGTTAAGTTTTAGTATACATCTGGGTTACTAGTTCATGGAAATAAGCCAGCAAACCATGGTTTGAAGTTCATTTGCTTCTTTTCTACTATAGTTTACTAACTTGGTTGGGATGTACCACCACTTAATCGTAGCTACCAAAAAATGGAAATGAATGCTTCCAATCTTTGAACAAGGAATTTCAAGTACTTGTCAGTGCTAGAGAAGAACTAAAAAGTAGGAGAAGAATATGGATTATGGGAAGGCAATTAAGAAATCATTTTCTTCCCCTCAATAAATGCTAAGCTGTGCTGCAAAGTACTGTGTCTAACAGTTAGCTAATATTTTTGGCAGATCCCATGTGAGCGTACCTATCCAGGAGTGTACCTAAGGGTTAATGTTGGCCCATGCCAACCATGTAGGCTGAGGCTTAGAATCTGCCTGCCCATCTGCATGCTCCCTGGGCCATTCCTCCACTGCTCTGGGCGGCCAAGCAAACACACAGGCTCCTCTGACAAGGGCACAAGGTACAGCGGGGGTGGGGTATACTTCTCCTTGCCATGGGGGGAAAGGAGCCTGAGATTGCCTCTGATCATATCCAGAAATGTGTGGACTCAGTGGGTTTTGACAGACATTTTGTAAGGAACAGCACCTCCATATGAGGGATGTACACAGGGCTGTTGTGAGATCGCTGTATCCCTTTTTCAGAATGGCTGCAGTGAAACTGTACACAGCTCTTCGCAAAGATAGTACACTGGAACCTTGGTTCCCGAATGGCTTAGTTGCGGAACAAATCTGCTCCCAAATGCCACAAACCCAGAAATAACTGTTCTGGTTTGCGAACGTTTTTTGGAAGCCGAACATCCGATGCTGCTTCCGCTTGAGTGCAGGATTTTTGAACGGTTTCGGGAGTCAAATGCACTCCCGGAACAGATTAAGTTCAAGAACCTAGGTACCGCTGTATACAGCACCTAACTATGGTCTCTCAATACCACTGGGATATAAGCAGTATATGTATGAGAAGGTCCTTAAAAGGACCGTATGAAGTGAAAAAATTGTGAATGCTTTTTAAAAACACTAGATTTTATGAAGATAGATGCGTAAATATCTGCAGAAGGAATTCTTTAAAAAAAAAAAAAATAGGGAGTCTGCAGCCTCATGCTGAAAGGATGAAGGTTGAACTTCTCTCTTAGTACACCCAAACAAATCTACAGGCAAGTGGCAATTTAGACAACAAAGTTACACACCTCCTCTTCCTCAGCTTTGTCTTTTAGAGCAGTGTCATTAGAGGTGGTCAGAGAAATTGCCTTAGGCTCCAGGTAGCAGAGGGACAGAGCAACAGGAAGGGACAATGTGAGTGAGAAAGGAATAGAGTGGATGGTACAGAAAAGCAGCACAAAGATGAGGAAGAAGGAGGGAATGAATGAGGGAGAAGTAATGGGAATATAATGCTGAATATAAGGTGGGAGGAACGAGATGCAAACTTCTGGAAGGCTAGGAAAGCTAATGTAACCATTCTCATCAAGCAGAGAAGGGAAATTGAAAGGAAAAGGTTTGCTTGCACTAACTGGAAAATGAGACACAGAATCTTCATGATCAGTATTTTTATGAGCAGCTCTCTCTATAGCAAGAGGGAGACAATGGTCAGCCACCAAAATATCCACAAGTTCCAAGTGATTAGTTGGGAACTTCTGTTCATTTATACCATGAACTGGTGTTTCTTTCACAGGGCTGCAGACTATGGTATCTGGGGGTGTATACATGGGTTTACCAAGATAATCATCCTCTGAAATGTCTGAAAATATATCCATTTCAGGGATAGCAGGTAGGTTTTGGGAACAAAATGAATAAGAATGATTGGGAAGTGAAAGCTGATGCGTGTATGTTGACTGGAGGAGGGGGAGAGTCCAGTCCCAGATGCAGATGAGAGACCATGATATAAATGCACATTTGAGGGGCAGAAGGAATGCACAAAAGAGGGAGGAGGGAAGAAACTTGTTAGTGAGAACGTTTATTCAGAAGTAGGGACAGCACTACCATTACAATATGGATGCCACAAACATTCATTAGCCCCAATTGTATTCAAATACAACAACATATAATCCAAATACCTGGATTATATCAGCTCAAAAAAAAATTATTTTTATTTTTGCCACCTTGTAAGGCTGTGAAGAATTCTGTAGTTTGGAACTGTAGTAGTGCAGTCACAATAGATGAAAGCAGACAGACATTCAAAGCTTCTACAGAAGGTGGGCAGGGGAGAGACATCAGCATGAGGACAATGTTTCCAACTACAGGTTTTCCTTTGAAAGTGCTAAATTTAAAAGTGTAACCGTCAAAATACAAATATTCCACAGATAATTCAGTGGATTACAACCTTAAAAAAAAAAAGATTGAATCAAATCTCAAAGTATTCTTAGTAAGGTGATTCCACGCTGTGTGTGCCAGAAAAAGCTCAAATTAATGTATGTTTATAACCTGTCAATATGGAAATTAAAATAAAGTTTAAATGTCCATATCTCACATTGATTCACCTCACATTATAAAATAAATTTCCTAGTATTGTGCTTCAAGCACACAAATGATAAAAGCTAGTATAAAACATGTGTGTTACACTTAATTATGTTTTCTTCTGCACAGAGTTATTCATAGAAGATGGCGGCTGTGGTTGCATAATGTAACTATAGGTAGCACAAGTATGAATAAATCATAAAATGAATTATAGATGCAAATTGATTTCACTTTCACACAACTGAATGGAGCTAGTTGCAGGGAGTTCTGAAGCAAATATATTAGCTCTGCTCCAGAGCAGCTTATTACCAAATAAGATGCCCTTGGGCAAGATTGCAGGACTTTACCTGCTCTTTCCACAACTAGGAGGTGATGAACACAGTCCGTCTCTTTTTGGTGCCAGGTACACTAATCTAGGGAAGAGTTACTGCCTTCTAGAAAAACTGCTCTTTAGCAGCTTTCACCAGTTTATATGGGTGCCTTAAGACCTGCCCCTATATAGGTGGGTCATCCTGTGCAAAAAAACCCAGCCACAAAATTATTAGCTGAAGTGCAGCTCCACTAATGCAGCAGTTGGTTTTAATACATTTCCAAAATCAATTATTTCCACAAAGCTGAAAAACATCAGCGATCTTACCTTTCCATCTCCTAATTGTGGCATTTTACTTATGCCTCCATCCTCATCTCTACCTTCCCCATCTTTTGATTTGAACTGTCCGGAAGCTTCAAAGATCCTATCACCAGCAGGCCCCATAGCTGTAGCAGAAAAGTCCTTAAGCAGGCTCTGGTCTGCAATACCCACTGGAGCTACAAAAAAATAGGTTTAGTTAATTCAGCTATGTTTGAGAGAAATATTCCACAGTACCTTGCTCTTTATGAGACAAGTATTGTCTATTGTTTAAGGTTCCAGTGTATTCTGTTTTTAGTCAGAAAATCAACAGAAAAAGAAACTGGGTACGTGATATGCCAGTAAACAGTTTGGGTGAAAAAAACTTTGGAACATTTTTAAATATAGTGACTAAATGTTAAAGAAAGTGATTTGTTTGTTTGTTTGTTTGTTATAGAAAGTTGTGAGGTGCTAAAGGTCAGCTATAAAGGTATATTGGCAAATGATAACATCAAACAAATATCACTGAACAATTTTCATACATTCAGGAATGAGGAGATAAATCAAAAGATCACGCATAATGTTAATGCTATATTGACAATATTTAGTATCCACCAGGAGGAGGGGCTCTAAGACAAAGCAGCTGTGGTGTTGTAAAAATGAGACACATTCTGATAACTCAGGTCTATGAATGTGTTTCGATACAAAAATGTTTCAATATCTTAAATTCCATCCTGGTACATAAACATAATGGTTTTATACCCTCTGTAAGTGCTCGCCCTAAATGCTTTACTAAGCACTATACACTAAGTTCAAATAAGAAGTTTATCTGAATATTCAGTTTTAATTTCTCTGAAGAACCTATGTGTGGCACATATTAGGAGTTTACTAGTTTTGGTTAGACTCTTACCACCATCAAGACTCCTGGAAACACGTTTGCTTGAGGTCCGTTCAAAGTACGGAGCAGGTCTGTCTATGAGAGTGCTAGCCTGCCGTGTCTGTGCTTGAGTACGCCCACTGTAGCGGAACTTGGAACCTAGTGTCAGGAACTTGGCCTTGGCAGGCTGCTCTGGAGATACAAGTCTATAACCCCCAAAAGAAAAAGGAAACAAGTCACCATATTCAAAGGTATTTCAAATCCATATTCCATATTCCAAAAGCATGTCAGATACCTGCTCAGGCATTGTTGCTCTTAGAGCAATGTGGGAGCAGGGCCAAATAAGCAGCCTTGCACCTTACATTGCATATGCAAAGTAGTCCTTTACTCAGTGTTCACACATGGGCTCATGAGCCAAACTGGACTGCCTGGCAGGCCAGAGTTCCTCCACCCCTGTCTAATAAACATGGGGTTAAAACATGGAGGTGGCCTTCAAGAAGTGGTAGCTACAGCCATGCACTCGTCTGAGGTTAACCTTCTTGCAGGCCCACATAGGGCTAGTGGGAATAGCCAATCCCAGTATATAAAAAAAGGACCAAAGTTGTCCATGATTTTTGACTTTTGATCCTGTTGAAGACATTAATTAAGAACACTTTTCTTTTAAAAAAATGGGTTGAAGAGCATTTAAAAAAATGTTTCTTTTAGTACTGCATGGTTACATGCCACATGCACAGTGGAAAAATGTGAATCATTTTTCATTTACAGACATAGCTCTCCTCTTGCTATAGCAATAATTTCTGTTTTTAATTCTCTACCCTGCTGAGATAAACTTTTAATCTCTTAATAAGAGAAAAACCTAATTACTTCCTTATTTGGGATATTTTCAAGGATGCTTTAATTTACCAATCTTGGTTATACAAAGAACTGAAAAGTATGGGTACAAAATATTCTTCAAATCACACAGAATATTAGGTATCTCAGACATTAAAAACAATCACCAAGAAGCACTATATAAAAGTAAATTAAAAACTTGCATAAAAATCTTATAGTACAACCCTTACAGACCAGTACTGTTTTAGAATACAAATGAGAGACTGCATGTTTCCCAAGTCACACTACTTCCTGCAAAGGGAGATAACATATAAGAAAGAACATTTGAACCTAGTCTTCTCTTCCTAACAAGCTATCTGTAAATCTGAAATGCAAGTTTTGCATTAGATCTACCGTATTTTTCGTCCTATAGGGTGCACCGGCCCATAGGACGCACCTCGGTTTTTTTGGGGGGGGGGAGATGAATAAAAAAAATTTATTCCCCCCACCCGCCGCGGCTGCCGCCCCAAGCCTTGCGCACACCTGCCCGAAGCACGGGGCACCCTCCGGAGGGCTCCCCGTGCTTCGGGCTGCAGGCTGCCGCCCCAAGCCTCGCGCACCCGGCGGGACCTCCCACCGGGCGCGCGAGGCTTGCAGACACTCGCCCGAAGCACGGGGAGCCCTCCGGAGGGCTCCGCGTGCTTCGGGCTGCAGGCTGCCGCCCCAAGCCTCGCGAGCTCGGCGGGACCTCCTGCCAGGCGCGCAAGGCTTGCGGACACTCACCAGGGCTGCAGGCTGCTGCCCGCAAGCCTTGTGAGCCCGCGGGAACTCCCGCCGGGCTTGCAAGGCTTGCGGATAGCTTCCTGAAGCCTGGAGAGCGAGAGGGGTCGGTGCGCACCGATGCCTCTCGTTCTCCAGGCTTCAGCGAAAGCCTGCATTCGCCCCATAGGACGCACACACATTTCCCCTTCATTTTTGGAGGGGAAAAAGTGCGTCCTATGGGGCGAAAAATACGGTATGTTATTATTGACACCCTGTCTTCAGATGGCAAGCAAAAGGAAATGGATATGTAATATATATTTAATCATCTCTATTTACCCTAAAAATAGTGTATGCATACAAGCATCCAGCACTTTCCCCAAAACAAGAACAAAAAAGTTGGGTGCATACATACTAACCTCAAAATTCTGTGCTCCAACATCTGAAGCCAAATACAAGTACTAACCACAGGCCTGGCTTAAGCAGAAAAAGGTAGCATCTGTCAGCTTTCCCCATCAACATGCCCTATTAGACCCCATGCCTATTTTCTCCAGGTAAAGGAGGAAAACCACAGGGTTCTGTAGATTCCATGAAACAGTTCCATCCAAGATTTCCCAGGCCCCATGAAGGTTAGTCAACTGCTAATACTAATAAACTACTCCACTATGGGAACCTTCTGGTCTGAATCTCCTCCTACAATGGTAACAATGGCAGCTAAAATTGCTGCATTCTTTTGCCAATCAACTCCTTAGAGTCAGCTGGCAAAGCCATTAACTAGATGACTATGGGAAGATGACTAACTAAAAGCAATGGGAAGATAAGCCCCTGATGGTGATGCTACCGAGTGTCCATTTATTCAAAAGGGATCTGCATGGAACCCCTGCACAGTATTTCCAGTGAAATGAATAGCAGTGATAGAACAGTATTTGCCCTATCCCCATACGTCATCTAAGGGGCGGGTGTGGGTAATAAATACGACCTTTCCAAAAAGACAGATTTAACTCTTAGAATTACACTTGCTGCAACAGTTATATTGCTCGTGTTTATGTGAATAGTCTTTCAAAGTCTTGCTGGCATAGCTTTTTTCTTGGAACACACAGAAGCCAGATTATTTTTAAATCAGGATGATTTAAATCTGCGGATTTTCTGCATGGTGACCATCAGTAGGAACAGGATTTGATACATGCAGTACATTCTCCCTCCTTACCCAAACAGCTATTTCTGATTGGAATAGAATCCAATTAAATTGTATTCTATGAAAATGTCACAGAATAAATCTGTAACTTGAAATGGTCTAAAAAGAGGATGACCGGACAGCAAATAATATTTTTTCCTGTTTAAAAAATGTTTTAAAAGTCAGATCATACTGTATTCATTTATTTAGAAGTAAAATGGAAATATATTCCTGAATAAATCTGTTTAGGATTACAGCAAAATCCATCGAAAGAATACAAAATCATGCTTCCCACTGCCAGCGATGAAAGGAGAACCACCACCTTGAATGCCTGCAGAGCCTCTTCTGCTACAGTCAGTAGTTGGAGGCTTTTGATTCGTGACCAAAACATTAATCTAGCCTTTGGAAACCCAAAGAGCATTTTACCAACTTTGGTTGATGCACTAGCTGGACCCCTTCCTGAATAACAAGTAATTCCTATTCTGAGCATATTCATTGAGATTACTAAAATGTGCTGCATGTGGGGCTGCCTGTTAAAGGCATCAGATACGTCAGTTCAAAATACTGCAGTGAGATTACCGACTTGTTGCAAAAACAGAATCATATACATGTTTAAACTACGCCGGCTTCCAGTCTGTTTCTGGACAGTATTCATACTGCTGGCATTAACCTAGAAAATCCTAAATGGCTTCTGATCAGGGCATCTGAAGAATGGTTTTCATCTGTATTAACCTGGCAGTCTATGGAGAACATAAGCTCAATAGTCTGACTGTTGGTGGTTGAGTGGATGACTACTGGAGACAGAGCTTCTTGCTGTGACATTCTTAATATAGAATACTTTTCAAAGATGTGGGTTGGCAACTGTGTTGCTTTCCTTCATGGACCAGGTAAAAACTTGGTCTATGTGTTTTCTATTCAGTTTGAGTTTTAATACTGTTACTTTTATTGCTTCTACTGTATGAGCTTTAAATTATGTTAAAGTTTGCTGTTTTAATGACTCTTTTTAAATGAAGATAAGCAAATCAAGCAAATGAATGACCAAATTGCCATTAGAAGTACAAAATGGCCTTTGTCATCTAGGTATTGCTCCTGGTCCACTCAACTTCCTGGACCTGCATTAAATGCATTATTTATGTTAATTAATGAAGGTACTTTCATCTTATTATGATATACATCCATAATCTGAGTGGTGATCCTGCTGCAGAATCATTTTTATTTAAAACTTATATCCTGCCTTTAGTTCACAAAACACTTTCTTATGACTTCTTTCCCAACATCCCAATTCCCCCCCCCCCCTTAAGCATCACACTCAGAGGAAATCCATTATTCTTGTTTGCAGGTGAAGAGTACAAACTACATATAAAGATGTCATGGGTACATACAATCAATCTGAAATACTGTAGTTTCATATTTGCCAATTTGAGCTCTATGAAAATACTACAGCAGTAACATGGTTCATGATTAAAGAGAACATCATATAATCTCAGAAGTGAGAAAAAAATACTCTAAAAGTTGTTGTGTTTTTTTTTTAATATAATATTTATTGGTTTTACAAAAATTCCAAAACATACAAAAATACAAAAATTCCAAAGACAAAAAACAACAATAACAGTGACAAAAGGAAAACAAAAGATAACAATAACCATAAAAAATAAAAAAATAAAAAAATAAAACAGAAAAATTTAAAAATTTATACTTTCATTTAACCTTCTTATCTTTCCTTAGTTCTTTGACTTCCCCACACCTCCCCACTTGTATTTCCATTTAGAAACTCCTTTCAGCAAATCCTTACCCTCCTTCCTTTATCTTAACTCAAAAAAACTTAATCTATTTATAAATAGATATTTTTACAACCTTATCAATCAAATATTCCATGCTCTTAAACGCAAGGCTTTTGCCAATACCAGTTATTTTCAATCAGACCTCAATTTAACATTCATTAATTTTATAGTATTTCTGTAGATAGTCTTTAAATTTCTTCCAATCTTCTTCCACCGACTCTTCTCCCTGGTCACGGATTCTGCCAGTCATTTCCGCCAATTCCATATAATCCATTACCTTCATCTGCCATTCTTCCAGAGTGGGTAAGTCTTGTGTCTTCCAATACTTTGCGATAAGTATCCTTGCTGCTGCTGTTGCATACATAAAGAAAGTTCTATCTTTCTTTGGCACCAATTGGCCAACAATGCCCAGGAGGAAGGCCTCTGGTTTCTTTAAGAAGGTATACTTAAATACCTTTTTCAACTCATTATATATCATTTCCCAGAAGGCCTTAATCTTTGGGCACGTCCACCAAAGGTGAAAGAATGTACCTTCAGTTTCATTACATTTCCAACATTTATTATCGGGCAGATGGTAGATTTTTGCAAGCTTGACTGGGGTCATGTACCACCTGTACACCATTTTCATTATATTCTCTTTTAAAGCATTACATGCTGTAAACTTCGTACCTGTGGTCCATAACCGTTCCCAGTCAGCAAACATAATGTTATGTCCAACATCCTGTGCCCATTTAATCATAGCAGATTTTACCGTTTCATCCTGAGTATTCCATTTTAGCAGCAAGTTATACATTCTTGAAAGTGTTTTAGTTTTGGGATCTAGCAGTTCTATTTCCAACTTTGATTTTTCCACCTGGAAGCCAATTTTTCTATCCAAATTATAGACCTCTCTTATTTGGTAATAATGCAACCAGTCTCGCACTCTATCTTTTAGTTTTTCAAAACTCTGCAATTTGAATTTATCTCCTTCTTGTTCCAAGATCTCCCAATATTTTGGCCACTTGGCCTCCATATTGGACTTTTTCAGAGCCTTTGCCTCCATTGGTGATAGCCACCTTGGGGTTTTATTCTCCAATAAGTCTTTATATCTTATCCAGACATTGAACAATGCTTTCCTGACAATATGGTTTTTAAATATTTTGTGAGCTTTAACCTTGTCATACCACAAATATGCATGCCACCCAAACACATTATTGAAACCTTCTAAGTCCAAAACATCAGTATTTTCCAGAAGTAACCAATCCTTCAACCAGCAGAAAGCTGCTGATTCATAATAAAGTTTAAAGTCTGGCAGGGCAAATCCCCTCTTTCTTTAGCATCAGTCAATATTTTAAATTTTATCCTGGGCCTCTTGCCCTGCCAGACAAACTTAGAGATATCTCTCTGCCACTTCTTAAAACAATCCATTTTGTCTATTATTTGTATCGATTGAAACAAAAACAGCATTCTTGGCAATACATTCATCTTGATGACAGCAATTCGACCTAACAAGGAAAGCTTCAAATTTGTCCATATTTCTAAATCCTTTTTAATGTCCGACCAACACTTTTCATAATTGTCTTTAAATAAATTCCCATTTTTAGCTGTCATATGAATCCCCAAGTATTTCACTTTTTTTACCACTGTTAAACCTGTCTCATTCTGAAACCTCTCTTTTTCAATCGGTGTTAAATTCTTCTCAAGTACTTTAGTTTTAAACTTATTCAGCTTAAAACCTGCCACCTGACCAAACTCTTGAATCAGTTCTAATGCTCTTTTCGTACTAGATTCTGGCTCCTGTAATGTCAATACAAGGTCATCCGCAAATGCTTTCAGTTTGTATTGTTTCGCTCCGACCGTTATACCCTTAATCAAATGGTCCCTTCTTATCATATTTAACAGAACCTCCAGAACAGAAATAAAAAGTAATGGGAAATTGGGCAGCCTTGTCGTGTCCCTTTCTCTATCTTAATTTCCTCTGTTATCACATTATTAACTATTAATTTAGCTTTTTGTTCTGAATAAATTGCATTTATACCATTTTCAAACTCTTGGCCTACCCCCATCCCCTGGAGATTTTTCTTCATAAAACTCCAGGAAATATTATCAAAGGCTTTCTCTGCATCCACAAAAATCAGAACTGCTTTAGTGTTAATCTCCTCTTGCAGCTTCTCCAGAATATCAATTATATTCCTTGTGTTATCCGAAAGATGTCTATCTGGAAGAAAGCCAGCTTGGTCCTTGTGAATCACTCCTTTTAGCACTTTTTAAGCCTTTTTGCTAAAATGTCAGCAAAAATTTTGTAATCCACATTTAACAGGGATATGGGCCGATAGTTCTTAAGCTGTGTCTTTTCAGTCTCAGACTTTGGTATAAGTGTAATAAATGCGTCCTTCCACGACTCTGGCGCTCTTTTCCCCTCTAAAATTTCATTGCAAACCTCAGTTAATGGTCGAATTAACCAGTCTTTCAGGGTTCTGTAATATTTTGAGGTTAAACCGTCCGGTCCTGGAGATTTTCCCAGCTGCATATTCTGAATGGCACCTTCAACCTCCTGTTCTGTAATTTTATAATTCAGCAATATCTTGTTATCCTGAGAAATTTTTGTAATCCATTGGTTTTCAGAAATTGCTCTATTTCAAATTCTTTCTGAGGCCCTTGTGTGTATAATTGTTTAAAATATCTCTGGAAGCATTTCCTAATTTCTTCTGGATTCTGGATATTTTTCCCTTCCACTTCCAAATTAGTAATAGTATTGAGTTTTTGTCGTTTCTTCAACTGCCAAGCCAGCAGTTTCCCACATTTATTTGCCGATTCAAAAGTCTTTTGTCTCATTTGTTTAATTTTCCATTCCACTTCTTGATTTATCAATTTCATATACTGCACTTGGTGCAATTTTATTTCCCTCAGAATCTCTTGTGAGTTGGGCTTCACTCTCAGTTTCTTCTCGCCCTCCTTTATTTTTTCCAAAAAATTTTCTTTCTTTACATTTTGGGCCCTCTTCTTAACTGAATTCTGTTGAATCAGGAAGCCCCTCATAACTGCTTTACTTGCGTCCCAGATTATTCTTTTTCTACAGCTGTATTCAAATTTATCTCAAAGTAGTCTCTCAAAGTCTTTTGGGCCTTCTTAATCACCTCTTGATCTCTAAACAAGGTGTCATTCATCCTCCATCGGAAGGAACCAGTAGATGTTAACTTCATCTCCATTCTCACGGCGTTATGGTCGGAGCATGTTTTTGGGCAGATCTCTACCTTCCTAACCTTAGGTGCCAGTCCTCTAGTAGTCCAGATTTGGTCAATTCTTGTCCATGTCTTTTGGGCTTCAGAAAAAAAGGTTCCTTCTCTACCAAGGGGATTCCTAGTTCTCCAAATGTCAATCAGATCCATATTGTCAGTTAATTCAAAGAATGTTTTCGGTAGTCTGCCATCTTTAGTGACTACCTCTCTTTGTGACTTGTCCATATTTGTGGAAACCACCCCATTCATATCTCCCATAAAAACAGTGTTATAGTCCATATAGTCCATCAAGATCTCATGCAACTTTTTGTAAAATATAGATTTCCCCTCATTTGGTGCATATAAGCCTACTATCAAAAATTTTTCTCCTTGTACTTGAATTTCAATTGCTATGAATCTTCCTTGTTCATCCTTAAAGACGAATTTTGGTGAGAGGCTCTCCTTTGCGTAAATGACCACTCCTCGTTTTAACTTTATCTGATGAAATAAATTCTTGGCCCAATCTCTTATTAATCAATATTTTCCTGTGGAGCCTCATCACATGAGTTTCCTGTAAGCAAATTAAATCCAATTGTTCTTTTTAAGTATATGAAATACTTTCCTCCTTTTTCCGGAGAATTTAGGCCACAAACATTCCAAGTTAAAAGTTGCAGAGCCATGATGATTTCTTTATTTTCCTCCAACTGCTCCCAATAACTCTTCTTCCTCTGTTGGTGGTTTCACCTTCTCTGTCTTGTCCTCTCCCGAAGGTGGTAATGTAGGATCCAATCCTGGTAAAGAGGCTTCTGGCTCCTCCCCCAATCCTTTTTGTAGGTCCTCTTGATGGTCTCTCAAAAAGTTCTGTTTCTCCTCCACAGATTTTATTTTAATTTTCTTGCCTTTAAAACTGAAAGATAGGCCTTGAGGAAATTCCCACCTGAAAAAAATTCTGTTTCCTCTCAGCAGCGTCACCAGGTCCCGGTAGTTGGACCTAAGCTCCAAAAGGAACTTTGGAATGTCTTTAAATATTTCTATCCTTGAGTCTTGTATTATCAATGTATTTCGGTAGTGTGAACTCAAGATTTTATCTCGTTCCTCCTTAGATCGCAAGGTAATCAGGCAGTCTCTCACTCTGTTCTTTCTTGCTCCTCTTCCAAGCCTGAAAGCAGACGTTATCTTGAAATCTTCCTTATCGTTCAATTGCCAAAAATTGGCAAATTCTTGTGTCAAAAAGTCTACCAGGCTCTCTTTCTCAAGCTCAGGTACTGCTCTGATCCTTAAGTTGGTCTGTTTCTCCTTTAGCTCAATGACAGATAACAATTCCTGGTGCGTTCCCAATCTTATGTGATGCTCTTCAACTTGTTTAATTAAAAGTGGTAATTTTTCTTCAGCAGCTACCGCCTTTTCTCTAGCTTCCAAAGCTGTTTTTTGGGTTTCAGCAGATTGTTCCAGTAATTTTTTGATCACATCTGTATTTTCATTAGTCTGTCGAGTCAGCTTATCAATACTTGCAGAGTTTTGTCTAATAGCTTCTAGTGCCTCGGCATTCTGTTGACCCAATTTTTCAAAACCTTCATTAACAATTTTAAATAAACTGGCAAGTCCTTCTTCCCCCTTGTTTGCATTGGATCATCTCCTTGTGGCCCAGCGATGGATGGCCTGCGCTGTTGCTGTTGAGCAATGTTGCTCTGTTGCCTGCCTTTCCCGGACCTCAAGGTTCTTTCATCCATGGCACTTTATCTAGAAATCAAGGTCACTCTCACAGTTGGAGTTGTTTTGCTGTTAAGCTTTCCCAGGCTGCTGTTGAGTGGAAAATTCCTCGATCAGTTAGAGACTTTTTCCCCTTTGGCCTCCAGGGGACACAAGTAATAAAGTATCAAGAATAAAAACTCTTAAAAACTTTTTAAGAACCCCTTCAGCCAAAGAGGCAACTTTTTTCCCCAAAGTTTCAATTTTGTGAAGTTAATAGGCAAGAAGATACATTGTCCATTTAGAGTGCTAACAAAATATCCAATCTTTCCAAACCTGGCAGTCTGTCCCCAGGGATTGAGAGGTGGTCTTCGTTTCCTTATTACTCTTTATTTTACACAAAAATGACAAGAAATACTGTCTCTTCTTCCCCCCCTTCTCCAATTATGGGAGGGAAAATTTTTAAATTTGACGTCTGTGTTTCAGTCTCTTTTGACAGTCTTTGGTATCGAACTCACACAGTCTTTGCTTTAATCCTTTATACAAACCGGGAGGTGGACTTCCTTTTTACACCTTCCCGCTTCAGCCAAATTTATTCAAAAATTTTAGTTGGTCCTTCTATAACGTCAAACCTACTCACGGGTTGTAGTTTTGACAGCCAAATTGTCAAGGAAGAAAGGTCAGCGCTCTCCAGCAACAGCCGCACGGCTTCACTCCGCGAAAGTAGCAGAAGACTCACAGTGCCGCGCCACCCCCCGTCCTGCTTCGGAGCCCCTCGCGGGGTTCCTTTGCCGTTTAGGGGCGCGCTCCAGGCACCCGCCGAGTCCCACGACCGCAGGCTTCCTCCGCCTGCGGGTTTCGAAAGGGTCTCCGCTGCGCCGTAGCGGATCGACCCGATTTTCGCGGAGCCTCTCCTCCGAGATTAGGAGGAGATCGCCATTGCTTGTTGGCGCCGCCTCCGGAAGTCTAAAAGTTGTTGTGTTTTTTAGTAATAGTGGAAAATTTGCAGAGTTGGTTTTACTCAGCAAATATAGTTAGAAATTTGATGGTTCATGTATTAGGATGCAGGATATTACCAAGGCAAAATAAAACAGAATGTGGGACTTCCTAAAGTTTGTTTGCTTTTAACAGATTGCAAATTTCATTGAAACAGTGGCAGGGGAAGGGTGTCCTCAACCCACAGGCCATTTTCAATCAAAACTGCCCTCTCAAAGCTGCTATTCTCCCCAGAGGATATGGTAATCCCATAACTAAGGAAAATTTTTAAAATTACCTATAAAATGTATGATGCTCCACACAAACCTTCCATAATTTCTTCGCAGCCCGATGGTTCGGCAGCTTAAACCCAATAGTACTCTCGAACTGTTCCAACTATAAAGATTACAAACACCAAAATTAGTACAAATTCTAGAAATCACTGTTGTCTAGTCTTACAATTTAAGAGTGCAGTTATTTCAACTACAGCATATCTCCCTTCTCAAGATTAGAAATACTCCGGAGTTTTCATATTTCTAACATAACAGCACTGCTTGAATTGCATACAGTAATAACTACACTTTTCCCCCAAAGAGAGAATGAATACATTCACAAGCAGCTCTATAGGTAGTAGCCATATTTTTCCAAGATCCAAAAAAAGGCAAGCTCTTTCTAAACTAAAGCTTGCTTGCTGTGACAGCAGAAATTGTTGCATGTGTGCTTTGGCTATGTCTCCGTGCATATATAACATGCTAGTATCATGGTCTATTATAGTAAATTTCCATCAAAAACATGCAAATTGTTTTACTTGCAATATAAAATGCTGCTTACATAGGAATTAATGAAATCCATGGCACTAGCACAAAGATTTAATTAAAAACCAGAGTAAATGAATGAAAAGCAAGACTAGTTAAATATCAGACTAGATAGTAGGATTGTAATTTCCTTCAAGTATTGTCCAGAGTTTCTCAGCTTTGTACATAGTTCAAGCAGGCTCGAAACTACCATGCTATTTTTAAAACTAAATGTTTCCACATTTCTCAATGTTAGTTCCAAACGGAACTGACATTTGTTTTTGAAATCAGTAGCAGTTAACTCTCAGAAGCTGAACTGCATGTTATGGGAAAAACCTACTCAAATGGTAGAGTGTTCTTAAACCACATCATGAGCTTCCCTAAATATAATTCAAACCACTCCAGTGAGACCAAATCACATAAACTAAGAGCTGAATAATGGCAGATGTGAGAACATGGCAACCTTCCACTACAGTAAGGAAATTTACAGGGCAGGAGTGTGTCCAATCATCAGAAAGCACGCTGCAGACATACTGAAACCTTAATTATCTATGCTACCAGGGATGAAACTGTATTTGCTAAAAAACTATACCAAATGGACATATTCCTACATTATTCAAAATGCAAATCGCTGTAAGATTGGACCTATTTTCAAAGAACTTCTGAGCTGAAAGTTAGAACAACAGAGTGGCAAATTATGCCAGTCAAATGCTTACCTCAGTTGGTCGGACTTTAATATAGAAGTTACTGCGTTTGTAAGAAATCTTCAGTATTTTGGGCCAGGCAAAACGATTGATTCGGAGCCTGTCCTTATAAATGAGAAGCCCATTGGCACATACCCCTAGCATGATGTCAACGCCTTCAGAATCCTATCAAGACAATTGTAAAAGTAATTTCTATTGGAATATTAAAGGAATATGGAAAGAAGAAGACAAAAGAGCAGGAAGGTATGCTAAGCTCATCCAAATAACACTTGGAAAATCAAGGAGCACTGTATCGTAGGCAGAAAAAAGTCTTAAATAAAGGCTTAAGAAATAGAAGTTTAAAAACCAGAAAAAATATAATATTGAACTAATACATTTTGTGGTTATGAGCTGAAAAATAACTTATTCTGGAAATATAGAGATAAATAACAAGATTTTATGAGAGGCTGGATACAAGAGAGTAATAACAGCAGGTTTATCAAAACTATTATTATTATTATTATTATTATATTTAAATACTGCCTTTAATCCAAAGATCACAGGGCAGTGATCTTTGACAGATCCCTTAAGACTAATGGAGTAGCAAAGACAAAATGTAACCTTTTAAAGAGTCAGCAGGAAGTGATGAGAGATTGAAGCTAAGAAAAAAACAGCGATAGAAAAATCTAAACTTTCTAAAGAATAAATCAGTGGTTTTCAACCAGTATGCCATGGCACCATGGGGTGCTTTGAATGATGATCAGGGGTGCTGTGAGCAATACTGGCCTCTGTCCCTCTTTCCTTCCCTCCCTCCTCTGATGCCCTCTCGTGTCTCTGCCTCCCCAAGGCTTGCATAGCTGTTTGCTGCAGCAGCCCTGGCTACAAGCTTCTCAGGCAAATGGTGCCTCTGGGGCTGGCCAGGGGGTGCTTCCAGGCCCCTGTAGGGCAGTGTGAGAAGGCATCTTTCTTTGGGGTGGGGGGGGCAGCTCAAAGACCAGGGGTAGCAGCAGTGGCTGCCTAGAGGACTCCCAAAGAGAGGGGAGAAGAGGCTGAGGGAACACTACAAAAGGGAGGGTGTTCGAAAAGTGATAAACGGCTGCCAGTTCTGCAGGCAAGGGGTGACATAATTGGGCCCCTAAGCCCCACAGGGGTGCCGCAGAAAAAATGTTGTTGCTCAAGGGAGCCGTGGACTCAAAAAGGTTGTAAAACTCTAAAACAAACAGAGGCTAGATGGATACGATCAGTATTAAATGCAAAAGAGAACAGAAACCTTAATAGTTCAACAGAAATCCCATTAAGGCATTGAGTTGTAGCACAACCCTATGTATGTTTAATTCTTGAGTGTCAAGTTTTCCCTCCAGTGGCTTAGCCTGCCTTTAACACATTCTAGAATCAGTTCTGGTTCTGGCTTCATCTCAAGTGCATTATTCTGGGCACTGTATGATTCACAGAAGGGAAGAGAGGAGATGTAGAGAATTAGGTTTGTATGCAGACAACACAGAAATGACCAGGAGAAAGAAGGAGGCAAAAGTAAAACTGCAGTCTGAAAACTACAGCATGTTGCAGAGGTATGTGCACATGCATGGCAGAAAAGAAGAGAGGATGTATAGAGACCGGGGGGGGGGGGGAGGAGAGTGATTGAGATGGGGATAGAAAAAGTAAAGAGAGATATAAACTGTCAGGAGTTTAAGCCCTATTTTCTAAAATACAAGCTGGGGAAAAGTCTGTATGGAGCATCTGTTTACTTAAGAGGATTTTTTTAAAAAGAAAAAAAGAAAAGGGAAAAGCTTATTTTTAAAATGCAATGCGATTGGTTCAATGCAAATGATTTTGTGTGAGGCATGTGCAACATAAAGAAAATGAATGATTGAAGATGGTACATGCTTGTATGTAGATGTATGAAAGGGTGTGAATAGGTGGAGTACGTGTGGATAGCTGGGTATAAATGGAATGTGTATGCTGCTTTGGCCCTGCACAATTTTGGCTTTGGTCCCACCAACTGATGGCATGTGGCCTCAGAAAGTTATTCAGCCTGAATGCCACATTCCCTTGTGGATAAGGTTCCACACCCCTCTGTTCCAAATGAAATGTCATCTATAGAAATGCTGGCCAATACCTTAGCATGATGTAAATCCACTCCGTACATGGAAAGTCTCTTGGCGTTTTCTAAGAATTGGGAATCTGCCTGTGCTGGAGTCAAGCCTCTGGAATGATTGACAGAAGAAAATTCATGGCAAAAATGAGTATCAAGAACAACATAAGCCTTCCTGCATCAGATCCATGTCCCTACAACAGCCTGTTTCTAGCAGTAGCCTTTTGAGGGTTTAATTTGGTTGATTATTCCATTTATCCCAAGCATCTGGCCCTCAACAGCACCTTGTTTCAGCTACACATTCAATCCTAGCAGTCACTGACCCTCGCATCTATAGAAAAGCACTGAAACTAAATGACAGGATACTAGTTAAATGGCATGGCAGATATTATTTAAACACCAACACCGCACCAAGTCTCTGATAAACATTTTGGTTAAAAAATTAATGGCAGAAGCTCAAACTATGCAAGCCAAGGTCTTAGCAAGTCTGCCAAGTCTCCAAGTAAGTTAAAGAAGCAACAGAACCTGAATCTTCAAACAGTACTCTCTCATGTTTGGGTAAGTAATCAGGGAGTTATCCTCACCTGGCATCTATCTCCTATGGAAAAGGCTGCAAAGGTGCAACATGTTATAGAAAAAGCGATTTGCTATGTTGGAGATTGCTTTTAGAACCATTTTTAGTGGGGGGGAAACCAGGGATTTTCTTAACACAGGTGTCCTGTTCTGGCGAGAATGGGTGGGGGCATTTGGGAATCTTTGGGTTTCCCCCTCCCATCGGTATGTGACAGCAGCTCCATATTCTTTGACCAAAACCATCTCTAAAATTTACTAGCTGCTGTTGAACTACCTGAAAGGTACTGGTGGAGTGGTTGGGGCCAACATAATTTAGACCAGCATTTCTCAATCTTGAATCCCTAGACAACAACTCCCACCATTCCTATCCAGCATAGCTAGTAGTCAGAGATGATGGGAATTGTTGTTCAATAATATATGGGACCCAAGGTTGGGAAAGGCTGGTCTTGGTCAATGCAGTTCCTTCAACATATACTTCAAGCCCGACCACTATTCACCCCACAACACTCCTGCCCACACTTCAGCAGAGCCCTTCACAGACCCCACCTTCTACTAATGGAACATTCACCCTCTTTATCAGGGAACCCCCTAAATGTGGGAAGAGATTTTTTTTAAAAAACTTGGCTTAGAATGAACCTTATTGAAAGATTTGACAAGCCTCCTTTCAACATGAACCTTACAGAACAAAAGGGGCAACTTCTGCACACATGCGTATCTCAACTGCTTGCAGGAGCATTACACAATAAAGAAGAAAACAAATAAGAAATTCTTTGAAGAACAGAGTATCGGGAAATTTGATCTAAACTTGTTGCTATTGCAGTGATATCGTTGCCTCTGTCACCAAGAAATCTAGGTCATAAGCATTTGCTTGTGACATTCTTAAATGTTAAGCCGACAGTAGGAAACTCTTGCCCCAACTGTCACAAATTAGCTGCTACTCTCCTTCTTCTATAACAAAGGTATATTACCCACAAGTGCTAAGGCTGGAACACATCTAATATCTGATATTTTTTATACTGCAATTTTAATGTTGTGAACCACCCTGAGATGCCACGACGGGCATAGGACAGTATAATAATTTTGGCTACAACTGTTACACAGTAGTTCACTGTTGCCTAAAACAGTAACACTTTGCCCAATCATGGCTTTCTCTATCTAGCAGTGCAAATGGCGAACTGGACAGATTTAAGTTTCCTTGCTGAGATTATGGATCATATTGAAATGTATCTGTTTATGTTGCAATCACCATGGGTTTGTGGGTGGGAAGAGGAGCAAAACAACTTGAATGCAAGTAAATCACAGAGCGGGGAAGTCTTTTTAAAACATATACACAAGGTTCCAATTACTTGCAAAATGTATAAGTCTGACTAATTATATTTTGTAGATTCCTTCTGTGAAACGTTCCTCTTCCCTCATGTGATACAAAATGTTCAGTTTCTCACAAAGCTAACTACATGAAGTACCCAATGATTTCAGCAAAACACACACTTTGCTGGGGGCACAGTCAAGTTAAAATTACTTGCTTTAGTCCTACTAATTTCAATGACAAGTGAAGCGTATGCTACCCACCACTAGTCAGAACTTAAATTGCTTGGTTTTGGCTGGATGATGCCCGGTGTTCAACAACGCAACCTTAAAATATGGATGACAAGAGTAAGCTTATGCTGTTGCCACTGAGTGCAGTGGTGGGAGAGGATAAAGAAGTTATCCCCTGTCACAACAGTATTATACCACATACTAGCAGTAATAAAATGGAGAGATAACTACAGAAGTTGCCTGCTCATGAATAGGGCCGCTCACCTGAATGGCGCAGCTCTAGCATTATATAATCTCACAAAACATTTTTTGCTGGATTGGAAAAATAATAAAAGTAATTTATGAGTGAAAAAAATCTGATGATGTTTTTCTCTAGATGATTAAGCCTACACTGAAAACAATCTACCTCTCCCCATTACATCATTCTTGTACACAATCACTGGGGAATATTGAGGATTTATTGGTTCGAAAAATGTTACCATACTATTCAAATATACTTGGATATTAACTCCAGAACAAGTGAAAAAGAAAAACAAAAGTAGCTCAGATATGAAGCGCTGTAGTCATAACTGCAAAAGTTCATGATGAGGACAGATGATCATCAACTGTGGTTTCAATTTACAAATGTAATTTCAATCTAATTTTTTCCATCAGAAGTTTGTTACTGTTTTTACTGGCTAAGTCAATGGACACACCTTTGGCTGATTTTCCAAATCTTTAAGAACAAAAAACTCTTAAGCTTGAGCTTGCTTGTGATATTCCAAATTAAGGTTATAAAGAAATACAAAGGCATTCTAGGTATTAGGATTCTGCATGAAATCCAGTTCTACCCACTACTAGGAAAGGGAACAGAACTCAAAGGTTCAGAAATGACCCACCTGTGTGTTTTGTGCAACTCTACTACTTTCTCTTCCATTTCTTTTGTCTGGTTAGGTGCAAACTGAAATTCCCCTATGTAATCACTGTTGTGTTCCTCTGGATCATAGTCACCTAGTTCTGCTTGTAGAGTATATGAACCAAGGAGAGCATGGGTCACAAAAGAACATGGTAGGCGGCCAGAAGCAATATCCTGACGAAGCTGCAAACATAGGAAGTACCTGAACAGAGAAAATGTCATCAGACAAATATTTCTTATTTATTTTGACATGTTAAGAAAACTAAAAAGATAAATATCTTTATTAAAGCAAAGTGTTTTTGTTTTTTTTAAAAAACATGCCACAAAAATACCTTTTAAAGGACATAGGATTCCAAGTGCAACATGTTCTTCATATATATCCACCAATAAATGTATGTGTGTAAATTGATATCCATTAACAGATATACACTTGTGAAATCCTAGCACCAATATTCTGATTTCTAGTACAAATGGATTATAGTTAAAATTCACTGCAAAGATATTTTAGTTCACAATCAAAACATCCTTACTGAAACTTTATTTCGTATGGAATTGGTTTACACCCAATTACTCGGGTGTTTGAATATTTCTTATTGATTCACTGCTAATTTTGTTCCTGTCTCATTGTCCCATATACCCTATAGCCCTCTCTCCACAACAGAAAGCTTCAGGTTATGCCAGTCCCTGCTCCCCAAAATTCATCTAAAGGAATCTATAAGCCATATACATTTTCACTTGTTATCTTAACTTTTACACTATCAGAGATCCAAGAGAAATATTTCAGAATCCTGATTCAGGATAAGTTGCTAGCAGCAAGCAGGTGCAAGATGTCTCCAGACATTACCGAGCTCTGAGCCAAAAACTATTTGTTGTGTTTTCTATCTTGGTCATGTTCTCCTAAGCTTACAGACTTAAACTTTACATAGCATTCCAAGGAAATATGAAAAACACAGGATTCAAAGTCAAGTAGTAATGCTTCATGGCATACCTGGTGATGTCTTCTGTTAACTGTGAGGGATCCGGGGGATAAAACTTCACATTAAATGTAAATAGCCAGGGCAAATCTAAATTGGGAAATTCCAAAAGGCCAGGAAATGTATTGGTGGGAGGATAAGAAGACAAAAGCATGTACACTGACGTCTACTACTTATACACTTGGGGAATAATGTACACTAAAAACTAGAACATGATACTTTCAAAGCACTTTTAAAAGTTGAACATATTTTACATATTCTTCAGTTCTCTTGCAAAGCTACTACTATAACTCCTTGGGATCTTAACCGTTTCTATTTTGTCCCTCGTGCTATTTAACATCTACATGAAACCACTGCGCTAAGTCAAGTCATCCAAAGATTTGAGGTGAGATGCCATCAACATATACATGAGGAACCGGTTGACCCTCCAGAAGATGTTGGACTACACTTTTGATATATGCATTCATGCAAACTTTTTTTAATTGGAGAATGGCATTGCAGAACTCAGATAAGAGTGAATTTCAAAGGGTAACTGCATTTTGGAAATGAGAATTAGGTAGGCTCACATCAAAATGTGAACCAAATTGAATTACTCTCCCATCCCTAAGCACAACTAAACCACTGCATTCAGCACAAAAGAGCAAGGCAGCAGGCAGTTGATATTAGGAACAGAACTCAGCGTCCTGGGAAATCTCAGCTCATTCTCTTCATCGCCTTTTTTATAAAGCTTACTTCTAGTCCCCTACCTGTGAATATTGTCTTTAGCTTGTGTGGACAATGAAATTAATAAAATATCAGAAGCCAAGGGTGTTGCGGCCAAGTAATATTCCCATTGGCTAGTGGCCTGACACTTTCTGCCCCTTTCATAATAAACAAGAATATATACACAACAAGTATATGCAAATTTGTACAACTATAGAATTTGGCTATTATGCTGACATAGAAGCCTGATTTAAAAAGAAAAATAAATGCAAAACATTTTTTTAAGTTACATGCATTTATTTTAAGAAATATGAGATTTAATCAACATACATAGAACCTTACCATTATAATTAGTGTTATTTAATTAAGCTTACTGTCTACATTTTAAAATTGAAACTGTTAGTCCTACTTTTGTTTTTGTTTTTAATTATCAATTGAAACCATAAATAAGGTTGACTGTTTCTTCATTTAATCCTAAATTGCAGTGCAATCCCAGGCATGTTAACTCCAACGTAAAAGAGAGATAATGTGTATGTAACCCTGAACGTACAAATAGTTGAAACATTTGATGATCTCTTGCAAAGTGTACTATTGTCAAGTAGGTAGAAAATAATCAACTAGATTTTTTGTATGACTGCAAAAATAAGTTTAGTTTTAGTTATGATCTGGAATCCAGCATTGTAGGCTGCACAGTAACCTTTACAGGCATTCTTCATTCTATTCATGAATCTGTGTATGTATAGGCTGCAAATCTGACCTTTCACGACTGTAGGTTGCATGCCAAATGAATAATTGTTTAGTGTAAAGTGCAAATCTCTGCAGTGTTGCACTTCAGACTCAAACGTTACTGTTCTTTGAAGGAATATTCTGGCTATCATGAACACAAGCCACCAATACATTAAGTGTGCCTTATTTTCAGAAGCTAACATAATGCTACTGAATAAAAATCATAGAATCATAAAACTGTATGGTACTGATATTTGTGGTACCATATTGAAGCAAAGGACTTCACAAAACTTAGAATGTAGCCTGAGAATTTCCTCGTGTATCAAATTACTAAGAAGCTACTTCCCAATTTTAGTGAGCATGTCTAATCAGAAATACTTCATTGTCTCTCATCCACTGATCCTCCTCCCGGCCCCATTTCCCTGTTTTTCTCTGTACAAATGAAAAGGTGACACCCTATGAGCACAATGAGGAAGTACTTGGTAGAACTCTTTTCCAGCTTCTATTTAAGCTAACTCACCAAGGCCCTTAACCATGTGTAGGGTAGGAACATGAAAACCTTCCTGTAATGATCCTTCCCATAATGGTTATATACTGTTTGGCCATACAAATGTACGGCCAAACATACAAATGTAAAAGAGATGTTTTTTACCATACCTGACACTGTTCAAAGTCTTTTGCTACTGATACTAAAGTTAAACAAAAAGAACAAGCATATTTGCAAATGCCAAAGAAGGGAAGCAAGGCTACGCGATCTGCTATGCTCAAAAAACTAGCTGTCTTTGGTTTCCCATCTCTCTGAACTGTTTCCATCCCAGCTGGTTGGTATAATAACTTAGAAACTTTAAAACTACTGTACAGGTTTGTCATTTTCCTCCTCCCATCCTATCCTTTTACTTTTTGTGTTGGGTATTTTAAATTGCAAGTTTTGTGAGGGCAGAAATCTAAGTGCATTTTGAGAAGCCTTTCCAGCAGAAAAATGGGATGGTGGTGCTTAAAATGAATAAAAGTTGCACACTGCTTGGTGGCAAAGGTTACTCTTAAAAACAGCAGTGTGTGAGAAAATTTCTGAAGTGGATATACATAGTCTTAGACACTAAAGAGATAGTGCTGCCTTGCAGTTGACAGGTCTCCAACCTTCTTGGGCTTCGGTCTGATGCAGACAAATGCACTGCAATTAGTTTCTGAAAGACTAACTAAATGAAACTCAAGAACCAACAGAAATGTTCTGCTCAGTTGTGAAATAATTTTAAAACCTGCTTAATACTTACTGCGAATTTGCCTCTTTATTTCCTTTGAAGGATCAAGCCAATTCTAAAAAAGAAAAGAAAAAAGGAATAATAAGGAATTGCACAAGATTGATGCAGTTGGAAGAAAAGCACGGGATACTTAAAGACACATTTTATATACAGCTCTGTGAAACTAAGTTATTGCTATTCTTTCAAAATCAGCCTGCAGTTTCTTTGACAGCAAGTCTACTTCAGATATCAAGCTATAGTGATTTTCTTCCTTCTCTTTGCATATATTTGCACCTGACAGGAAGATGACTTTAGCAAAAATAGATAATAATAACAATAATATAATAAATGTTTTTGAAAAACTATCCCGGGCCATCTATCTCATCCACCTGCATTTAAAGAAGGCAAAGATCAGCATGGATTGCAATATCTCTCACTATATATTTGCCAACCACTCAAGAAAAGGCTACTGGATATGCAATATCTTTGTCTTATTCCACACAAAAGACAGACTGTCTCTTCATTATACAGCAGTTGTAAATGATACAAAAAAGCAAAAAAAGAAAAATGTAATCTAATCAGAAAGCTGAACATATTCTACATCTTATCCTCAGTGTGATTTTGTTCACAAAATCTATGGTCTGATGTTTCAAAACAGAGAGCACTAAACTGTCTACAAGGATATGTAAGGTGCTTCCCCACAAATATTTAGATGCTTTAATGTTGGAATCAGAGAAGCACTACTTGCCACAATTCATAATGAAATCAGAGTAGAATGGTGCAAATAAATCACTTGGGCATTTATGATAGCATGTATACTTTTCAACAAAATATTTTTCTGCTGTCTGTAAATATCATTAAGTTGTCAAAAATCGTGCAGACTTATGCCACAGTTAACTACCTAGATCTCCTTTCCAAAGTACCTTGGAGCTTCATTAGGGACCACATCTAGTTCTCTGCTGAGAAGAAAGAGCCTGGCATTCAGTTTCTACATTCTGCAGCTGCAGTCTAGTGCAACAGCTGGCTCATAAATGGGTGGCTATGATGAATGTACAAGAATAAGAAAACACACATCATTCAGCATTTACTGGGCTGTAGGTCAGAGATTTTTGTGGCATTTTAATCTGAGGAGGCAATGGCCACAGTAGGAAAAAATGAATTAGGATACATGGGTGCCAAGATGAGAACTATTCCATCTTAAGCTTTTTAAATTTGAGGGACGGCAGAGGTAATAGTAGCAAAACTCAGTTGATAAAATCTGTAAGAGGCTTCAGTAATGTGTATTCCTTATTATAAAATTCAAAAAACAACATGGCAAGGTAAGGAGAAACAATATAAACAAATATGATTTCTGTGTCCACTTGTGTCATCATTACAAGCTGTCATTTTATATATTTATCATTTTCTTTGGTGCAGATCACTAATTTCTAAATTTTGACAACATTTTCTCATCTGGTTAGAGACGAGAAAGATAAAATAGCTTTTTAAAAACTGTTGCTGAATGTCTTGAGCATAATGTCAAAATTAAGTTCAATTATTGACATTTTGCCTCAGAGCCTAGCTGCTGATAAACAGCTACATAAAATATCCAGGAGTTCTCATGCCAACACCCTGGTTAGCAGAATTCTTCTTGATTTGATGAGCTTGGTATGGCTTTGCTCTTTCCTATCTCTTTCTTTTTGTCTTTCATGTAAATGCAGACAAGACCCTCCTCAGAAAAAGAGAAAGACTGTGTCTTGTCAACAGATGATCCTTATCAGTCCCCAATGCAAAAATTATTGCTCCGTTTCCCTCCTTAGTAAACAGGAAAACAATAAAGCGGGGTGATGAATGTTTGAGCTGAAACGCCAAATGCAAGAGAAGTCCTCACAGCTTTAAATCAAGCCTTGCTGCAGTGTTGTAGGCTACCATGGGGAAAACACCAATGGGTGTTGTATTTCTGGGTTATCATGATGGAGCCATCTCCTTGCTGTTGATGTTTTTCCTGGCATTGTTGTAATTTTTCCTAGGTTTTGTAATTTTTGGGCTTTGTTGAGAAAATTGCTTTACATGCATATTTGTCCACTAGGAACAGAAGAGTAGGAAGGACAAGAGTGAGCATGGCTTGTGTGCTGAATCTCATGACAGTGAGATTGGCCATAGAGATTCACCCTAACCATGACAGCAAGCCTCAGGCATAGGTTTCTTGCCTCCTTCACATCCAAGGGGAGATTATGGTTTGCTGCTAAGTAGCTTCTAATCTTCTCCCCTCACATGAAGAAGAGAAGGACTGCACATGAATCTGAGGTTCCCCACTGCTCGTTTCAAATCCTTCAGGAGAATTATCTGAATGAACCTAGGGAATGGAGCCAATGCTACTGGCACTGATATTCTTCCTCAATTTGAAATATGTTACTTGTTAAAAGTTTACCACCAACTAGGACCAAACATGCTAGTCATAAGAGCTCTCTGAAGTTTGAGGCTCTGAAGTAGGATGGAGAAGACTGAAAACATTAAACAAATGTTATTAATGCAAAATTTAGTACTTGCCTTCTGATCAGCATGGTCTTGAAACAGTAAACCAAAGTAGTCCTTTTCCAATAAGTTAAGCTGTCCACACACCTTATCAAATAGCACATGGCCTTTAGCCTTTTTCTAAGGAGAAAGAACACTACTGTCAAGTAACAGGATAGACTATTAAAACATTTATTTCAAACTATAAATATGTTAAAACTTTTTAAGGCGTCTCACTTCAACATACTAACAAAGAAAAAATGTTCAAAATTTGTTCCTCCTTATTTTCCTTTATTTATTAGAAGAAAGAACCCAACAGCTGTACTTGAAACCTGCAATTGGTAAATAGGAAACCCCTGTTAAGAGATGGCCCCCCCCCCCCCGGTATTTAAGTAATTGAAATATACTCTTAAACAGAACAAAAAGCTACATACAATTCCTAATAGTAAGCTTGAAGTCTTCCAATAATAGCACTGTGTCACACAAAAATATCAAAGAGTAAGCAATGTAATTTAAGATTTGCATCCTTTAATCCAAGAACATGTAGGTTTTGAAAGAGGAATCTGTTTGAATTTAGTAAAATGGTTCCACAACAGAAATGTCAATCTGGAATATAAATTCATTAGGTTGTGTCCATTACTAGTCCTACTCTGAGGAGACCCATTGAAATAAATTAACATGACAAATTTAATTCCATTAATTTTAGTGGGTCTACCCTGAGTAGGACTAGCACTGAATGTAACCAGTCTTTGCTAGACAGCCACATAATACTTGGAATCACTCTTAGTCTTTTACCAAAATGCCAGGCCCAGGGGATGGGGACAAGTGACTCCAGCACCAACACATAGTAATGTTAAGGTCCAAAGAGCGTTTTATGTGCTCCACCAGAACCTAGGGCAGTTCCACTCCGGGTTTACAAAAGAAGTTGCAACGGTCCAAAGGAAATACATGGTCCAGCATGTCAAGAAAGAAAATGAAAGAAATAATGCATTTTCTCTTCTCTTCTCTTCCTTCTCTTCTCCTCCCCTTCCCTCAATCCTTAGCATAATTATGTTATTTTCTTAATTCCATTATCTTTTAATGAAGGTGAACTGTTACAGGAAATGTGCTCCCCATTTTTTGCCATCCCTATCTTCCCCATCAATTTAAAAACTAGTATAAGTAAAATAAACAAACAACACCCCCTTTTTTTTACAAACAAGAGACTCACCATGTGTCCAGTGTAGCTCACTCACATAAATGGTAGGTGGGGGAGGGGGTTAGAATAAAACAACAAAGCTGATCAGGGACGTTGGGCCCTAAGCTTTGCTTCTGCGTAGGTGTGGCCTTAAAGCAAACAGCTCTGAGCATGCTCAGAACAGACGTACTGGCTTCTGGGTCATTCAGAACAGCAGACCTGCAAATGTGGCTGGATTGCCAACATGTCAACAGAAAAGAGGGGGAAACTGCACAACAAGGGCTAAAAGTGCTGGAAGTTCCATTAACATACAAATTTACTATCACGATGTTTTTCGGTATGGAGACAGATGGGTAGGACCTCCTGGCCATAGCAATACTTTTGGACTGAGATTGGCTGTGTGGTGCAGAGAGCTGGTCAGAGAATGGAAGATTGACAGATCAGTCTCTCCAAGTGTCTCAAATGGATTGTGGAAGGATGTATGGCTTTGAGATTTTAGGGAAATTTTTGCATTTTACTTGGTAGGGATAAGCACTAGTTGGCCTGGATGGCCTAAAGGACCAGCCTCCGCTGACTTTAATCAGGAAGTAGGAGGAATGAAAAGCAGAAACAGCAACAGCTAATCATCATCATCAACATCATCAGCAATGGCAATCCATTATTTTAGTCACGTTTCATAAGGATCCTCTCAGATAACAATATATGCTAAGAATTTGGGGCACCCTTTGTCACATGGGGCCCTAATTCTGTGCATACTGTGCAGACCTATCAATCTGCCACTGACTACACTTGGTTCAGCTGAGGCCATTCTGCTGTACTCCTCTCTCCCATCATGCAGATGAATTAGTGCTCCATCCTGTTCCTTCCAGCACAGGTGGACCCACACATGGTCTCCTCAGGAGTCATTGCTTGGCGGTAGAGACTGGGGCTTACTTAAATTGCAAGGTGTTAGCAAAGGACCCAAAAGCCCCTGAGGCTTATCACACTGATATTTGGAAATTCTTTGAGAAACTGCAATTTCTCTTTGGCACAATTGGAGAGGATCAGCATGCTGCCTTATACTTCAAGCAAGTCCCACGTCCTTACTCTGCTATTTATGGCATTTGGTAAAGCAGCCATAATATGACATTTTTGAGACCTGGCAGTTGAAAGGCATTTTTGCAATTGCTTATCCTGCAGATTTCACTAGACGCCACTGCAATTCCAAAGGAACTCCATCAACTGCCTATGTGTAGGCTCTTGCGACACTGAAGTTATTGTGCCTAGCAGCCAGAGATAGAAAGCTCAAAACTGAACAAGCCTGCTATGCTCTGTGAGCTATGCACTACACAGTAGTTGTGAGCTATACTGTACAAATACAAAGGACAAGGGGGAAAAGGTATGCAGTGCAACTACCAAGCACAATAAATACATTGTTTGTTTGTTTCAAAAGGAATCAAAGCACATTCATACAGGACTGGACTGCTCAATTTAGATCCCAGTATTTACAGTTTTAGCTAGATCCTTCAATGCAGCATCTCATCCATTGAAACACAAGGAACAATATGTAGTTAACGTATATCAACAAATACATCAGAGAATAAGCAAGATTATGGGAAAATATATATTCAGGTACAACACACACGCACACATTTCCTAACTTGTGGCTGATATTATGGGAGGCCTTTACTAACTGCCTCCTGCCCAAGGTAGCTTAAAAAACAACTTTAAAAAACTTTTAACCAAAGAATAAAAAAATGCAGTTGTAACAAGCTCCTTTTACAAACAGCCTGATTTAAAATGAAATTGAAATAAAATACAAACAATTTTCCATTTTATATACTTAACATTTCTTTAGAATGAGTCTGACCATCTATCAAACAGACTGAGTTGAAGGGAGGTTATGTAAAAGAAAAGGACACATGAGGATAGGAATAGCTCATTTCAGTAGTTAAGTACTATAAAAGGACACAAATTGTGTATTGTACTTACAGTGGTTCCTCGCAAGACGAAATTAATTCATTCTGCGAGTTTTTTCGTCTTGCAAATTTTTCGTCTTGCGAAGCACGGTTTCCCAAAGTCTTCAAAATCACCAAAGTCTTCAAAAACCTCAAAAAAGGCTACCACACCACGTGCTATGAGTTGCTCCTCGAAGTCACCCTGGGTATTAACGGTTTTAAGAAAAAGGAAACAAACTTGCAAGACGTTTTCGTTTTTTTCGTTTCTCGTCTTGCGAAGCAAGCCCATAGGGAAATTCGTCTTGCGAAGCAACTCAAAAAACCAAAAACTCTTTCGTCTTGCGAGTTTTTCGTCTTCCGAGGCATTCGTCTTGCGAGGTACCACTGTATTGTTGTGCTTTACTACTGGGCTTAAGGAGTAGTAAATTCTCAAAAGGAGTATAAACCCAGATGTTATTGAGCATTCTATCAGGTTCATCCATGACGTGACGTGCATGAATGAACCTCTATCTTCAGTGCTCAGATTATGAATAAGCAAGACTTTACTGATCAAATCTGATTGTTTACTAGTTTGCACAGTGATGTCTAATAAAACATTCCTGTCCAATCCTATTAATATTTATTCAGAAGTGCTAGTAGACTCTTGGTATAGTGGAGGGGGTCTGGGGAAGTTTTTAGGCTGTGATTTTATTTTATTATAAAACTAATGAAATAAAAATATTTACTCAAAAGTAAATCCCACTCTGTTCAGACTAACTCCCAAGTAAGCATGAACAGTATTCTAACCTTATTTCATTTATAAATTGCTTCCTATGGAGCACCTCTAAGCAATTCCACAATACAATAAAAACATATATAAAAGAACTGCACATATAAAAATAATTTAAAATCCAATTCAGATAACAACTGCAGCCTTACTTTCAAGTAAGTAATCTCATTTAGCATGTTGGTCACAAAATCTGCCTCTTGTCTCTAAGCAGTCATTCTGTAGTATACATGGGCTACATGACCATTACTCCCATGCTGTATAAAAGCTTATACCAACTGATTATTTGTATTAGTATAATTTCTATACCGGTCTTCATTCAAAAATTACATAGTTTACAATATAAAAAGACAAAAGTACATACATACACATACAATGCATCCCCCAACACAGTACTATTGGTTGGCATGCACACCTGTATGGGAAGTATCAATCTTTGTTTTTAGTAATTTACATTATCTACTATGTATCTTAGAAAGTTGTTTGTCTATTCACTATGCATTTGGACTTAAACTACTGTAACCTAATTTTGTGTGGCAATTCCTGAGATTAAGGAGCAGGTTTTTGTATATGTTTGGATTCAATCTGATGCCATTTTGAATCAAGATGATGAACTGAAACTTTCAAAAAATGCATTGATTTTAACTATTTCAAAAACAAACTGATTTTTTCGTTTCTAAGGTAACAGCCTGCTAATGATTTATAATCAAATATATCCCTCTACATCCATCCAGCATCATGGCCCAGATATAGTCATCCATATCTTTCCCTGTGGGGTGGGGAGGTGATTTTTAATTAAGAAACTGAAGGAAAGAATTATCAGCTTCGATAACATGCATGCCTTTTACTCACACCAAATCTCCAGAGCTGCATTTTGTTAAAAAAGTAATGTGGGGGAAACTACAAGCAACTGGATGTCACATGTAGCTTGTGTCTTTATTTTGTTTTCTGCCCTTCTTTGGGAAAGGGTCCAGGGGCCTTCAGTCTAAACTAGACTAGTATAATAAGTTTTGCTTCTAAATCTAAGTGTCTGATCAGAAATCAATAGAATAAACATGCAGCTTAGGGAACAATTCTAAGCTCCCTGCGAGGATGACTCATTAGCCATTGATGTTGCAGACTTCCCTTCCTGCCAGTTGAGAGGGAGGCCTGAAATCTTGGCCAGGTGCTACCGGTTAGTGTAGACGAGGCACGTCTAACAGGTAGATCGTGATCTACCGGTAGATCACTGGGTGTCTGTGGTAGATTACTGGTAGATCACTGGCTCCCCCCAAAGAAGCTCAACAACTTTGGCTCCCCTAAAAGAAGCTCGGCATTTTTGCCCTGCACTCCCCAAAACAGGACTTTCCTTCCTTAAAAAAGCTCAATAACTTTGACCTGAAGCCCCCAAAGGGGGTAGATCACTGCCAGCTTTTAACTCTGTGAGTAGATTGCAGTCTCTTGGGAGCTGGCCACCCCTGGTGTAGACTATACTGAGCTAGATGGGCCAGTGGTCTGGCTCAGTGTAAATCAGCTTCCTAAGAGGTCCACCACAAGATGCCTCCTTAGTGTTGTGGTGGAAAGTGCCATTGTTAGTGCTCTGACAGAGGTGGGAAAATAAATGGGGAGTCTTAGGGTTATTGTCAGAGTGGACTAGGGACAGCATAACATTTGCAGGATCCAGTGCCTTTTGATTTCCCCAACATGGGAAAAACGTATGCTATTCTGGGAGCTGGTATAGTTCTCTTCCCTCCCTTTAAGCAAATGGGAGGGGGCAAAGTGAACAATGAAGAGGAGGAATGCATCCCACCACATTCCAGCCTAGCAAGCAAAAGTCCAGCAGGATGTAGCAAAGTGGTGATTTATTTATTTACATTTATATCTCATCTTTCTTCTATTAGGGAACCCATGGCAGCATACACATGGAACACAGACTGTCATTCATCTAGGCACTGACCAGACCTGCTTAGGAAGCCTTCACATGCCTTCTGACCACACCCTGGGACTGCCGCAGGCTGTCCCCTACCCCCATAGCATTAATCTTTGTTATTAATATAATTTTGGAGTGTTTCTTTGAAACAGATAGACAAGATGGACAATATGCACAGCTTCTGTTACAACAACTGATTTAAGTAAATATTGTTCATGGTTCAAAACACACTTTCCTACATTTTAGAAATATCATGAGTTCACTAATAAATCATAGGTCATGTGGTATTTGAAAGTTTAATTCCTCCTATGGTAGCAAGTGCACACATCTATTTCATCTAAGCAAACTGTACAAAACCATTAAAAACTTATGTCAGCTTCAATATGCTTCAGTTGTTCAGACGTGCATAAAATATGGTCATGCAGCCATCTTTTAAATGCCTTTTGTCATAAAAGTTTAATTAGAACAGCACCCTGCGTAGAAAGCCTCCAATGTAATTCTCATTTGTGCTGTATGAAGAGGAAGTACTAAGCCAGCTTTTTATATCATTTGCATTATTTAGACAAGATAAGTATTCAAAAAACAATTAAAGCTGTTAAAATTATTCACAATACAGCTTCTCTCTTTTTCTACACCAGAACTACATCAACTGAAACATATAGACGTTTTAATTAAAGTAGCAGAATGTGTACTTTATATGTGTGTAGTTCAACAAAATATTGTTACTCATTTGGAGAGACTATGCCTAGTATTCCACTGAAATCCAAATGTGAGCAGTGAAACTCTTTTTTATTCTCTTAACATAGTATTTACTCCCCCTTCCATGAGACTGGTGGGAAGACAGCTTTCAGGGGGTGGGGGTGGGGAAAAGCTGTGGATAGAGGGCTCATTAGGCACAGCATAAGAAGTTAAGGCAAGACTGAGAAAGCACACCTGTGCAATCCCTTATCAGTAATGAGATCCTTGCCCATTTCTAATGCACCATCCTCTTATAGCTCTCAGGGGACCAGCAGGAGAGTACTTTAAGGTTCCCCTGGCATGAGGAAGAAGAGAAAGATAGCACTCACCTCAAACCCAATAAAACTTGGTAGACGGCAACGCTACACAAGATGGAAAACATAAAAAATGCTACCAAGATGAATTATTTCTCTGCTTTCAGTTACAGAATTTGGATGAGAAAAGACCTGTTTTGTTAGATAGCTGTTCAGTGACCATAAATTACCCCTCTTACACTTTTCAGCATTCACAGAAGATATCCTGAGTATCATATTCTAAAGGCATTTTAAGACGTTATATAACAGCAGTAGGTCAGACTTAAAACTATACATAACTACTTGATGCACTTCACTATGTGAAGTTCAAATACCTGCATGCAAAGAAATAAATAAATAAAATCAAACTTTGGCACCACTGGCACTATGGCCAACAGAAACTGGTTTTGAAATGAAGCGATTTTAGCTGTTGCTATTGTCAAACAGCAAAATCTACAAGCCTACTGCAATTCATTGAGAGATCTACCAGTATGTCCCAATCTGCCTTTGATCTACATAATTTAGTAAAATGTTTCTGTTCATAAATGGATAAACTTTTGACCGTTCTATGCAAACAGAACAATGCCAAACAGGATTTAGGAAGCCAGCTTCAAAACATCAATATTTTAAGTAGAACGTTTAGAGTCTTAAAACAAATTCTAAAATAAGATTGTGTGCATACTGCAATCAAGCTACATTAACATAGTTACAACTGTTTAATAATTTATATGACTGTATCAAACTACTTTCTACTATTGCTATTTCTCCTGTTAATTTTCATGGGAAACAGTTATTTTTGCAAGCAAAGTCCTGTCATAATATACAGCACATCAAATTTTGTTCTCATAGTAGCTATTTTATATAAACACGGCCTCTGGCAAATTTGAGGTAAGATTACTTTTGACTCCATTGCTTTGTTTAATGAATACAGTGTGTAACATTGTACACTCTCAATGTAACAGCTACTGTTGAAGACCATCAAGATAGGTCACTTAACATATTAGGCAGCACATAGTAGCATATCTAGCACAAGCCTCATGATATGTATCCATCCAGCAAGTCCAGTCTCCATAAGATAATACAATCCATATTTCTTAGTTTGTTCAACTTTTAAACCACCCTTCATGCAGGATCCCGTGGCTATTTACAAAATACTAATTAAGACACCAACCATAAAAGCAAGTTAAACATGATAAAATATTAAAATAATCAAAAAAATTAAATCAGTACACGGTATAAATACAGCAGCACTTGGACCTTGAACAATTAATTTCCTCCAATTGTCACAGTGACATCAGAAGCCCAGTAAATCAGCACCCATCTCGCTTCAGGCCAAGGGAGCCGGCGTTTGTCTGCAGACAGCTATCTGGGTCATGTGGCCAACATGACTAAACTGCTTCTGGCACAATGGAACACCGTGATGGAAACCAGAGCGCACAGAAACGCTGTTTACCTTCCCACCACAGCGGTACCTATTTATCTACTTGCACTGATACGCTTTCAAACTGCTAGGTTAGCAGAAACCGGGAAAGAGCAGTGGGAGCTCACCTCATGGCGCGGATTCAAACTGCTCCGATCAGAAAGCCCAAGAAGCTCAGCGGTTTAGACCACAGCGCCATGCAGCTAGTAGTTGTGTCTGAATCTAAAGACATCTTACCTTTAGATAGAAAGGTAATTGGGATGTGCTACTAATTCTCTGACACCATAAAATTTCCTCAGCCAACATGAGGTCGGCATTTATACCATTCAGGAGACAATGGAGGAATGTGCCTTTGGGGTTGAGGTCAAACTGCTGGAAGGTTGCAGCACCTACTGTGGCTGTAGAGACCGATGCAGGAGTAACATGTTTTGTTGCAGTTGGGGCATATGAAGGCATCCAACATGAATTATATTCTTTGTAAGTAACAACTCAACTGCTAATACACAGCTTTACTTCAGACCTTGGGTTTCAAACTTCTACTCAGTGCTTATTATAAAGCATATGTTTTGACACCCAAACAGCACAATCCTATGCATGTATATTCAGAACCCCAAGGAACCATAACTTGAAGAACTATACTATGTTTGAGAACAGTGTATATTATAGTAATCAGAATAATTTATCTAACTATAAAGCTGAACAGAAAAAAAATGTTGCGTAGTACAGAGTATTATTTTCTTCCATTCATTCATAAACCCACCTCCTCAGGCCTTTTTTTCCCACACACCAACCATTCATTGATGAGCACTGGCTCAACCTAGAAACACTAAAAGCTTTTCTGACTGCAAAAGGGTATATATTGACAATAATGTCCCTGAGCGCTGGCAGAGAACAGTGCTAGTCCACCTAGTATTCAACCAGCACACACTCCAAATTCAGCCACTCTATTTTTGCAAAATTTTAAGCAGTATAGTTACAGTATGCCCTGTTCTAAAAAAAAAAAATCATAACTAAACCATTTAAAATCTATGTAATAAAAAAAAAAAGGAGAGGGAGGAATTACAGCTGTTTTAATCCAGAGTACATCACTTCTAATCTCTTAGTCATAGTTAAGGGCTTGGGAGCCAGCTTAGAGCAACACAATCCCTTCATCTCCCAGTTTCCCCATTCCTCCTATGATCTTCCCACCAGTCTTATGTGTAATGTAAGTGTTGCATCAGCACCGTGGTTAACAATCGTTAGCATCAACTAGTCAGTGCAAATCATTATTGGGTGTGAATGAATTTCCCACTATTACAGATAACACTACTTTTTCTTCAAGTACAATGCTATAGGAGGATAATTTTGAAGAGGAACAGCTACAAGGGGACAACGTAGCAGTCTATTTACTTCTAAACATTAAGATTTCTCTGTTTTATTTGCAGAAAGCTGTCCCATCTATCTCTAGTAGGTACAATACTGGCAAAAAACATATCTAGACAATGTGGGAGGTGTCAAGGATTAAAGCAGAGAAAATATAGAAAAAATGAAAAGATATGATCCACTCAAGTCAGTGAAAAAACTGGCCTAAAACTGCCATTTCCTAGCAGATGAGAGCTACCTTGGCATATGTCCTGAATTAGGAAAAATGTAAAAATCAGGCTGACCCTGGCTCTGTTATTTGATCACCAGATGGCATCTATGATCAAGAGGACTTCTTCCAACTTTAGTTGGTTCACCAGCTGCCCAGTCTTTTCTAAAGATGATCTGGTGACAGGTGTACAAGTAGCTTCTAAACTGGACTATTAAGGTCAGTGTGTGGAACTGACCTTGAGAACATTTTGAAACTAGTATTAACATTTTCTGAGCACAGCAGGGGTAGCTAACTGGCACTCTATAAGCAATATCTGCCCCCCCCAATAGATCCCTCCAAAATGTGTGGGACCCATTTTGAGAGTCAATGTTTTTAGTGTTTTAAAAAGATTGACTCTCAAAATGGGTCCTACACTGTGATGCCGTGATGTCAAAATTTGAGCCACCCCGCAATCCATTTTAATATTTTAAATTTTTTTTTCCTGACTGCTCCCATAGATACTATACTATGATTTAGTAATAGCAAAGGATTTTTATTAGCCCCCTAAAATTCTCCAAAATTTGTACTTAAACAAAAAACAAAAAAACTTAAACATCAGCCACACACACGTTTACTTTGACATGGATCCCAAGGAAGTTTAGTAATTGCTCAATGTGGCCCGTGATTACCCACCCTTACTAAAGTCTTGGGTCACTGAAGAACTGTCTCCTCCCATACAAACAGCCCAGATGCCCAATGGCCATCAGGGAACCCTGCTCCAGATACCTGGTTCTGCCAAACTCTGCATCTTGTTTCTGAATTCCAAATAGTGATGACTAACTGGAAAATGGTATTCTCATGTGCCCAACTTCCTAGAGACATCTCATTACATTCCTCCAGAAGCTCAGGACAGTGCTCATGCTTTTCATGCGTCAGTTTTGTCCTGCTCACAACCCTTTGATGTGTGTTTGATTGCAAGGGAGGACTAGCCCATGGTCATCCAATAAGCTTCACCAGCATCTCCTCCCTCCTATTACTGTGCTGCCCCTCCTGGCTCCCATCATTCACTGCCCCCCAACTTACCAAGCACAGGCAAGAAGAGTTTCCATTTTTATATTTTTGCTTAGAGGACAGCTGAGAGCACCACAAAGTAGAGCACCAGACGGACTCTAGCCATCCACCATCATCTTCTTTTTTAATATTTTATTAAGGATTTCCTTGTTTTACAGAAGTAAGTGTAATGCCTCGTATTTTTTTTCTTCCGTGTAACATTTTTACAAATCCGTTTCATTTGTTGAGGCATTAGGGGGAGAAGAAAAAAAGGAAAAAAGAAAGGGGGGGTGGAGAGAGGGAAGATGGATGGGGGTGGGGTCGGGTGGCGGTGTTTCTATTATGTTTAATGTATGTAGAGTTTGGTGTCAGCGTTGCTTGTGTTGTTCACTTGTGTTCCTTTGGTGGTGAGAGAGGTTGGGGTTGGCCTAGGGTGTGATTGTTTGCTTGTGATTGGCTGTGGTGATCTTTGTTTTCGTGTGTGAGTGAGGTGGGTGGGTGTTTTGGATCAGGTTAGCCATATTGATTTGTATGCTGTTGGTGGAAGCCATCCACCATCTTAAATTTTCCATGATTTTCTCTGGGCAAATTCAGGTGACTGGGGTCTCACCAGCATTGCAAGTGGCAGTGTCACCAGCTTCCCTTAAAGCAGAGTTTTAAAAATGTTAGAAGATTCGGGAACCAGAACAAAAGACCTGGGACTTGGGACATTGGATCAGTTCCACACAATGCAGTTGTACTGCTACTGAGAGGGGCCTATATCAGACTAAGTGGAGAGGGTACATTTTGAGACTCATGAACCCATGCATAAAATAGCTTCAATAGTGAACTTTATTTATGATCTGTAAACCAAGGGTTAAAACAGAAGATAATACATTTGCACTTGCAGTTTTGATAGTTATAGTAAAGTTCACAGTACACTTTAGGGATGTGTTGTAATAAGCTAAAGGCATGGCTCATTACTACCCATTAGCCATAGTGATGTGAATACCATAATGAACACATTAGATTCATAAAAATGTGTTCATTAGCTTCCATTTCAATAAAAGCATACTGCACTCACTGCTTTCTTTCAACAGAAAAGGTCTTAAGGCTCACTGGCTTACCTCAAGGTCACAGCTGTATTCTGTCCCATCCAAAAGAACCACTTTACATTGGACAGTTCTGGTCCTCTTAGGAGTTTTTGGAAGAACTCTCTCAATTCTTATTTCACCTGTCTGCACCTCTTTGGACTCCCTTTGGCCTTCCTCTGAATCCTGTTTGTCTTCTTTTACTTCAAAAACAATTTCTTTACTGTCTTCTTTAGCAGGCTGCACAAGAAAGTTGAAAATGGATATTAATGAACATCAAGGCAATTTTAATGCAAAGTAATAAAATGTGATATATTACAATAAAGGATTATCATCACCTACCCCATAAATTTAGAAGAAAAACCAATATATTCTTATGAATCAATACCCATTTAAGGAATCTACTAGAAAACCACTTAGCCCTCCCAACAGATGTCAAGGAAATAAACAACTATCCAACTTTTAGAAGACATCTGAAGGAAGCCCTGTTTAGGGAAGTTTTTAATGAATGATGTTTTAATGTATTTTTTATATTTTGTTGGCGGAAACCCAGCCAGATGGGCAGGATATATATATTTTTTATTTTATTATTTATTTATTTTTATTTTTATTTTTATTTTTATTTTTATTTTTATTTTTATTATTTCTTCTTCTTCTCCTCCTCCTCCTACTACTACTACAGGTTGGTAATTGATAGCTTAAGATCCAGCTTATATTTTTGAGACTCTTTGGGTTGATGGCTAGGCCCTCTATGCACATCTGCTCATTACATGGATCATTATCAGCAGAGAAGAAGACCTGCCCATCAGTTACTGAAATTAATTTAATTAGGTGCTTTATATTAGTCTTAAAGTGACTTACAACAATAAAACTCATACAAATACAACATTTAAAATCAGTAACACAGCAAAAGTGATAATCCACAAATAATAATTAATAAACCAAGACACATTTCCCCCCATGTAACGCAGGGAATTTTTAAATTTTTTTAAAGTATTCATTTTCCTCCTTGAAGATGTCAGTGTTAGTGACAGCTACACTTCTCTGGGGAGAGCATTCAACTAATTGGGTGGAACTTGCACTAAAAAATCTAAGTTGCTCACTGCCACCTTCCCAGCTTCTCCTGAAGTGGGCACACAGAGAGGGACCTTTGATGACGAACTTAGGGTCTTTGTAGGCTTACACGGGGAAAGGTAAGCTGTGTGGGCTTACACTGGGGTCCTTAGAAGTTAGAATCAGCACTTTGGGTTAGGCTTAACAATGGATGAATACAGAATGGAGGGGTAGCTTCTATGAATTCACAGTAAATGGACTTTTTCTAGACAAGAAAATGAATGGATATATGAATGTCAGACAAGCAAACATCTGTCACATTCTTGTCTCTCCTCTCTTCTCTAAATTGCCCCCAGACAACTAGCAAAACTAACCTACAGCCTCCAATTTACTCTAGCAGGAGTATAGTCTTTAAAACAAATGAACTGCACATTATTTACTACAGGGCAAATCCTTGTACAGCATTTCCCAATAGCATCCTGCTTTATTTTACAAATGAGATTTTTCCATTTGTTTCTCTCACACTGTACTGGAAGCAAGAGTAGATCTGCTCTTAGCTGCTTTAATGTTGTTTACTTGCCAGAAGATTGAATCACTCACTGTGAAAGCCCTACATTAACTGCCCTTCTAAATGAAGAAGCTGCTGCTAGGAAGAAACTGGAATTTTGTGTACAGCTAATCCTAGAGTTTGAGCAGCCAGAGGGGGGAATACCTTTCTGTGCTTCAGGTGCTAGTCTAGTAGTGTGTTTTTTTGTGAACTTGTTCACAAAGAAAGGTTTTCTATGCAAATTGTGACATTTTGTAGATGATTGTTTTTTGGTAGGTATAGCAGCCCTCCAGGTTTCACTGGGCTACAGTGGTCCCCATCCCTAACCAATGGTTGTATTGGCCAGGGTTGACAGTAGATATAGCCGAACAGCATCTGGAAGTCCACACATTTCCCATACACTGAAGAATTCTGCTGCAACAAAATGCAAACATATAAAAACAGCATTTTGTGAAAGCAACAGATGATGTCTGAATGTGGAAAAAAATATTAGGCTGGTCTCTGGAGGCATATTTCTTATAAACATATAACAGCCCATTTAACACTTCATTCTGTGCTGGGTATAGTGTTAAGCAGCTAGGTAATTAACATGCATGGACTTTAAAGTGTTTCATTTTTCTTCCTTTCAAGAGCATACCTGTGTCTCAGCACTACTAACAGAATGTTTTTCCTCTCTGTCATCTGCTTTAGCTTCTTGCCGAATCTCAGCAATGTCCTCCAGTTTTCCCTTAGTCTGGGCTGCCTCCTCTGGAAGATGGCATTCACCCTCCCCTGCTCCCATTTCTTCTGCTGCTGCTGATGGCTGTTTTTTCTTTGTTTCATCTTTGGGTTCTTCCAAGCTGTATGATTTTTGTTTCTTAAGCCAGGGGGGGATGAAGCGAGAAATTCCCTTTCCTCCAGAGCGACTGGGGCTACTTTGACTAGCTGGCACCTGTGAAGTGGGAGAACTCTCTTTCATTTCAGATGTCTGTTCTTTTTGACTATCTGATGCATCCCCAGCATCTTCCTTTGCTGTATTTGATCCCAGGTTCTCCGATTCCTTTACTTCCGTGTCTGAATCAACTTCAGTCGTCATGGTCACAGGATGCACTAGAAATAAGATACATATATTTGCTTTTAGAACATACTTTTTAGACTGCTTGTGGACCTACCTAACTCCTAGCACAAGGTCTTATGCTTTAGCAACCACTGAAGTTGAAACTATTTGGTTTACTAAACTTACACTGTAGACATAGTATTCAAAGTGACCAACAAAATTTTCAAATCCAAGCAGCCAACACAGCACAGAGCTAGAAAATATATCAAATCAATCAAATCTCTATAAGTCTATGTGGTCATAGACTTTCTCAGGTGTAATTAAAAGAAGTAACTTCATCCTTTCAATTGGACATACTATAATGACTTTCTAATTCCATCAGTGCTGCAGTGAAGTCTGGAAGACAGACACTTATGAACCTATTTGCATTAACCATCTTGCTTTCAGGTCTGAGAGTTTGGGTGGCATAAAACTAGACTTCAATGGTTGGTTTCTACTGAACAAGTATAATAAATTTATATAGCAATATATATCTTACAATAATAATTACTGAATAGTAAATTCAACACCCTGTTTTGAGTCCAGAATAAGATTTTGGAATAGCATATAAAAATAATTTCCTAATTTATTAGGATACGCTTCAATAATGTATCAAGTTCTATAAAACACTAACAAAAATATTTGCTTAATCTTAAAATAATTGGATGGTTTAAAGCAAATATTTAATTATTAAATTATGTTAGGTCAGCATTTAAGCTGCTACAAGTCAAGTCAAATTTTACTAATGATTCCTATTTTTGAAACAGGAAAGAATAATTTAAGGAGACTAAATCAGCCACTGTGGGATTCTTTCAAAAGTGGTGTTAGTGGAAGAGGTTTGTTCTCAAATTATAGCAATCCTGGAGTAGTCATTGCTCAAGCACATAACTTTCTTTGATGTTTACTGTTCAGTAAAATTTCTCTCCCAAAGAGGCAATCAGTCCCAAAGTATAGGTTTGTCTCTTCAGGAATGGGGGCTGCTGCAAAGACAGCTTTAACAGAAAGTCTAGCTATGCACACAATAACCTTACATGTAACGGAAATTACTTCTTTGTATAACAGTCTATATGAACTAAAGAATTAGAACTGAGTGCCTAGGAATCAACAGTGTAGTGTCAATAATGCTTGTTTTGCTTGCCAGACTGAACAATCTCTCCTCCCCTCTGCCCCTCCATACAGTGTTCTGGAAGTTTGCCAAATTGCAGGTGAGGGCTCAGAGTGCAAATGGGGTGGGGGGTGGGGAGATGAGGAGAGAAACGCCTGTTGCACTGGCTCCCACTAGCACAACTATTTAGTTGTGTGAGTGGTAACTGTAGTACCCCTACTCCCCAAAAAATCAATGCTTAAATGTCAGGTTGTAAAGTTTTTGAGAGGGGTATTTCCATACAGATTACTCTCATGAAAAAAATACTCTTTAATCATGCATTCTGCTATTGCTCTTGGAAACCTATAATAGTAATACACCTGAATAGTTATGTCATCCCGAAATTTTCAAATTCCTGATAAATTATGTCAAAGGACACTATGCTTGATTCAGTATTTAAATCTGTAACCACAACAATGCTACTCTTTTCTTTCCGCCAACAGAAAATATACAGAACAAGTACAAAGGCTACTTAGTAATTTAGCTATCTGATTTTGATCAGTAATAACATTTCTAAAACTCTATCATTCTTCAAAAGCAGAAATGCTACATTAACCAATACTCTTTAAGGTGTAGTACTTTTACAGCTCAGTCTTATGCAGAATTAGATGTACGCAAGCCTACTGAAATCAATGGATAAGATATAAATCATTCAGCACTGAATTGCAGCCTTAGTTTTGGAAAGTAGTAAGTAGCAACACACTATCCAGATGGTGACAGTATTTTACAGAGCATTAGTATTCAACTAGTGAGTAACGCTCTAAGGAGATTCACAACAGCAGCAACACCAACACCAACGAAATGTATAGTAAAAAAATAAGTATGTACCAAACTAATGTTACAAAAGGTACAAGACTAATACAGGATTAGATAAAATGGCTATATGAACAATCTAGATGTTTTCAGATACAATGTTCTGTCAAATGCACTCACCATTAGCACCTGTAACTGGAGATTTTCCATTTTTATAAACACAAATCAAATATTTTCCACTACTAATATCTGTAGTATAAATTTTGTAACCCTACGGAAGAGGTGCAAAAGAACATACACTGCTTTACAATCCCTAAAAGTTTAAATACAGTTATAGAATGAAAGCACCACAAAAATTGTCTAACAGGTACAAAATAATACTCCTTGTTTAAAGGGAAATTAGATACCATTATTGGGATAAAAAAATATAGCCACAAAAGTGTTGCAGTGAAAAGATCCAGACAATCCCCTAAAAGCATTCCAACCAATACAACAAAATAGCAATGTCATCTACTTGAATGTTCGCAGCTACATACACCCACAAAATTGCCTAGTGTTATTCTTGCAGCATTAAAGTACAGAGCATCCCATTTCAGAGTTAAAAGTCCTTTTTATTGTCGCATTTTCTGAACTACTTGCTTCAATATTCACTCACAGACCAACTAACGTGATTGTCATGTAGTACTTGGTGCCACTCATATACTGACACCAGATTGCGATCAAACTATCCACATATTTTTCTACACACACACATGTACTTGTTTTTATTTTCTAATAAACCGAAATCAACTCACCCTTTTCACTTGCTTGTCTAAGGCAACTTGAATCTCATTTGCTTTTGCATATCATACTTTGCATATTGATGAGCAATTAAGGTCTACAACAGCAATTAAAAAGAAGTTAAAGGTAAAGGTACCCCTGCCCGTACGGGCCAGTCATGTCCGACTCTAGGGTTGTGCGCCCATCTCACTTAAGAGGCCGGGGGCCAGCACTGTCCGGAGACACTTCCAGGTCACGTGGCCAGCGTGACGAAGCTGCTCTGGCGAGCCAGCACCAGCGCAGCACACGGAAACGCCGTTTACCTTCCCGCTATAAAGCGGTACCTATTTATCTACTTGCACTTAGGGGTGCTTTCGAACTGCTAGGTGGGCAGGAGCTGAGACCGAAAGACGGGAGCTCACCCCGCCGCGGGGATTCGAACCGCCGACCATACGATCGGCAAGTCCTAGGCACTGAGGTTTTACCCACAGCGCCACCTGCGTCCCTAAAGAGAAGTTACACGCACATAATTTTTGTTATGCGTATCAAACCAAAGCTATGCAGCCAGCTTATAAAAATCTAACAGGCTCTTTGTGCAGCTTAATGAATAAGTCTTGCCCCACCCAAGTCCCAACTCTGCTGGAGAAAGGCATGCCCAGTGGAAAAGTTGAACTTGGTTCCAACTCACTTCATTTCTGCAGCCAGAAAATGCAAATGAGTCAAAGAGACAGCTCTGTTTTCCTGTTATCGCTCCTACAAAGTAAGAGATGCATTGTAAAAGCTCTGCTAGGTTAGCATGAGACATCTGCCACTTTAGGATAGGGCTTTTATTTGAACTTATTGTTGAAGGTAGTATAATTTGTTCTGAGCAACTCAGAATATTAATACCACTTACATAGCTGGTTAGTCTTAGCTGTGGGTACAGGGAGACCATATTTCACCATTAAAAGATAATGCTCATTTTATGGGAGATTGCTCTAACAGAACAGTTTCACCAAAACAAACAAAACAAATCAGTACAGCTACAAAAAAATACAAAGGGGGAGGTGGTAAAAACTATATAGAAAAGGAATCTTAACATGGTTTGAGTAAAAAAGTTTTTAAGGGAAATTGCCTTTATAGACAATAAATGCTGTTAATCTCCTCAGCCTCTCAATGCTCATGGCTTAAAAAATGTTACTTTAAAATTTCTGGCACACCTTCCTGCCAAAGTGGTCTTAAGTGCTTTCACATTATTTCAAACACAAGGCAAAAATATCAAAACAAACAAGAACAAAATCCGTCATAAACACCTAACACTGCAGTAATAAATATCTATCAAAATGGAGAAGTGCATCCCTAGTTTCTGATAAAGCCTCCAGGAAACAAGGAAAAACATCTGGTACCTACATAATAGCATGCCCGAAGAGTATTTTCAACAGGTGGGCATCACAGCAGAGGTACCTGGAGCCAAGCCATATTTTACTCCCTCCACGAATGGCCAGATTCATGTAGGATGAGGTGCTCCTTCACATACCCTGGCCATTTAAAGCTTCATGGGTTAACACAGGGCCACCAACAAGAGGTACAGGGGATACAAATGTGCCAGGCCTCGTGCCAACAAGGGTCACACATTATTAGTTTTCATTTTTTTAAAAAAAGTCTATTGGACATTTCTTAAGAAAGTCATAACAGAAATCTTGAAGACTAAGGCTTCAGCACTCAATGTGCAATGCTATTGCTAAGAAAGCTTAATCACTGTTGCTAACAAAGTCCGCTTTCTTTACAGAATAATGCACCATTAACTGGCTTTGGTATGGTACACCCAGAAGTAACTCCCTTGAAATCAAGGTAGTTTCCTTCCTACTGAGAAAAAATGTTGATACACCCAGGTCCCATTTAATGAACAAAATGCATTCCCTGGAAATCATTCGTTAGGCAAGCGTTCACATAATGAGTCCATGATTTCCATTATTTCCTAGTGAAATTTTCCTTATGTGGGATTTGTCCAATAACTTCCCCCTCTTTCTCCATGGTTTCTTCCTGGTCATGTCAAAATCATACACAACTGCAAGAAAGCAGAACAAGTAGGCTGAAACAGCATATTTCCTATGAATGCCAATAGAAGGGCACATGTGTATTGCATCCCCACTCTAAAATTCATCTGCATCCACTGCTTAGCCCTGAAAATGCAGCAGTAAATCTAAACCAAACTACATCAAGTAGTGTCTGACAGAAAAACTGAACACACAGAGCAAATTGAAGAGAGTTCAAGGTCAGAAAGTGGGAAATGACTAACAGACTCCATTTGGTTTTGGTATTTCCCTCCTACTCAGTTCCACAAGGTTTTTTCACGAGACAAATCTAACCTTCCAAAGTACTATATGTTATTTCCAAATCAGTTTTGTCATGACAGACAAATGAGACTTAATTTTTAGATGTTCCTCAGTAAAAGTTGTAATGGTGTCCAGAATTTACTACATTTGTTAACTGCCCTTTGAGGTAATTTGCATCTCATGCTTATTTAACATACACACTCGCAGCTTTACATGCGTCTCCAAAAAATAATTTAAAATGACACAAAAATGGTGAACACAGGGGAAACGGGGGCAGGAAACCAGGAAAAAACCAGCCAGTAATCCCAGCAGCCTTCATGAGAGTGGGTGGAGAAGAGGCCGTTGGAAAGGGTGATCAGAGGCCAGAGAGACTTGCAGATGGTTTGAAGAGACAACAGCATTCTGTTGCAAAAATGCTGGAAGCAGGTACCCATCTCTGCTGTTCCTCCCCACTATACTGCCATCTTTTTCTTTGTACCTTCAGAAAGAAGCTATGGGGCTGAAATTGGAAATATGTATGCCTTCAATAACACAATGAAACTGGGAGCAGTGAGTGTACCTTTTTTCAACTGCAGATTGGCCTGTGCGTCTAAAAGGCAGAAAGAATAAGCTTTCTGCATTTTGGAAAGGAACGCACAGTGCTCTTTACAATAATGACTTAGTAGTTCCTCAGGATTTTTTAAAGGGTTATGAGTACACAATGCACAGTTTTATCCCTTTAACCAAGGTGAATTTTTCCTAGTTGCCTGGAAGCATTTCTTTCTTGCCACAGTTGGCAAGACAAGTAGTAGATTCTAATCCTTGTGGGGGGCTTTATGTAAAGTGGGGGACAGGGTATGGAAAAAACAATAAATAATCCACTATGACAGAAGGTACAGAAGCAAGCAAGAATGAAGTGAGCAAGGTTTAATGGTGTTTTTCTTTTCTTTTAAGGATTTGCATGTTAAAAATGCAGATGACTTCCATAATATTGTTAAATTCTGAGTATTACTTTCTCAGCTGAATTTACTATAGCAACAAGTATGCTTTGTGTATTTAGCTGCTGCATCATCAATTGAAAATTGAGTTTTATGATACAAAACAAGAGGGTATACTGACTAAAATGGTGATGCTGAAAGACAGCTTCTCTGTATATTGTAATGGGTTCGAGATGTTTTTATGCATGGGTAGGCAAACTAAGGCCCGGGGGCTGGTTCCGACCCAATCACCTTCTAAATCCGGCCCACGGACGGCCCAGGAATCAGCGTGTTTTTACATGAGTAGAATGTGTCCTTTTATTTAAAATGCATCTCTGAGTTATATGTGGGGCATAGGAATTCATTCATTCCCCCCCAAAAAAAATACAGTCTGGCCCCCCACATGGTCTGAGGGACAGTGGACCGGCCCCCTGCTGAAAATGTTTGCTGACCCCTGGTTTTTTGCAATGTGTTCAGTACTGGACTTTTTATTTAGTATGCTCTCCACTTATCTTAAAGCATAAAAAATGTTAATAGCCATATATGAACAGCAATGGGTAGATCTAGTATGTCCATCATTTCTGCCTCCCTTACATGTTTACTGAATTCCTGAAAAGGACTACATTCAATCATATATCTAGGTTTCTTAAATGATGTAACAACCTGTGAACCGCCCTGAGACCCCCAGGTATAGGGTGGTATATAAATTCTATAAATAATAAATAATAATAACCCACATCACATATTTGTTCTGTTCAGATGCACCACTATCTCACGGCTTCATGCTTCATGGACAAATCTCAGATCCATGAATTTCCTCCTTCTCTTATGAAATGCAATCTTCTTTCTCCATCCCTGCTTTGTTATGTGAACTGGCAAATGACGAATTACATTTGCCCTGTAGATCAGTGCAGCAAATAATCCAAAATTTGCAGGGCAAGCCCAAATGATACTTTGCCAGTTAGAGTATACTGCAATGATAAAATTGGAAAGAAGGGACCAAGTGCAGAAACTTAAAGCTCATTCTAGGTTCATTCATGTAGCATGAAACAAGTTTGATATTACAGCCATCACTGCCACAATAGTAGTGTGTCAATCATAGTCAGAACTATCAGAACTGTTTCAATCAAACTTATGTAAACTATAAATTCCTGCCTCCATAGAAAACAAGTTCTGTTATAACACAAGTGGAGGGGCAACAGGTTTTGTTTGGTCTTGGTAGCCAAAAAAAAGTTTGTGGTCACCTGGATCCTACTATTCCCTTAAGTTAGAGTCCTGTCCCTGTGCTCCAAAGCTCAGTATAAAGTCAAGGATAATCCCTGCTCCTTTACCCAGACTGGGTCTGGGAGGGGAGATATTGCTCACATACAGATTGCAAAGAAGAATTTATTTGTAGTTCTTCTGCCAAACAAGTCTTAGGAAGTCTGCCCTTAAATGAAAGATCAAGTCTGACCCACTAATTAAATTCATATGGACTTTAATCACAACGTGCAAGATTCTATATCAGTTCCCCATAAAAGCCACAGGAGTGCCTTTTGCAGCTCCCAACATCAAACTAAAAACTCAGTTTTTGAATCCTTCCAGATCCAATGTGCCACAATGCCCCATATTTCCTTTTCAGGGAATATCTGTGGATATAAAGCAGACTTCTACATTTTCATTCATCACAGCAAGTATAATCAGCACCTAGACTTCCTCACACCTTTAAATTGGCAGAGGTGGATGAAAATCATACCAACAGCTGCCCTGTGATCTCCAACTCTAAGGATGAGAGGAAGTCTAAGGATTGCTTATGTGCATGGGATCTGCCTCGGCCCAGTATACCTGAAGGAGTGTCTCCACCCCCATCGTTCCGCCCAGACACTGAGGTCCAGCTCCGAGGGTCTTCTGGTGGTTCCCTCACTGTGAGAAGTGAGGTTACAGGGAACCAGGCAGAGGGCCTTCTCGGTAGTGGTGCCCGCCCTGGGGAATGCCCTCTCATCAGATGTCAAGGAAATAAACAACTATCCGACTTTTAGAAGACATCTGAAGGTAGCCCTGTTTAGGGAAGTTTTTAATGTTTGAAGTTTCACTCTGTTTTTAATGTTCTGTTGAAAGCCGCCCAGAGTGGCTGGAGAAACCCAGCCAGATGGGCGGGGTATAAATAAATTATTATTATTATTATTTCCTCCAAGCAGTCAAACTATTAAGCAATCTGGCTTCCTTCCTTTGAGTGGTGACCATGTAACTTCCTTGGTTGCTTGGAAGTGAGACACATTTAGGAAGACGACATCTTCTTGTTTTTGAGGTTGAAAGAATTTGAAGCTAATCTTGGGCATGACACTACTACCCAGATCCTCAGTTCTCTTGTATTGTACACAATATAAAGGCAGCATGAATTAAGTCATATTATTAAACAGAAGATTAATTCCAGGACAGCTGTTACCTATGGTCACATTCTAAAATCCTAGGGTTACAGAACTCAAAAGAATAATCAGCATTGTAGCTTGATGGAATCTGAACAGATAATCCATTCTGAAAACACAGTAACAGAAAGAACAGACCAAATAAAAACCCACACTACAAAAATACTGGAGCAGCGGTTTATTCTTCTCTAACTGATCAGGAGCAAAGCAATAACTATTTAATTGCAACATTCAGAAAAAAGAGATAAATAGATTTATAGATCTAGGTAAAAATAAACAAGTTGCTACTACCCAGCAAAACTTTGCTACTGTATTGATTGCCCTTTTCCATAGTCAAAGAGATGCAAGCTAACGCATGTCGTCTGGAAAAATTACACAGGATGAAACAGTTTGGCTATTACTACTTAAAGATATCTGCAGAAATGAGGATGAGGAATGCCATGACGTCTGATGGTACAACTAGAGGAGCATACAGGTGTGTTTCAGGTATCATTCAAAAGGTTGCATTCAGACACATTAAACCAGTTTAGTGCTACATAAATAAGCCTCAAGCCCTGACAAAACTCCTTTTCCATTTGCCCTCCATCAATAGTTTTATTTAATTAATAATTTGTTACATTAGATTGATACACTGAAGTGTATATACATTTATATACATTTACAAAAACTTTACATTAACTACAGAGCGTCATATGATTGTACATGGACTTGATATTTGTTATTCCAAAATATTAGGAAAATAGTCAAATAGTTTTACGGAAAAGTTTTCTGATTATTTAGTAAACAGGAGTGGAAAATATTTGTACCCCGAAGAACAGCAAACAGACACATTTCCTCCTCTCTCCATACCCCCATCAGTACACAAGGATGAGGAGGTGAAGCTTCCCTTCCTAATTCTCCCCCTTCTTTCTTCTCCCCTCTTACTGGCACTAGGAACAGCTAAGAACGATTTGACTGTAAAAAGGTCAGGGAGTTGCTTTTCTACAGTACATATAAGCGAGACAACTTAGAATCCAATGACAAAGCAGCTCTCTTCCTACAGAGAATTTCAGAATAAGACCTTGTGACTAATGAGGAATCCAAGCAATTTACTTGCTCTTTAATTTTAAATTTAGAAACTGCTGATATCTTGGTACATTATGTCAAGTCATAACCATCACATGAGGAATGGTTAGAAACTACACTTAAGATTCTGATTATTAATTATCTTTATTGTAAAGCTTTGCTTTCAAGATATTGAGGAAGGAGAGTAAGTCTTTAGAAAATGTCCCTCTCCTTCCACAATACAGTGGTGCCTCGCAAGACGAAATTAATTCGTTCTGCGAGTTTTTTCGTCTTGCGAATTTTTTCGTCTTGCGAAGCACGGTTTCAATTTTTTCAAAAAAATCTTCAAAAACCTCAAAAAAGGCTACCACACCGCGTGCTATGAGTTGCTCCCCGAAGTCAAGTAGCAACTGCACCTCTTCAAGCAATGCACCCTGTATTACTGTAACGGTTTTAAGAAAAAGGAAACAAACTTGCAAGACGTTTCCGTCTTGCGAAGCAAGCGCATAGGGAAATTCGTCTCGTGAAGCAACTCAAAAAACCAAAAACTCTTTCGTCTTGCGAGTTTTTCGTCTTGAGAGGCATTCGTCTTGCGAGGTACCACTGTACCATGAAATCCAGAATCTAGATAGTCATTGATCAACAGTAATGCCTTGCTTGTGTGGCAGGACAGGAATTCAAGCAAAAGCAGTAACATTTCTTTAAATCAGACAACCTAGAGTTGCAATGGGAACTGTTAATTTAAGAAGGCATAGCATTTTAGCTATGAAGTACTGAAGATTGAGCTAATATTTTTAAAAAAATTATTAAATTATATCCCACCATTTCCCCCCAAAAAACACAGCATGGGACTCCTCAAAACTACCTGCTTATCCATACTTGCTGGCACAAAGCTTACATGAAGGTTAAACTATGAACAGTCTTTACTGAAAATTCATTGTGTTTTGTTTGGGGGCAGTTATATGACAATGAGCATTCATCCTAATTTGTATACAAGGTGCTTGTATATCACAGAATCATAGAGTTAGAAAGGACCCAAGGGTCATCTAGTCCAACCCCCTGCAATGCAGGAATCTCAGCTAAAGCAACCATGACAGATAGATGGATCTTTCCACTAATCATTTGTTTACCCTACACTTTTCAGTGCATTACCCTGTTACTTTCCTAATTGCAAGAAGTCAAAATTTTAAAGTGGATTGGTTGTGTGAGGATGATAGAAAGAAAAATGTAGCTGGCTGCTGCAGGAGGACTGCAGCAGGAGGACAAAAGCTTGTAAAAAATTCTGCAGGCCAGTAATTTTTATAAACCTACCCACAAGGCCGTTTTACTGACTTGCAGTTTGGCTGCATCTTCCTAACGTTACCACTATCAACAGAAAAGCCTCAAATGAAGGCTGAGAGTCAGACTTTAGAGCCAAACAAATATATTTCTCAAAAACAGTGCTAAAGTAATGTGAAATCCAAACAAAAGGCTAGGAGACAAAATCCAACATAGGGAAACATGGGGAAACAGGCTGTAAATGAGAATTCTTCTAGTAGACTATTGATATAAAGCATATTACCTGCTTGGCTAGTATGGTGTGACAGATTTCATTTTAAGTTCTTAAGCTTCTTTGGGAGCTCTATGAAGACAGCATGAGATTTTTGAAGTATATTTTGTACACAAGGCTAGCTTTCTACCGCTTACAAAACGTTAAATCAAGAACATAAGAACATACCAAAAACATAAGAGTTTAAGATGAGCCTGCTGCGCAAAACATTGGAAAACCCAAGATCTACCCACACTGGAAGAATGGCAGATGCAACTGATAGACTATATGCAACTGGCTGAAATGACTGGCAGAATCCGTGACCTGGGAGAAGAGAGAATCGAGGAGGATTGGAAGAAATTTAAGAACTACCTACAAAAACATTGTGATTTGATTGAATGCTGAATAAGATGCTGGACTAAATAACTGAGCACCACTTAACTTAGAAATTTTTAAGGAAACAAGAAAAATTGTGAAAGTTTAACTCTTTATGAGAACTTTAAGATTATGAAATATCGAAGAGATATAAGAATTTAAATAAGATGATAAATTGCTGACAAAATGTTATAATGATGAAGGTGGGAGTGGGAGATGTGAGGAAGTCCAAAGAAAATGTGAAATTATGTTAAGACGAATGCTATATTGTTTATTACATTTATTCTTATTGTAAAACCCAATAAATTGCTTTAAAAAAAAAAAAATAAGATGAGCCTGCTGAATCAGTCCAGTGGTCTGTCCAGCATCCTGTTCTTACAGTGGCCAACAAGATGCTTGTGGAAAGACTGCAAGCTGCTCCACCGGCGATTCCCAGCAACTGGTATTTGAGACATGACACCTCAAACAGTGGATGCAGAATATAGCACTAATCAATGACCACTAGCCACAATGGCTAGGTCCAGGGGTCAGAAAACTTTTTCATCAGGGGTCCGGTCCACTGTCCCTCAGACCTTGTGGGGGGGCCGGACTATATTTTGAAAAATTTAAATACCATGCAAACCGGTCCAACAGCTGCCTCCGGACCTAGATGAGGAACACACTCTGCATGCACTCAGGAGCGCATCTCGGCACCGCCCACTCACTGGCGTTGTTGACGAGCAGCAGCCGCTCCATTGTCCCGTCGCTGCAGAGCTCCTAGGTGGCACACACCATGCGCTGCGGCCCATCATTCGAGGTCAGGTCGGCAGGCAGGCACACACAGAGCGCTGGGCAGGCGGCGCACAGCTCGCCCTCCAACTGCTCTGGTGGCCACCGAGCGCGCCACCAGCAGCAGCGCCAAGCCGGGCGCCAGGCTGAAGCCCCGCAACGCACCTGTCACAATGCCCATGGCGCGGCCCATACCCGCCGCCCGCCTGCCTCTCCATCTGTGGCCATGCCAGGTTTACCTCAGCACACGGGCGGCAAGGAACTTCCTGCAGCCAATCCGAAGCCCCACCAGCGTCACCACATGCCCAGAGGCATCCGCGGCTTCGGATTGGCAGCAGGAGCTTCCCACAGCCAATCCGAAGTGGTGCCAGCATCGCAAAAGTCAGTCTCCACATGGCGAGGCATCCACAGATTCTTTTCAAGGAACCGCTGTGCTGGTTTAGCTCAGCGCGGGGACTGACCGAGCGGACGGCAGGGTCTGTGGGCCGGATTTACAAGCCTGGTGGGCCGCATCCGGCCCCCGGACCATAGTTTGCCGACCCCTGGCTAGGTCAAAAGTTTGAATTATGTTTCAATTGTAGCTTAAAATGAACTTAAGTATGTTCCAGTATTTTCAGAAGCAGTATTAAGGGGTGATACGAGGTCGTTTGACCACATGTCCATGTTTTCATACATCTTCCCCGAGTAAAGTTCCAGTCCTTGGATTTTGCTGTGTTGAGCTGCTGTTTTTTAATAGCTCTTTGTCCGATATCTATCCAAAGCAGCACTGAACAGCCTTTGGCCTTTCATATCATATTGTTGGATTCCAACTCTCATTAGCCCCTATTAGCATGGCCATTGATCAATGACATAGCACAGCTACATGTGGAGGGCCACATATTTCCTACCCTTGATCCAAGGGAAGCAAAAGTGACCATAGTGTTAGCAATTCCATCAACAAAATACGAACGTGTTCCCATGAGTTCTGAAAGGAGTGAAGGTGTTTTAAGTAAAAATGGTTAACTCCTGATTTAACTCCAGCATTTTGCCTTTATGGCGGAAGAGGCTCAGCACACCATACAGATTAACATCCATAGTATTTTCAACACTGGGCTCCCGCAAAATGAAACCATACATTGGTAGTTACTCTAAAGCTCTCATATATAATACAATATCTAGGCATTTTCAAGACTTTTCCATGTATTTTATAATATATTACACCTTTGAAATGAGATGAACCAAAACTGTTTCCATCTAAGAATCAAGCATTTTTCTCCTCAAATATTTAGAACACAATCTCTTGCAAACCTATGAGAAAATATATCACTCCTGCAATTCAAAATCTTGCAATGTATCCTTATTTTTGCATATCAAAATGCAAATTGATCAGTAAGTTGTTTATTTAGATGCTCTCAGACTTGCACATACACTGTCCAACATGCATTGTTACTTCCAACACTTACTGAACAGTAAAAATAAATAAAAAATAATCATGATGCATTAACAACATTTCTCAAGTGTTTGAGAAAAAACTACTTACGCAAGTAAAAGGAAATGAAAAAACTATTGACAGGAAACAAGAGAACAGAATACTGATCATACAGCACTATGCTGACAACTGTCTGATGCTGCAGTTTAGATAACACATGAAGAGTCAAAAGGTTGAATTGCAAACCCAGTGCTTTGTTTCCTGAAGCAACATGTTTTATCCTTGCATTCAGAGTCTATCTGCTTCACAGCCATGGGGAGGGATTAAAATTACACTCTCCATTTATCACAATGGTACATACAGAATGGGAAAGGATCATGCAAAAACTTGTAGTATAGCATATATACCTACTAGATTTGGAGTTGAGAGACCAAAGTTCAGGTTCCCTACACAAACATGAAACACACTGGGTGACATTAGTCTACTCACTCTCAACCAGGTGGTGGTTGTTTTTTTAAGCTACCTAAAACAGTGTTCAGTGGAACTTGCTCCAGAATAAGTCTGAATAGGGCTGCAGCCTAAGTTACAAGTACACTCTTAGCAGAACCTCCCCCCCCCCTTTCTGAAGAGAACACATGTTAAATAAAATTACTGTACTAAGGTGATTTAAATGTTATCATATCTACTGAAACTATGTAGGAAAATCCTATTTTATTACATTTACATCACATTTACTCTGTTACAAACAACTTCAACAAAGCACAGAACCTGAATACCAATATTCATTACTACTTGCTATTTTAGAAATCTAAAAAAAACCCCACCAAAAACTTCTAAACTGCCACTTGACTTAACTGCAAAAGACAAGGAGTACTGAGAAAGTAAGGGTTGGGTGAGAATTCATTTAATAATGATTTTTCTTTCAAGCTGCTTCTCATACATATCAGGAGGTACACACAAATCTCTTATAGCATTCATTCACTACTAATTTATAAAGAAAATATTAAAGCAATTCCAAACAGTTATATATAAAACTGCTACATAAATAACTTTACATGGTATGTAAGTTGCAGGACAATTTTATATATACCCCCATTACCAGCAAAACCACCTAATGCCTGCACCACTAGGAGGTCTGATCCGGCTAAGCAACTTGAAGTCTTAAAGTGAGGACCATTTAGTACAGATTAACTAAAATTGATTTCAATCAGTGGGCATCTACCCCCAAAGTAGATCCTGAAAAACTGAAATCAGTCTGCTAGTGTGAGGCACTCTAAAAGTATTGACTTTACTAATGCTGCATTAGCCAAAACACAAAGAAAAAAGGCTACCCCCGCATAAACAGCAAAGTGATTTTAATACTGCTCCCTAAGCATAAAGCTTTCAAATAGGAAGATAGCAGCATTGAAGTCTACAAAACATAAACCACTTTAAACATTACCTGGAGCACATGAAAACATAAAGGTAAAAAATCACAAGCACAGAAGCTTTTTTCTCTTCTCAAAGCTCATGAGAAATATCCAGAGAGACAATAATAACACCAAGTCATGCAAAAATATGAAGTGGCTTTTATTAAAAGGATTTATTTAAGGGTAAAACAACCTATTGTGACTAAATTTCCACAGTAGCAAAACAGAAAACAATGGGTGTGCCACATTTTTTAACTATAAGAGAAGCATTTTTTAATATTCCATATGCACACTTTGAGACTTCCTAACAAACTTATATAGACTTTTTTTATATATAAAAAATGCCAAAGTATCCTTTCATTCTACTCAGTATCTAATGCAAAATATCTGCAGAGAAAAAATACCGTATTTTTTGCTCTATAAGACTCACTCTTTCCCTCCTAAAAAGTAAGGGGAAATGTGTGTGCGTCTTATGGAGCAAATGCAGGCTGCGCAGCTATCCCAGAAGCCAGAACAGCAAGAGGGATTGCTGCTTTCACTGCGCAGCGACCCCTTTTGCTGTTCTGGCTTCTGAGATTCAGAATATTTTTTTTCTTGTTTTCCTCCTCCTAAAACTAGGTGCATCTTGTGGTCTGGTGCGTCTTATAGAGCGAAAAATACGGTAACTCGTTTCTATTAAATAACGTATTTTCAACACTAAAACATGAGTTTTTCCCAATTAAATAGCTAAGCAGCATTTTCATTTGAAACAGTAATCCAAATGGTAGAGATTCATCGAATCATAGAGTTGGAATGAACCCAATGCAATGCAAGAATAACAGCTAAACAATCCCCAAGAGATGACCATCCAGCTGTTTAAAAACTTCCCGCTTCCAAGGCAGTATGTTCCACTGTCAAACAGCTCTTACTGTCAGAAGTTTCCTAATGTTTAGTAAGAAACTCCTTTCTTGTAATTTGAATCCATTGGTTTGGGTGCTACCCTCTGGAGCAGCAGAAAACAAGCCTGCTCCATTTTACATGTGAAAGCACTTCAGATATTTGAAGACTGATAACCTAGCAGTTCGAAAGCACGTCAAAGTGCAAGTAGATAAATAGGTACCACTCCGGTAGGAAGGTAAACGGCGTTTCCGTGCGCTGCTCTGGTTTTGCCAGAAGCAGCTTAGTCATGCTGGCCACATGACCTGGAAAAACTGTCTGCGGACAAATGCTGGCTCCCTCGGCCAGTAAAGCGAGATGAAAACCACAACCCCAGAGTCGTTCACAACTGGACCTAACTGTCAGGGGTCCTTTACCTTTAACATATCACCTCTACCTTCTCTTCACCAAGCTAAGCCCACCCAGCTCCCTCAACTGTTCCTCATAAAGCTTGGTTTCCAGACCCTTAATCATCTTGGTTGCCCTCTTCTGCACACATTCTAGCTTGTCGATATCCTTTTTAAGCTGTGGTGCTCAGAGCTGGACACAGTACTCCAGGTGGGGTCCAACCAAGGCAGATTAGATTGGTACTATTACTTTCCTGGATATGGGCACTGCGCTTTTGCTGCTGCATCCTAGAATTGAATTAGCCTCTTTTCTTTTTCTTTCTTTTTTTTTTTTTTTTGCTGCTGCATAACACTGTAGCCTCATGTTAGGCTTATGGTCTACTAAGAGCCTTAGATCCTTTTCACATGTACTGTGTTAAGCCAGGTGTCTCCTATCCTATATTTGTGCATCTGATTATTCCTGCCTAAGTGCAGAACCTTACGTTTGTCCCAGGAGATATGATTAAGTATTCACTTTAAACAAACTGAAGTACAACAAAGCTACTTAACTGGGAAAAAAATATTTATTACAATGCGGGCCTCAAGTAGAAAGATATTTCAAATCTGTTTTTTAAGAAGTGGGGGAAACTACATCGCACTGCAGTCTAAATCATTGTCGTTCTGATATTTCTGTGTTCAAATACCATCTGAGCATGTAATGCACAAGAAGTTAATGTTTTAGGCTTCAAAGAAATCACAGCCTAAATTACAGCTAGAAATTTAGTGCCTCTGAAACTGAGCCACTAGGTCACATTCAATTGGTCACATTCCAGAAGCACTACACTGCCACGTATGCAGCATGTCTTATGTTCAATAACTCTTATTGTAAACAGAGTCAGCAGCTGGATAATTTTATAGTAAATTAGATGCTTCATGGCACTTGTTGCCTAGGTAATGTGCTTAAATATAAAGACTGTAAATAGATTTATTTTATTATGCATGGAAACCACGGGTATGTCAGAATTAGACATACTAATAAATGGCTTTTTTTAAAAAAAAAAACCTCAATGACCCATAATCCATTAAACACACTGAAACTGTTTCACTTTTAGTAAATGTAGTTGGGGGTGTTTGAATTTGCAAAAGGGCACCGGAACAACTTCAAAAAAGAGAAACAAAAATTGTGCTATGAAAAAAAATGACAAAACTTCCTAGTTTTTCCTGGGATGTGCTGGCTTTAAAATCTGTTTTTGCTCATGGTTTTGCTAAACAAGAGAACAATCTTAATAATTCAGTGACTGACACAGAAATTTACAGAAACTAAATCTCAAAGTATAGTGAGTGACTCTGGACTCCCCTCTTCCAGGTTATTCACGTGTGAATGTGCACACTCTCCCTACTTTGAGGCAATGTCTTTTTTGCTAAAAAAAAAAGTGTTTAGGGGTACAGTGGTACCTCGGGTTAAGTACTTAATTTGTTCCAGAGGTGCGTTCTTAACCTGAAACTGTTCTTAACCTGAAGCACCACTTTAGCTAATGGGGCCTCCTGCTGCCGCAGCGCCACTGGAGCACGATTTCTGTTCTCATCCTGAAGCAAAGTTCTTAACCTGAAGCACTATTTCTGGGTTAGCGGAGTCTGTTACCTGAAGAGCATGTTACCTGAAGACTATGTTACCCAAGGTACCATTGTACTCTCATTTTCCTACTCATATTGAAATGCTGCCCTTTAATGAGGCCAAACTTAGATTCACAAAATGTTTAGGGGTATGCGGACCCCTAGAAAAAAGCAATGCTTTGAGGTATGTGCAAAGCACAGAACTTGGGGAAAGGGGGACTAGTAACGTTTATGGTGGTTCATTTGTGACCTAGCAGTCCCATTTGTTTATTTACGTACTTCTTGGCCCACATTTTTACATTAAACATCTTTGAAGATGTTTACCATATAACTCTAATACCATAGAAGTTAGTTCAAAGTCACAATCAGAAACTCAATTTCCTTTCTATGATATATATTAACACACAATTTATCATTAGCACATGGGCGCGCACACACGTACTACTCTTATGAATGCAGTCAATAACTTTTAAAATAATTAGGGACATAATTGTAAAACTGTCATTCTCTGAACTACACGTCCCTTTTTCTGTTCCACATATTCTCTGGTCACACTAGTTTTGCAGGTTTCTACAGTGCTCCAAGATATACCTGAAAAAAGGGAAAACAGCTCCTAGCAATGTGAACAGCAATGCTGCAATGCATGTGTACATTTTGGTACGACTGTCATGACCATCCACTGAATAATGCCCCTGACAATTAACAACTTTTCCAGACCCACCCAAAGCAATTTTGGAAATGTTTATGCTAAGACTTCGACCTTTTTTCCAGGGCATACCAATTCATTCCAGAAGATATTACCCACACTGATCAAACTCAAAAACTGCAAAGTGAAAACACACAGATGAACAAGACCAAGCAAAGGCAAATATAGTTTATTCTGTACTTTTTTAATGTGTGAGCAATAAGAACATGGACACAAAACAACTACTATTACCCAGAAATGCATGGTGACTAATGATCAATAGATCTAGGCCAGGCCAACGCCTGGATGGATGACCAGATGGGAACAACATGTAAGGTGCCTTGCGTTCCATGACAGAAGGGAGGTGGTATACAAGTGTAAATGAAATGAAAAAACTAAAATAATATATGGCACAGTAACTGAAGTGTGGTATTGCTGACACTAGGAAGCTAGGGAAACAGGCTATCTCCTATCAAACCTTATCTATATTGATTTATAAGAGAACTTAATTTTTCAAGATCAGAAAATGTAGCTTAATTTCTGGCAGAGAAAGCCAATGTGGTATCTTCAGGTTTGTGCCTTACAACACCCTTCATCCATTAGCATGGGAATGCTGGCTGGGAATGGTGGAAGTTGTAGTACAAAATTATTTGGAGAGCCTGATTTATGGTATCCACCTTTAAACACATAATGCCTATATACAGAGATATTCACCCAAAAACCATTCTACTAGACACCCACAACAGAAACTTCAGGCACTTATAAGCAAGAGTGACTATTCCACAGAGCATGAACCAGCAGATAAATGTGGGGTAGAAAACTGTGATGGAAAGGGGGTGGGACACTAGTTCTGTCCATGGTTCTCAGAAGCCCACCTTCTGAAATGAAATACCATTCGCTCCTCCTGGGCAAAAGCTTCACCTCTTAACTGCAGTGCACTTTGCCCACAGAAATTCTTTAAGATCATCTTTTCTACAGGCCCCTCTCACAGCCCGCCCAACTCCTTCCATGGAGTTGACCAGAATAGCAGACTTCATATGCCTGTCAAATATCTAAAGCACCAGCATTGTGATGTCTGGCAGTCATCTCTATCCCACGTCTCACCTTCTAGAGGGAAATGAGTGTTAGTCACCTCCAGCATCCTTGACTAAGTCCCTCCTTCCTTAGTCTAGCTGTTAATCATTATCACCACAATCAAATTGCATAAAAAGTGCCCACATACTTTCTTCCTTGCCTTCCCACCAACTTCAGAGGTTACCCAGGGCAAAGATGACCATAAGAATAAGTTTTGCTATGTTAGGTTTTCCTAATACAGTATAGGATTAAATACAAAAATATTATTTATTGTTTTCCTTTTGATTTCACCTACTTACGGTTCCTCCTCCAGCTTTTAATAAACACACTGCTCAATTTGATTTCTGTACTGCTTCCCAAACACACCCAAAGGCTGTTAGTTACACACACACACCACTGCTTGAACCACTTGAGCTACACTACTGGGCTAAACTGCGTGAGAAACTAGGAGAGGGATCAAATAGAAATGTCAAGCAGCAGACTTTAACTAGCAGTCTCCTACTCCCAGTAGACTTCATAAGTCAGTGGAATCACTCAGCTTCTGATCTAGGTAATAAGCAGGTGATGGCAAGAAAGAGAAGTAACAGTGCACTCCTTGCCAGTAGGTTACATTCATTTTCCCACCATCCTCTCTAGAAGGTGGCACTAGCCTCTTTAGAACTGCCTCACTTTCGTTGTCATGCTCCAAACAAAGCTTCTTACTTACAGATCATACTATCCAGATCACCAGCAAAGCTACAAGTTTAACAAATCCACATGCAACTCTTATCTCAAACTCTTTATCCAAAATTACCCCTCACATGTTGGAGCATCCTAGCCTCAAAGACCTAACAAAACAAAACAAAATGTCAAAATCACATCCATATTTTTTAGCTTATCATGACCAATATTTTTAAAAAAGAGAATATGGCTATGCTATGCTAGGCAGACACTTAAGACAAGTGGAAATGAATTCTTTCCATAGTTGCCAAATCATATTCTAAAAAGCACATGGGCACTTGAGTTATGGTGAGCAGAGGTTAATAGTATTTTATAAACAGCCTTTTAGCATTTCCAGTTTGTGGGAGATGAAGTGGACTTCTTCCTCAAATGTACAACAGAGAAAACTTTACCACTCCACCTCTAGAATTAGATGGTAACTTACTATTGCTGAATGGAATGGTACTGTTTACATGAACAAGTATTGTCACAGCCCTATTGTAAAAGCCCTATTACAGCTTTTGGATTTGTCATAATGGGCCAACACAATATGTGTATGTGTATATTGAGGAATACCAAATTTAGCCATCCAGCAATCTTAAAACTGAAGGAGGTGTGAGGAGTGTTTCTATCATATAAAGATAATACTTGAGGGGGGCATACACCCTAACTCCACCCTATTTTGCTTCAAGTGATCAATGAACATACTGTCTTTAGAACAGCTTTGAGTAACCATGACATTTGTGGTGTTTTCAAAAGGGAATAGGGATAAACGGGCTTCAATGCAAGCATGTCAAAAGATCGTTTTGGGGGGCCTAATCCGGCCCGCGGGTCGGTTTAATCCAGCCCCTGTGGCAGTTTATTTCCTGGGGTAAAAAACTCAACAACTTCAACCCTAATAAAAGCTCAACAACTTGGTTGGCCCTCACTTCATCAAATCTGGCCCTCTTTGAAAAAAGTTTGGACACCACTGCTTTAATGCAACCCATTTGCAACCTACCACATTCTAATCTAATTAAGTCTGCATAATACCTCCTGCGTCCATTTTAAGCTTTTTCATCATGTCCACTTTCCCCACCCCACTCGCTACTTCGCTTCGCATCCCATTTGCTCTGAATAACCTTTCTCGGTATACCAAAATCAGTACGCTGTGACTTTTTAGTTGGTGCCGATAAAGCTATCACCCACCGGCAAGAGCTTTAGTTCTTCCCACTAAATGGGCCAGGGCTCCCCGCCCACCAATCACCGCAAACACGGGAGACGAGGCTACACATAAACACATCGCGTTACGACGCAGGTCACAACAGTCCCGGCGGCCTGCAGGGGGCTTCCAGGACAGCGAATACGTCGGGACTCTCGGCCAGGAATCGGCATCCCAGAGCCTGGCGCTCATTCCCGCCCCCACGCGGATCACATTCCCGCGTCGTGGCGCGCGCGTGGGAGGGAATGTAAACGAGGGAAATTTGAACAAAAGGTGGAGACTGACGGCTTCCCGGGGGAGGGGGGCGGCTCAGCTGAACCCTCGGCAGAAAGGAGAAAGCCGCTGCTGGGATTAAAAACCTGCGGAGGGAAAGAGGGCTTCCCTCTCCCGCCCCGCTAGGCAGGATGCCCCACGCTGCACACACCCCACGCTTTGGAGAGGGGCAGGAACACGCGGTGCAGCGCCGTTTCCCTGCTTTGCTTTTGCATCCTGCTCCCTCCTCAGCGCCACAGTCCCTTCCCCTCGCGCTGAGGGAGGGCAGCGGATTTCCCCAGGAGGAAGGCGGCGGCGGCGGCAGCCCCAGCGGACGTGCATCTTCGCCTCAGAGCTGCTCTTCCCCCCACCCGCGCTATCGTCGTCGTCTTCGCCGCCGCCTCTCCTCCCTACCGGGGCTGCAGGCACAGGAGGCTTGAAACACCCCCCCCCAAAATCCCCCCCCCACCTACTCCAACCGCGAGGCGACTCCAGCTGGAGCCCCACATCACCAGGGGCTGAGAGGAGGCGGCGGAGCGGGAAGAGCAGGAACCCGCGCCGTCGTCGCCGCCTCCCTGCCGGCCGCCCCCCGGGGAGCAACTCCGCCGGAACTGAAAGCCAAACGGCGGCCGGGAGAAGGGCGGCTCGGGGGTGGGGGGGGGGCAGAGCAAAAGCCAGGCCGAGTGTCTATGAGGAGAAAACGGGGGAAGGGGGACCCGGCTCCGTCAAGACAGCAGCTGCTGCGCTTCGCCTACTTCCCCCTCAGGCTCCCTCCGCGTCCCTTTCGCTCGCTCGCAGCCGAGGAGAGGAAGGGAAGCGGCGGCGGCGGCTCCCCAGCGCCGCCTCACTCGCTCTCGGTTACGACAGCGAAGCCCGCCAAAAACAACCCAGCGCTGCTACGTCCCGCACCAACTTTGCCGGCGGCGCCTGCAGGGCTTTCCTACCTCCTCGGCTGGCTTCCTCCTCCTCCTGCCTCTCGCTTCCCCGTCTGGCCGCTGCGCCACCGCCTCCCTCAGCCTCATTCGAAATTGAAATTCCCTGGCCAAGGCCGTCAGCGCGGCTCCAGCCCCCCTCCCCGCGTCCCGGCCTCCGCCTGCAGCCCCGCCCCCGGTTTTGACCCTCGGCCAATCGCAGGCACCAGAACGACGGCCAGCCCCACCTATTCCCTCTTGGGTGTTGTGTTTTTCCTCCCCTCTCGCGCTCTGCCCATCAATCGGCGGCCTCTGTTTCTCTTGCTCAGCCACCCTCCCTTCGTCCCGCTCTTTCTAGCCACGCCCACAATGGTCTTCAGGCGGCTTGTAGTTCCGAGCTGCCCCGCCTTCGCGCTCCTTCGCTGTTGCATAGACGAGGCTGGCCCAGGAAAAGAAATGAAAAGAAAAGAAAAACTGCGAGCTGATATGGGCAGGGATTGGTTTGGTGCATGTAAAATCAATGTATTTTTAGCGGTGCTAGAAATACGTTTCGCATTAAAGAAAAGCCGCAGACGGAGATTTGGGTGGAAGTAAAGGGCTTCTTGTGTCTTTTATGTGATCCATCATGTTACAGGTTAAGGATTTCTTGCTTGCCTGGCATTTTGAAGGAGCTGCCTTTTGTTGACCTGCAGTTTTTATTCTTTTATGATCGCTACTATTCACTTTTTGGTTTTATAATGGTTTGTGTTTTGCTTTTATTGTGGTTGTTATACATCTCTCTGAGGTCTGTTTGCTGGACTTACTTTTATGTAAGCCTGCAATCTTATACATATTTAAGGCTAATGAAATTTAGTAGAGCTGCTGAGTGAAGAGCAGTGCCTAGGATTTCAGGCTGGAATCCAGTCCTAGATAAGGACAAATAATCAGCAATGCTGTAGTTGAGCAGGGGATGTTTAAGATTCTATTTTAATACAGTGTTGATTTATATAACATTAGCAGCCCAAACATTCAGTGGTGCCACAGGTTAAAACAAATTCATCATGCAAGTCATCACGTATTCACGTCAATCCAAAAGATGGAGGGATAGCTTCATTGGTGCCCTCCAGAATCCCAACCAAGAGGTGAGGGAATAATGAAATACAATTTAATATTAACTGTTTTTAAGCACTACATTCTGTACAAAGGTGATACTATTTCAGACAGCCCCTGCCTTCCAATTCACAGTCTAAATCAGATGAGTGTTATGGGAAAGGGAAGGGAGATTAAAAACAGGATGTGATATGCTGAGTCCAAAACAGCAGATATCAGCTAGGAAAAGCTTGAGAAAAGTTCTATCTGGGAAGCAGGAATGCAGCTTTTAACAAGTCTTGGTCCTCTGGACTCGCTATCACCAGGTTGCTTTGCCTTCACTTTTGCAGTCACAGAGCACTTTATAGTTGTAGAATTCACACTCCAGACAGTGGAAGCTCCAAGAACAGTTTATCCTGTGGCTGATAATCAGGAACAGGTTATCTTTCCCCATGTTTGTGTGTAGTTTCAAGAGAATTGACCCTCATAGAAACTTGCTCGTATTTCACTTTACCTACTCCATGAAATATAACCATACCTTACCCTGACCGTTAAGTCCAGTCACGGACGACTCTGGAGTTGTGGCGCTCATCTCGCTTTACTGGGCGAGGGAGCCAGCGCTTGTCCACAGACAGTTTTTCTGGGTCATGTGGCCAGCATGCCTAAGCCGCTTCTGGCGAAACCAGAGCAGCACATGGAAACGCCATTTACCTTTCCGCCGGAGCAGTACCCATTTATCTACTTGCACTTTGATGTGCTTTCAAACTTCTTTACCTTACTTGTCAGCAAACATCTTTGCTGAACCGAGTTAATGTTTTAGCTATAACTATAGATTAGGGCACACTGCTTAATGCCAATTTACTTCTCTGAGATTATAACCTTAGCAAAACATGAAAACTGAGCATATCTTTTTCACCTGAAGCAAAATTTTGTTCTGTCATCATTTCACTAATGGGGAGGCTGATCCTAGGAAAAAGAAGGCTGGGTTAATAGGATGCTCATTCTGTTGGTTCCTGAAGGGGACCATCAGTGGCCTAAAGGAACTGTTCCTTTTAAGGAAATGCAGAAGATTCAGAAGATAAAGTATGTATTTACGTAGCACATAGTTAAACTATGAAACCTGCTCCCGCAGGAGGCAGTGATGGCCACCAACTTGGATGGCTTTAAAAAAGAGGATTGGAAAAATGAATGAAGGATAAGGTTGCTAGCCATGATGGATATGCTATGCCTTCATGGCTGGAGACAGGTGCATTCCAAGGAACAGCCCATAGTATTGCCCAATGAGTGCAAGGTCTCCCGTGGGCAAGGAGATCAACAAATGATGCCTATAGGTACAAGCTCTGGAGCATCACCCAGATGCTCCAGTCTTCTGGTAGATAAAGCAGCAGAAACCTATAAGCAGCCCCTGTTTGCCAGGGAAATGTCTGATCCAGAATGGGAAGAGAGGACTGCAGTTCTACTCACAAGCAGTGCCAAAAGAACATAAGAGCCCTACTGGATCTGACTACAGGTACATGCCTATGTGCTGACCAGCCCATGAGAAGCCCACAAGCAGAGCCTGAGTGCAACAACCTTCCGTTTCATCTTACCCGTGGCTGATGGGATATCATGGTGTACCCTCCAAAGCTACATGTCGTTTCTCACAGTTGGCCTTGAAACTGAATTAAGTGCTGTGCTCTGCACATTAATCCTACTTTGAGCACAACTGTGTCTTTTGAATTGAAGAAGAGTAAAGTGATTACTTCTGAATGGGCCTCCTACAGTAATACTTGGCACAGTTTGCACTTGTGGTTGTGTCAACACAGCCTATGTGTTTTGTCTCCACATTTCTGTTTTCCCCAGAGCTTGAAGAAGCTCAGGAAAAAATGGCAGGAATGTTCTACAGCTCTGGCCCTGATTGTCTCCAGAAGCAGCAGAAGCAGCAGCTCTTTCTCCTTCAGCGATCATGAACTTTTGAAGGTATGAAAGGAGAAAAGTCCCACCCTGATCTTTTCCTCTTATAGCTGCTTTGCTGCGCTGCGCTGCTGCAGCTGCTGATGTTTTTAACAGCATCAGCCTGAGCAAGTTTAATTGGCGTAGGGTTATAAACAACTGGAGCTGGGGGACCCTTCTTTCAATTAAATCTCCCAAGCATAGTGACAAAAGCAAGATGTTTTTCCTGGATTAGGCAAGGCCAGAAAGAAAAGGAAGCATCTTTACAATTCTCTTCCCTCTCTTTCCTCAACCAACTGTCCTCCTTAACAGTGTGCAAAGAGTCCTGGGCTTCAACTGTGCCTTCTACATCCAACAGCCAATTTTTACTCCCTTTCCTTGTGTTTTTTAGGCTGTTTGGCTAGGCTGTGACTGTGACCCCTGGCTTATGTAAAGGGGAAAAAGAACCACAGCAGAAAAGTAAACAGTCTAGCTGTCAGCGTTGTTGGTTTAAATGACAATGCTGTCTCCATTCTCTTCCACGGGTCTCATTTATGCTTCAAAAATGAGGAATTTATGAGCTGTAAAGGGAGTTTCTGGTGAATGCTCTTTCCTCACAACGCACACCACAAGAAAACATTTAAGCTGTAGCTCTATGAAATTGTTATCTGGACACATTTTGTTTGAATCCAGTGTGACTTTGCTCTTGAGTTTTCAGGGTGGACAAAATGAGAATAATAATTCCAAACGTCCTTGAGCTATGAAATTCTATTATTTTTTGAAAGTATTGGGTTTTTAATGGATTTTTTTAAAAAAATCTAACGGTGATATTCAACTAAATGGAGGGTAAAAAGTAAAGGTAAAGGGACCCCTGACCATTAGGTCCAGTCGTGACTGACTCTGGGGTTGCGGCGCTCATCTTGCTCTATAGGCCGAAGGAGCCGGCATACAGCTTCCGGGTCATGTGGCCAGCATGACTAAGCTGCTTCTGGCGAACCAGAGCAGCACACGGAAATGCCGTTTACCTTCCCGCTGGAGCAGTACCTATTTATCTACTTGCACTTTGACATGTTTTTGAACTGCTAGGTTGGCAGGAGCAGGGACCGAGCAACGGGAGCTCACCCCGTTGCGGGGATTCGAACCGCCAACCTTCTGATCAGCAAGTCCTAGGCTCTGTGGTTTAACCAACAGCGCCACCTGTGTCCCTAAAATGGAGGGTAGACCCACTGAAATTAATGAACGTCACTAACTTTGATTCATTAATTTCAATAGGTATACTATGAGTAAAACTTTGTTGAATACAGCCCTATATTTATACCTCTGGGTTTTGTTTTAAATGTTCCTAAGCAGCTGGATTGTATGCCGTGCTTTATCCTTCACCAAACTAGTATCCTTCCAACGTTTTGGACTACCAATTCCCATCATCTTCCATCCAGCAACAACCTATTTAATGGTTCCGAAAATTGGTAGGGCAAGCTGTCTGCTTACACAGCGAAAGGTGTGCTTCCCTTTCACAAGATCAGATTCCTTATTTTGTTTCTTATACTAGGTCAAGCAACCTCTGCCTGGGCTTAGATAGGCATTGGCATCAGAGAACCGATGCCCTCCATTAACCAACCATACAGGCTGGAGATATGAAGGGTGAGCAGACAAGTACTATTTTACCAGACGAATGCAAGATCCTCAGTGTGTCTTTTCCCAGCTCCGCCAGTTGTTCTGTGGCTTTCCCCCTGAGGGGTTCTCCAGGAATTGGGGTGAAGTTCCTTCCAGTTCCAGTGGGAGTTTTATTTCTTGTTCAGCCCAATAGCTGGGTGAGGGGGGTGGGATTTTCATCTGGATCATAATCCCTCTCTGTGTGCTGGCAATAAATATTTATTTATTATTAAATAAATCAATCAAATGCAGCTGCAGTTGCATGCTACATGTTTAGCATTACACATATTTTGGCCCTCCCTCTCCTTTTGAGTGTCCACCTCTCTTGCTATGCCATGGTGACCCGTACTTTTGCTCCCTGGGCTTCACCAGCTTCGGGCTTACAGCCCATCAACTGCTTGGGGCTGGGCCCATCAACGGCCCAGCCGTTCCCATGGCTCCCAGCTACAATTTGCCTCTGTTGTCTTATACGGTTCTATCTCAGCCATGCAACCTACTCTTCCATTTTCCTCTCAGGCCTCGGAAAACTTTTGGGCAACCCTGGGTCAAATGTAACTGTCTTTGTGGGACTCCTTCCCATTTCCACACAGCTAATTATTATTAATAGCTGTACTCATATTATGACAGCAACAAATGAGCATTTGCAGCTCTTAAGCATTGCTCATGGCAGTGTTGGATGCTAGTAAATTGTGCACGAGAAGTTCAAGGTGCTGTTTTGACTTGTAAAGCCTGTGTAAGTGGTTTTTAAAACGGGTCATATGATACAGTGCTTTCTCCCAGCAAAGCTTAAAAGAGCCGATTTGTGGAGAGAGGGTTTTTTTCTTAAAAGAGAAACAGATGGCAGGGTGTCTTGATGTTAGAAATTCCATCCTATTCTTACCCATGTATTGAAGTCCAAGTTAACCGTCATAATATTCCACAGGATTGGAGGGAGCGTATGGAAATCAAAGGCATTTAAAAAGGAAAAAAGTTTCAATTTTTGTCCTGTTTTAAGGCTTTGCTTTTTTTCTTTTACAGACACCCAGAATAGTCACCAAATCAAATTGCAATAAAATGGTGGACCACCACTTACAGCAGTTCTGTCAACAAGGCTCATAAAGCAATACCACAAAATAAAAATTAACAATTAAATACCGTAGTTTTCCTTGTATTGGACGAGGTTTTTTGACACAAAAATCATGTCAAAAAACTGGAGTCGTCCAATACACGGATAGTGGCATGGGGGGGGAGATGCTGGTGCGCTCAGGGAGCGATCTGAGGGTGCTGGCTGGCGGCATGCAGCTTCCCCCGATGCCACTGCGTGCGGGAAGCACTCCCTGGATCATTTCCCACGCACAGCGGTATGGGGGGGGGGCTCAACAACTTTGGGCCATCTCCCCTCATTTTCTTAAAATTGAGTCCCCAAAAACCGGGGGCGGGGGTGTCTAATAGACGGGAAAGTACAGTACTTCACACTATTTGCAGCACCACATTGCCAACCCTGTAGCTCCCTGCAACCAACATTTTGAAGAGCTTCCAGCTACCATCTTAGCTTACCTGCTCTTTAAAATCTTCAGTAGATGCTGATTTCTCTCCCCCTCCCCACCTGCTGCAAGGTCAGATGAACAAAGATGGTCTCCCCCAAACCTGCACATTTTGGAATCGTTTCCCAGAAGTCAATTGTTTGATGCCTGCTTTGTTAAGTTTTAGGCATCACATAAAACCAGTCCTATTTTCCTGAGTTATTGTTACTGCTACTTAATGTTTGTATGCATATTACTGCTATTATTCCTTTTATTCTTGTTGGTTCTTTATTGCTGCTTTACGGCAGCAAGGTTTTGTTATCTAATTTGATAGCTGTTAATGTTAAAAGCTTTTATTGAAAGGGTTTATTCTGAAAGTTGGGGTTTAGGTCCAAAGTTTCAATATTTTCGTACCCAGGACTCAAATTGACCCCAAACATGCATCTGGGGACCCATTTCTTAATTTCTTACCATATATTTATATGTGGTTGTCCCACTTGAAGACCCAGTGCTTTAGGGTTGCTGTTTTACAAAAACCATGCTTCCTTGCCTTTTTTTACAGCAAATGATTTGAAATTGTTGTGTAAAATTACACCACATTCCTGCAAGTATTTTTTTTTTCTAACGTAACAGCTGTATGTACTTATTATATGTACTTACAACACTCAACAAGATAGCTCAGTCGGTAGAGCATGAGACTCTTAAACTTAAGTTCATGAGTTCAAGCCTCACGTTGGGCAAAAGGATTCCTGCTTTGCAAGGGGTTGGCCTCGATGTCCTTATTATTCTATGACTATGATCTCGTCTAACTCTTCTTATTCTAAGACTATATAATATATAATTATATACAGTGGTACCTCGGATTTTGAACGTCTCCGTCGACAAACATTTCGGAACTCAAAAGCCGAAAATCCAGAAGTAGATGCTTCCGTTTTTGCACCTCAGAACAGCTTCCACTGAGTGTTTCTCAATTTTCTCAATTACATTTGCAGACCACCCTTTGTGCCTTGGTTTTCGAACATTTTGGAACTCAAACGGTCTTCAGGAACAGATTCCGTTCAAAAACCAAGGTACCACTGTATATCATAACTAATACAGAATCAAAGGTATGTGACGTTTCAAGTGCTATGAGTAAATAGTTACTTGTTTTAAGCATGGTGAATGGTTGTGCGTGACCTCATATGTACTTCATAATAAGTCAGAAGGAGATCAGTATGATTTACTCTCAGGTAAGTGTGTAAAGGACTGCAGCCATTTGCCATTTTTCAACTGATAGTTCAGAATCCAGATCAGCCATTTTTTCCACCGTCCTACAGCACACACAAACACTGGTTGTTTTGAAAAGGGTTGTTTATTTGAAAAACATCTCATTTTCTTTTCTTTTCTTTTAAATTTCCCCCTTCCATTTTGAGCCCCATTATTATTGGATGGAAGCAAAGTATAAGCTATTGTTGAAAATAGTCTCTGTCCCTAACTGTGGAGGAAAAACGAAGGAACACCGAGGCATCATCACACCACATCATATGCAGAATTTTATTTTAGGGGAAATACTTTGCAGCATTTGAATATTCATTTCCCCCCACAGATCAGGAAGGCTAAGAGTAGTAACATTAACATCATGATTCTATATATGTCTACTCGGATGTGAACCCATTTGAGTTCAATGGGACTTACTCTCAGGTAAGCAAAAGAAGGATACACACACACCCCTAACACTTAAAGAGGTTTCCTGATTCTGTAACTGCACATATTATTCTGAGCAGCTTGTATGACGGAAAGTACAGCACAGGCTTAGAAGCTGCTTGTCCTTCGGTGCCTGCATTAACACCATTATCTGCTTCCCAATCGATGTTGCGCACATTAGCTTGGCTTAGGGGTCTGTTTACACTGCTACATATTTAAATAACTTCACTAAATCAGCCTGGAATGACTGGGTCAGTTGCTGTGAAGAATGATGGCTGATATTTTATATGTAAGGCAGCTCGTCTCGCTTTAAGAAGTGCAAAACCAGGAGCATATGTCAAACCAGGGGGCTCACAGCTGCTTTTTCTTCAGAGTTAAAGAGGCCAGTTTAAGCATGCATTTTTGAAAGCGGGAATTATGTAACACGTAGCTTGGCCCTAAGAACGGGTGAGTGAGCCAAGCGATGATGGCTTCAACATAACATTCAGCAAGAGAGGGAAGTTGAGCTTGCAGTTCACAAAAGGCTGCCTTGCAGTTCCAGCTGTGGCAAGCCAGAGAGACAGAGAGGATGCATGCCACCCCAAAGGCCACGTAACCACTACGAACCGACATGCTGGCTACTTAGGCCAAGGCATTCACAATCATCCTATCCGGTGCTTTGGATTTGCAGATTTTCTAGGAGTTGTTTCTTGGCAGCTGCTCTGGGCAGACGCAGCAGCATTACTGGACTCTAGATATGTCTCAGCTTTTCAGGGACAGGGCGGAGAAGAATATTGTATCAAGCCTAACAGGTTTGCTGGCTGCATCCTCTTAGAGGGGGACGGGAAAGGGCAAACATCATTTGACAAAATCCATTATTCTTGCTCTGTTTTGGATTGTAGTCTTGTTTTGCACAACGCTTTTGCACACTCTGCCATCTTGTTTGGTGCCTGAGGAAAATTCTAGCATTCACCATAAAATGGTTACCTGAATAGAGTTCCATGGACTGCAGTGTGATTTTTATTCCAGTTTTCAGGTTTGGTGCTTTGCTATGCAAGTTAGTAAGCTGTCAGAATAAATAGCGTTATGGAGTCTCAGAGCAAATAGGTGAGACTAGGGTGTAAAAAGCCTCCTCGGTCGGTTGTATTTTTAATGCTGTTTGTCTGACATCTTTTACACATTGCAAGCGATGTTGCAGCCCTGAGGAGGCAGTGTCATGCCTGACCTCACCTGCACTAGCCAGGATCTTGCATCCTAATCCCCAAAACGTCACTTAATCCGCACAAGGGATTCCCTGCATTACCATGGATTAGCCTGCAAAGTTTTACTATACATGTGTTACGAATCTGGCAGGCTTGATAATTGGGGACTGTTGACAAAGGGATGTTTAATGTTCTGGCTGTAAACTTTATGACGATAGCTGCCTTTAGCACAATAAACAGAAACATAATGGGGGGCGTTGTGGACCCCAGTAAATATTTCCTTGGGCGGAAATTTGGTTTGAGCCATGCTCGGGATCCAACTGATCTTTGTATGATGTCATTAATTTGGTTTGGTTGTCAGTTGTTTTGGATTGCCTTGAGCAAGATAAAGTGACTAACAAATTTAATAAATTATAATAATTAATTTTCCTGAATGTATTCTGATCAAACCTGCAAACATGAAAACTAGTTATCTGCATAAAATAAGAGGAGAGACTACAGTGGTACCTTGGTTTTCAAACTTAATCTGTCCTGAAGTCCGTTCCAAAACCAAAGCGTTCCAAAACCAAGGCACGCTTTCCCATAGAAAGTAATGCAAAACGGATTAATCCGTTCCAGACTTTTAAAAACAACTCCTAAAACAGCAATTTAACATGAATTTTACTATTTAACGAGGCCATTGATCCATAAAATGAAAGCAATAAGCAATGTACACAATCAGTCAGTAGCTGAAATGGGTTCCACACAGTCACAAAAACAAAAGAAGCAAAAATGCAAAACAAATAGCAAAAACAGACAGACCTCAGTGTAACACTCAAAACGGAAGTGTGTCACTCAAAACGGAGCACGTTTGGCTTCCAAAAAAGGTTTGCAAACCGGAACACTTACTTCTGGGTTTGCAGTGTTTGGGTTTCAAGTTGTTTGAGTACCAAGGCGTTTGAGAACCAATTACCACTGTATATTAAGTAAAATGAGCACGTAAGTTTGGCTCTCTTGTTTTTTCCCTTTCTCTCTAATGAACTAGTTGGAATCATGTCCTAATTGCCTGCATTCATTGATTCTTTTATTGCTCTGTTCAAGAAAGCACAGCTGTCTTTGTCCGGTATCTTTATTATGTATGCTCATGCCACTGGCAAAGCTTGGCCCGTTTGCCTTTGATGTCTCTAATGCAACCCCTTAAAATATTTAATACGCAACTATCACCAGTCTTGTTAATTTAACTTTGCCACTAACCTCATACTTTGAAGTGAGCAGCACGGAAGAGCACAAAGGATGTTCCCATTGATCTGTACCAAATCACTTTGATCCTATGTCTGCTCATATTTAACCTGTGTGTCCCATTCTTTCACTGGGTGCTCTCTTGATTTCTGTATTTCAGAAGAAGCAGTTGCTCTTCATCTTCAGTATGAAAAGAAAATAGTATACTGGAAAGCGAACATCATATCCATTTAGAAAATTATGGGAATTGTATGAGTAGTAAGTGGTTCAATGGAGCAGGGAGGGGGGGTTGTTCTTAGGCTGCAATCCTACACCTAATTACCTGGGGGTAAGTCCCACTGAAGTCATGGAAACTTCATTCTAAGTAGACCTTACTAGGATTGCACATTTATTCAAGTAGCCCAGAAACACACTGAAATCTGTTTTCTCGTGAGTGTTCTTCAAACTTACTTCTCACAACTTCCTTAAAATTAGGGACTTGGACTAATGACACATCAGTTGTATTTCACTCCTTATTTGAAAGTAGATTAATATTAATTGTTCCCAAAGTATGCATCATGTGAGGTCTACTACACTCATGTGAGATCAAAATTGTGTAACCACGCTAAAATATGTTTCACTAAGTCAGGGAAACTTGCTGTATGTTGAACAAATTAAAATGGGAGAAATGATATTTTCCATACTCTGTTCTGACTCTCCTATATAATTTCACCTGCTTGCTTTTTTGTTTAAAAAAATAAGATGAAGTCCTATATATCTCAAAGCTTGACCACAACGCTACATACATTGTTTGGGTCTATTTACAGTATTATTTTACTATTGCTGTGATTTTTATTAAATGCTGTTTATTTTCTGTGGTATAAGGATTAAAGAAAAATCTTGCACAATGGATTCCACTTCTCATTACTTTAATTGCTTCAAATTGTGCTCCTGATTTTATGCAGTCCCATGGAAATGTAAAGAAGGAAACCCAGCCAGATGATTATTATTATTATTATTATTATTATTATTATTATTATTATTATTATTTCTGGCTCAATGAGCAGTACATACTGGCTGAAAGCCCTTCTCCATCTTTCTGAGAACCTGCCCCAAAGCTGTGCCACAACTTGAAGTTAAATACTTATCATGAGGATTCTTCCTGGACTTTAGTGTCAGTCTAGAGAGCAGACACAGTTGAGCAGTGTTCAGTTACAAGTGTAAAAGTCCCTAATTGACTGGGCTAGAATCTCACAATTAGCAACACTGGTTACTATAGCGACAGGATTGCAGAAAATAAACTGCGTCCCTATTTGCAATTTGTATAATTGGATAAAATAATTTGAAACGGGTCAGTTTTGATGTATGGATGCTGAGCCTTTTATATTTTTACATAATATATAAATAATTTAACCGAGCCCTCTGCCACTAAGAAAGCATGTGCAGAGGCATTGTTTGCCCATCTGTTTCAAATGTAAAGCAGTCCACAATAGTTTAATTACAGATTATTGCTGAATCAAAGGCCACACTCATAGGACTCATTAGCATGTTTAGCCTGCTTAACATATCTAAGTACCCATTAGTGCTGTATTTGTCACTTCAATTACATGGCAGGGCTGGTGTGCAATAAAAGAACTCTTTACAGACCTCCAGCATGGGTGGGGTGGGGTGGGGGTGGA